TTTACTTTATTATTCAATATGTATATAGTAAAGTATTTTCATCATTTCATTGTTTTTTTTCTCTTATTTGAATCTGAATTATATTTGAAATATATCTTAATACACTTACAGGCTGTAATTGTTCCCTGCTACCAGGTTGACTCCAACCACCATCTTCGTCGTTATTAACGTTATTACTCTGTTGTTGATGAAATATATGAAGATTTGCTCCACCATCTGAAGCTCTTCTACCAAAGCTACTGGCTGCAAATGTCATGAATATTTAAAAAGTTAACAAAACAGCTTAAGATTAAAAATTAATTTCTCAGTATAATAAATTAAATGATTGAAAAATATATACACGGAAGAAAACTCTTACTTGCTCCCATCACAGGAGGCGGCTTCAATAAATGCTGATCTTTTATTTGGAAATTTTGAGGTGGTTGATGTTGAATTAAAGGAAGATTCAGTGGTAAATTCGTATGTGGTAAAACTTGAGGATCCATGTTATAATGAATAGGAAGAGGTCGTAAAGTTTGATATCCTGACATATGATTATAAGGATATGACGTTGGGGACTGATGCACCGCATCGCCAGGTCCAACTGTGTGTCTTCTTGTTGTATGATAAGGTGTACCGGATGGCAAATAAAGACTACTTTTTTCTTCCGTTTCCGCTTCAGTTTCACCATACTGCAAAAAATGTAACTTTGTAATTTACAAATATATTAATATATTCTGATTTTATAATATAATACATTGCATGTAAGAGAATGATATAAAAAATGTGATATATATTCTCTTTTAATTACTTACAAGCCCAAAATGCTCATTTATAGTTATAAAAATAAAACTAGATGAGTCAGGTGTCTTATTCTTTTTCTTAAATATAACATAATCACCTTTTCTAATTGAGAATGTGCATCATCTGGCAAGTAATCACCCGGCATACTTTGGATATTAGGTAAGTTAGGCATTGTTGGTTCTAATCGGTCAACAAGCAAGTTATATATAGCTGATACATGATCAAAAGTATTTCCTTTAATAGCTTGTAATAATGTATCTGCGCTGAGTCCGGGCAATCTCAACATATTCTCTATTACTAATTGATTTAATTGTGGTGGAACACTGACATCAGGACTGCATCTGAAAATAGAAAGAATTAATTTAAAAAATTATAATAAAGTGCAAGAGTAAAATATCTTATATTTTAAACAAAGAAATGGTCTAGAATGTTAAAATGCACATTTCTTTCTTTAAAATATAAAATTACACAATATACATTCATCACAATACACACCCTCCAGGTTCTAACTCCACTACTCCCTCTCCATCCATCCATGAATGCGTCAAGATTTGTGAAATACTTAAACGCCTCTCTGGTTCTACTACCAACATATGCCTGATCAGTTTTTCGCAATCTAAAATAACAAATATTATTTTAGTTACAAATATAACATTATACATACACATTTCTTTGAATGTAATAGAAATGAAACGAAAAGAAAGAATATACAAATACTTGAAAAAATACTCAATTTGTCTAAATGTTAAATTAAGATATGTATTTACATGAGATATACAGGGTGCAGCGATAATGCAGTGATACATATGGATATACATGGTTATAAAATGAAATATTTTGGATAAATAAAATAATTTTTGAATTCTTATAGTTTCTTCATTTCAATAATACACAATAATAACATGATAACAAACGAGAAATATAATGGAATGGCGATAAGAGCCGTCGCAGCATGTTAGTGCTAAATTTTAATTTTTCTTAAAGAAATTTAGATTGTACACCGATCTCAGATCGAGATACCATTATATTTCTCGTTTGTTAACATATGGAGCCTTTCCATTATATGTGTTTTAAATAACATGATACTTTACCTTCACCCTTTAAAGAATAACCATTAAAAAAATAATATAGCTTTTATCTAAGAAAGTTTACTAATTCTAGTAATATATATAACCAAACTCCATTACATAAATTAGCTTATAAATATTTACCTGCAGACATGAAAAATGGTATTCTGAATTTCCCTGAGACAACTACAGATCGTAACAATTGCATTGTAGGTCCATCAAACGGTAGAGCACCACAAACTAATACGTATAAGACAACGCCAAGGCTCTGCAACATTATTTATTTATTAATAAACATAAGTATATATAAACAAACACACACATACACGTTATTGAATTTAACTTTTAGAAATTAAGCACGTTATTTTTTAATTATTTTTTTTTTAATTTTATCGTGTAGATTGATTCTATTTAATTTCAATTTTTCATTAATTTTTACAATTTTTATTTGAAAAATTTTATATTTGTATTTCTTCTCAACAATAATATCAATATAGATCAGAAAACTATAAGCAAGATAAATATATCTTAATATTATCAAAATTAGCAAAAGCTGAAAAATGGACTTTTTAGTTTCTAAAAATTAAATACTATGTATCTTCGAATGTAAACATGCAAGATTTTTATATAAAAAAGTAATAACATACCCATACATCAGCTCTCGGACCATCATAATGCTTTCCTTCGAAGATTTCAGGTGCAGCATATGGTGGTGAACCACACCATGTACTCAGTGGAACACCAGGTGTATATTCATTACTAAATCCAAAGTCAGCAAGTTTTATATTATTGTCTGCATCAAGTAATAAATTCTCAGCCTGAAAAAAGAGCGAAAAGAAATTAGTTACAACTATAAAATTCTTTTCCTTAACAATCAACATTAAAATATAAAATTAATAAATATAAAAATTTATACCTTAAGGTCTCGATGAACCACACTTTGTTGATGCAGATAACGAACGGCAAGCACGATCTGACGGAAAATTCTTCGTGCTTCTGGTTCTGGCATTCTACCATTTCTAACGAGATGATCAAATATTTCACCTCCAGGAGCATATTCTGTTACTAAATATATCATTTTTTCCGTCTCCATTACTTGGTATAACCTTATAATATGTGGATGTCGTAACCTCTTCATTATGTGCACTTCACGAAAAATTTTTGCTAAGTTTTCTTCATTTAATTTAGTTTTATCTATTATTTTTATAGCAACCTATAACAAGTTATGTGTGTGAATACAATGTCTTATACATATATATGTGCATACCACTATACATATTATACACGCGCGCGCTCACACACACACACACACACACACACTTGTAATTTTTAAATTATAGGAAGACAAAAAGTTATGTGTTAATATCTCAACACACACACACACACACACACACACATGCAAGAGCACACACCACACACGGAGGATATTCAATAATTTGATGAAGATAGTCTCCATCAAAAATTAGAATAATTTACTTTTACCAAAGTTTAAATAAATGTCATATTTATTCATAACTTTGAAATCATATTATACATCTTAAACTGTATTTTAAATTAAAATTTGGATAAACTTGGTTTAAAATTAACTCAATACCACTTATAGATTTGTATTCCTATAATGCTATTTATCAAAACTTCTTTCTTTTAATCCCTTACTACTCAAAAAACAGAGTGTATATCTCCATATTTTTTTTAAAAGAGACTATTTAATTTTAACACATTGAGTTCCAGCAATGTTACAACTTTTTCATATCTTGGTTCAAATGACATTCTAGGCATCCTATTAAATTTCTAATACCAGACTATATACAATCAAACAATTTATTGTATATTGATATAAAATATATCATATAGTATATATCCATGATATTGCTACAAAATATATTGTGGATTCTGAAAAACGGTATCGATACATCAGCTGATACGTTGTACGACAGTCAATGTGTTAAGAAAATATTACTATGTGCATCAAATAACATTTATTACTGAATAGTCTCTGTGTCTGCTTATAAAAAGACAATGATAAAAGCTTGCATATCATATTCTATGTATAAAATGTATAAAATTCTTTATCAATGTCCATATCTATATACTTTATTTATGAATAATAAAATTTCAGATGAATCAACATTTTTCTTCATAATCTCTGTTTATCATAAAAAACCAAGTCACAAAATGTTAAATTAAGTGAAAAAATAAATAACATTTGCTTTAAATTGCTTAATTTTTACCATCGTAGCTCTATTTATAAAAAGATCTATTTTTGATTAATTATCAATTACATTTCTTCATGTTTAAACAAATCAATTTCAAAATAAATATGTAATATTAAATAATGCACTTTTAACTATACTGTGTGGATACCCATGCTCATCTGTAGTGTACACATATATATATGTAGGTCATTGGAACCATTTCACATTAAACGCAACACACATGTCAGAATAGAAAGAGCAAAATATCATAAATTATTCTTTACAATAATCTTATCTATATACTTTTACGTAGCGTTTAAAAAACTTGAATTTAAGGGCAGATAATATTTATGAAAATAACGAAGAAAATTAGTAAAATATAGATTTTAAAACCATTATTTCCAAAATTACAAATCATGTTTCTATTTGATAAGATAAAAAAGTAATACTGCAATATATAATGAACCCAGAGTTCCATGTACAATAATATAATATAATATAATAATAAATATTTGTATAGTATGTGTTTACACTTCTGTAACCAGGAATCTTTATAAAAAATACATGCTTCTGTGCAACAAGAACTGAAGGCTGTATATAAAAAGTGAATGAAAATCAGAAGAAGCATTTATTTTGATATTAACAATAAAGGTCATATTTAGGTAATCGTTTGTTTCAAGATCCATGCTTATTAGTTTTTTCTTATTGTAACAAATACTATCTGTCCTCAAAAACTGCAATTTTTTTAAAAATATTATATGTATAAAGTACTTATGTGCATGGGTATATATGTGTGCGTGTATATAAATATTTTAATAAACTAATGCAATTGTATTCCATTTATATCTCCTTATAGACATCTATTCATTGGGTTGTCAAAAAAGTTCTTACTATCTGTTTGGAGAACTTTGTTCTTATGAATAGAAATGGTGAGAAGTAACTTCCGTCAGACTAAAACTCAAGTTGTCAAAACAATAGCAGCAAATTATGAAACCAAGCGGCGAATGCGTAATTTAATAAATAGACTTACATATAAGAATGCTGACTTTGATTTAGTAAGAAATCTACACTACAAACTTTCTAGACAACCCAATATTTTAATATGTTAATAATATATTTAAAAAAATGATAGGTATTTAGAAATTCATATATATTGTACTACACATTAATCTAAAATTAAAAGAATATATCTTTCTCTTAATGCATTACAGTTTTACTTGTTGTACTGTAACATCTAATCTATAATTGTAAGAAATTATGAAAAAATTTAATAAGCTATATATTTTAAATAATGCAAAAGTGAACCTTTTCAACGTTGACAAAGTAAAACGTATTTTTGAACGATACTTATTTGGATACACCAACCAAGTATAATTATATAAAAGAATTATAATTTATAAATAAATATTAAATACATAAGAGTAAAGAAAATATTCACACAGCTATGCAGAAGATATTAACGACAAAATGACGGATTTTGTGTTTGTAACTGAAAGATTTCTACGGCGTCTTTTACCTTAGATTTTGTTACGACATGAGTGGCCATTTTTACAACGGCGAAATTTCCTTTGCCAATTGTCTTTTCCAGCTCATAATAACCGACACGTATGAGTTTGTTGACAGAAAATTCCTGGGAAACCTCATTGTGCGACGTCGGCGCGGATGCCATTTTTTAATCTCTTGTTTCACTCGTGCTACACTCGTTGCCAATTGCAATACTGATTAGTTACGACTTTGATCCGACAGAGGCGTGCGATCGTCTTTTAAAACTATTGAACTATATAACATAAAGGTTTGTTCGTTTTAATTGTACTCTGTGCATTTACATTCTAGTAAATTTTTTTAGTAAGTTTAGGAAGTGCATATGAAAAGTGCGGAATGACAAAGAGAATATTCAGATTATTTTTTCTCCTTCTTTCGTAGGCTATTGAGAGGTTTCGGACACGCATTCTAGTATGTACACAGTTTATGACAATATCGCCGGTAGTCGTTCTCGTTCGTTTTTTTAGCTAACCATTGGTTGGAAGAATTGATTGTGTGAATCAGTGGCTTTATTTGATACCTTTAAATGAGGAAATTGGATTGTCAAGAAATATGGGACGCCGAAAGATTAGAAGCTCAATTAGAAGCTGCTCGAGATGGTCTTCGTGGCCTTGATCGTAGCATTCGTAAAATTTTGGGCCGAGATCTTCCTGACGGTGAAAGCGGTCCACTGCAACCACCTAGGTTAATTTAACATTTTTTAACTCATTTTGTAAATCTTTTCAATACATTTTTACATGAAAGTATTAAACATGTTTAAAAATATTCTATGATGATAATCACAAAAATATCTCTAATAAAGATTAAGCTATTTTACAATATTTACATATTTAATTTCCAATTTTATCAATCAAGTTTTTTCATCATTTTTATGTTATTTACATTACTTTCATACTTCATTATATTACTTTATTATCTGTATTTATAGTAATTATATTACATTTACTTTTATTGCAGTATACTTTTATTAATTATATCATATTTACATTCTCTACATCTATATTGATGTAATATCTATTTGTGTATACTTATTTTTGTTATAATTTTAACTTCTAATTTCTTTTTAGAATATCCCAAAAACGACCATTGCAAGAAGATCGGCGGCGAGTTGTAACAGAATTTGTGAATACTGAATTACCTGGAAGTAAACGACGTTGGCAAGGTTCTAACATTGAACCAAAAACAGTTTTCAGTCGTTTAAGTGCACGTGTTCCATCTAATGCTGATGATAGTGCTGATGAAGATGACAGTACCATCAAGGTAATGTAGTTGTGACTTGCACAAATAACACACATCACAAACATGTACTTTTTCTAATATCTTTAAAGCTATTAGTGATATTGAAAAATAGCTTCAAACAAAAGTTGAATTATTTCAATGGGATATAACTCGGTTTTAATAGTTTTTTATGAAGTTGAAAGAAAATATGAAGACATATTGAGACTTTCACAAATAATCTCAGAAATCTGCTATTAACGTGTGATACAGTAGATCTGGGAAACTGTGTATATATTTTTATAATATATATTTTTTTAAATAAAATTAATAAAATTATTAAGACTTTTTTAAAGATATTTCAAAGAGTTTTAATCATGTATAATATATGTTTTAATGTTTATTAAGCCTGCTGTATCATCCAGAGTAATAGCTACTCCTCGAGAAATTCCCTCGCGTCAAGAAGTTATTAGACGCGAAAGGACAGATGAACGCAGCCGACAAAGAAATAAACGTATGTTTGGTGCACTATTGGGCACTTTACAAAAGTTTAGGCAAGAAGAAACCAAACTTAAGGCAAAGGTAAGATATACATTGAAATATATTTACCATTTATCATTAAATTATTTATTTTATTTATAGGAAGATAAAAAAGCAGAAGTAGAAGCTAGAGTAGAAGAAGCTAGAAGACGAGAAAAAGAAGAACTTCGCAGGGAGAGGCAACAATTGTTTTTGTCACGCAAAAAACAATTGGCTGTAGTGCGAGCTTTAGAAGTGAAGCTTGCACGCAGTCGACAATTTCAAAATTGGCGCAGTGCACAGTTACCCCTTGCCTCATTTATAAAAACACGAGCACAACCTTCCATATATTATGCACCAAAACGCAAACATCCTCAGACAGACATGTTACTAGCACAATCTGCAAAAGAACTTTATGGTTTGTATTCTCACAAAAATCATTAAATCAAAGTTTTATAAATTATCTTTATATCTATGTATCTATGGACACATGTAATCATCAATTTTTCTCATATTTCAGAGGAAATTGAGAAAAGGGAAAAAGCATTGGATGAAGAACTAAATTTGATAGAGGTTCAAGTAGGATTAAGTAAACAATCACAAAACTTTGAAGCATCTACATCTTTACATACAGTAGAAGCTCCGCGCTCAATAGAAGAGGGTGAAGAAAATCGAGATCCTAATCCAGAGCACAATGAAGATATAATCAACAATGATGTCGATGTTTCGATGCAGTCTATAATAAATGAAACTTTTGATGATAATCAGGATGTGGAGAAAAAGGAAGAAGTTGAATTGGATCAAGTTCAACCAGATGAAAATAATGGCTAGTATTTGGTACAATAAAAAGAATTATATGTATTATATATATTGGATGGTCCAACTTAAAATGAGAATTTTCATAGTAAACATTTTATGATTATGCATAATTAAATATAGCATCCAAAAAAATCATAAATTTGTAAGTTTATTGTTATATAAACTAGAGTAGCTTAGTCTTAAGACTCATAGTTTCTTATTGCAATCGTATTGGATTGTAACATCAGAAAGCGATAAGTCATGTAAATTTTGTTTCTTGTATGAAATAAATTAATTTTATCGCACACGTATAGTATAGAGTTTATTGGTTCTACCACGTCTTTGGTTCATCCTTCAGCTGGAAGCTTCGATTTTTGCGCGTTTATAATTCATCCGTCATCGTAAGCTTTATCCTAAGGCTGCGTTCGCTTTGAACGCTTACGCGCTGAAAGCGTCATTCTATCTTTCTTCGACGTGTAATGAGCAAGAAAGCGTGTGAGCGTCCAAAGCGAACGCAGCCTAAATAAGACAATTTTTCGGACATCCTAAAAACGTTCTAAAAAAAGACATCTTAAAGACGTTCTAAAATTGATGTTTTTATAGCGTCTTTTCTTAAATTTTTTTAACTATTAGCATTTTGAATTTTACAACAAAAAACTTTCAAAAAATTTAAAAAAAGACGTTTTAATTATTTAAGTATAAAACGTCCTACAGATGTTTTTTTAGGACGTTTTTAGGACATCCTAAAGATGCTGCTTGCTGTTTGCGTCTCAAATCTGGCGTCACTGGCTTGAAGCATCGCGTGAGCGTTCCAATCACGTATCAGTATAGTATGTACAATAGAGTTCACTGGTGTTCACTGGTTGGTATCAATGTTGAAGATGGTAGTGTTCTGTGTTGCACGTGTAAATTAGTAGGTGTTGCTATTTTGTTGATCAGTATAAATGACATATGTCATCAAAATAATTTAATATATGAATATAATAAAATCAGTATGAGAGAAAGTTCACAATTTACGTTTTACATGCAGTTACTCAAATGTTTTAGTTTTGATGTTCGACGCATGTACTTTATTCATTGACAATGTAATTGACAATTAACAATTCCTTTCACTATTAAGGATATAATAATGGAAGAGAAAGCAATGTTATGGATGCTTTCTCTTGTTATGCTCGTTGGTTCTTGTTTGGCTGGATCATTACCATTAGTCATAAATTTATCTGAAGTAAGACAACTTTTTTATAAGAAATGGCAAATTGTTTTTTTTTAATATAAAATGTTTTAAATACACTGTAAATATCTTTTATAATTGAGTAAAATATTTGTTTTTAGGACAAGTTACAATTAGTATCAATCTTAGGAGCAGGACTTCTTGTTGGCACTGCATTAGCCGTGATTATACCTGAGGGCATAAGAGCGTTATTTACTGGTGGAATTGATAATGAAAAAGGGCCCCATAGTACGTCATTTTGTATTTGTTTCTTTATTAATGTATTCCATGAAATTGGTCTTTTTAATTAGTACTTTTATCTTTACAGGTGATTTACATTCTTTGATTGGAATTAGTTTAGTACTTGGCTTTGTATTTATGCTTTTGATTGATCAATGTTCAACAAGAAGAAGCGGTGAAAAACAAAAAAGTGTTACAGCAACTTTAGGACTTGTAGTGCATGCCGCAGTTGATGGAGTTGCTTTAGGAGCTGCTGCTACTACATCTCAAGCTGATGTCGAAGTGATCGTTTTCTTAGCAATAATGCTGCACAAAGTAAAGCTTTTGATTATATTATTCTTTAATTGTTAATTAAAAACAGTCTTTTAATATAATTATTTTATTTACTTTTTTTGTTAAACATTATATTGTGTTTTTTTTTATAGGCACCAGCTGCATTTGGACTTGTGTCATTTCTCCTTCATGAAGGTGTAGATAGAAAGAAAATAAGTAGACACTTATTAATTTTTTCTCTAGCGGCACCATGTCTTGCACTTGTGACATATTTTGGGATTGGAAAAGTGAGTATTGCGCAGTAGTCGTCATATCATTTTTATAAGTAATATTTAAATCATACATTGTTATATAAAATGTGACCAATAATTTCTTACACTTAAATGAGTATCTTGTGAAGTATCTTGGTTAATTCTTTTCAAATCTTTTATTTTGAATCTTTTATTTCTGAAAAAATGTTTTTAATTTAATTTTTATTTTAGTTATCTTAAACCTATTTTTTCTGTAATTATACAAAATAACATAAATATGTACTTATATATATATATATATAAATTTTTAATTAATAATTATTAATTTGCTTGTTGCAGGAAGGGAAAGAAACATTAAGCAGTGTCAACGCAACTGGTTTAGCCATGTTGTTTAGTGCTGGAACATTCCTTTATGTAGCTACTGTACATGTTTTACCAGAATTAATGACAAGAAACAGTAATTACTCGCATTTATCAAATGTTGAAGGTGCAACAATATCTGCGACTGGGCTTAAGGTTAAAGAAATATTATTTTTAGTAATAGGATCATTTTTACCTGCTTTGATTACAACTGGACATCATCATTGACTAAAACAAATATTATGTAAGAAAGATTTTTATTCTATATCTGTAATATTTACGAAAGTTGTTTTGATTTGTAACATTCTATTTTTAAGATATGCTTTAAAATATTATTATTTGAAAACGCTTTTATAAAAAAATTATAAAGATTGATATGTTGAGAAAAAAGTAAAAATTACTAATATATGTATATTGTTTAATAAAATTAAAGTCTATTTTATTACAAAATTGAAACAAATTTGATTGTCGAATAATTTAATTTGCAAAATTGGAGCATTTAAAATACTAATAAATCAGGAATATATCAAACAAATCAAACTTCTTAAGTCATCTTTTGAAAATAAAGCAGGGTTTACATTATCATTTTAAACTTCCAGCCAAATTTCTAGTTAAATTTAAAATGGAATTTTCATTTAATGTGTATAATAAATAAATTTCAATCAAGTCGAATCATACTGTTGCAAACAATCTATATCTTTCCATCAAATATCTTTTGATGGAAAGTTATGAACTGAGCTGCGTAATAACAAAATTGCGTTTGAAGTTAATAATAAGTTCAATAGTGTAAATCTTACTTAAAATATATAGGTTATTTAAAAAGTTCTTGGAATAAAATATAAATGGATCTATATTGATCTATATTTTAATGGCATCAATAAAGATTTTGGAAAATCGCCAATTAAAGAAAAAATTTCTAAAATTATTAAGGCCATGGTCATTTTAAATGAACATGTGTTTTATATTTTAACTAACGAATTGTGTACGAAAAAGCTTTCTCCAAATTATTTTGCAAACAAGACAATGCATGTCTCTATACAAACACATACAAGTGTTGTTTCAATGAAAAAAATCAATGAATAATCGATGAATTGAAGTATGATTTGTTTTCATATACTTATTCATTTGTTTTAGTTTCGTTTGACTTACTACGGATGAAAAAAATTCTTTCTGGGAAAAAAGATTTTTGACAGATAAAGAAATGAAAGAAGCCGTTGAAGAATATCTTACAGGCCTTGACAAGTTGGAGTTTTGTAATAATATAATGGCTTTGAAACATTGTTGGTACAAATGCATTGATGTTTAAGGAAAAATTATATTAAAAAATAAAAACAATTTTAAAAAGACTGTATAAACTGTTTATAAATTATTTTTTACTTTATTTCGAGAACTTTTAATGACTTTTTAAATAACTCGTGTAATTCGTTTTTTCACTTTAGTACTTTACGTATATAAGAATAATAACATTTAACAAATTTATTTTACAATAATTTAAAACAGAACTAATTAGTGAGACGTTTATGTATATTTTTTGCTCTCTTGTTCACATAGTATTATAAGTTTAGACAATTCTATTTTAAATAACCGGCACCACTGTCAGTATAGAAACTTTCGACGATGTACCACCAAAAAAGAGGTTCTTTCACAAATAGAGACAAAACTATCATTTACTGGAGGATCCATAATCTTTATTGGTTAATATCTAGTGAATTTGGTCATTTTCGTAATTTTTATATTATATTGTTCATGCTCTGACTTTCATTTCTATGATTTCTTTTATCATCGGCACATCCGTTGTGCGTGCGTCTCTAAGTTTCCTTTCTTTATTGCATTCGTAGTTTTAGATACATTCAACAGTGAAATCAGTCGTTCGTCGGTAATCATGTAAATAGGTTAGTTTTATTTTCGTTGCTTCGTTGATCGCATTAAGTTAGGTTAGGTTGTTTCAGTTTTTGATGGACGAGCACGAATAAACGAGTGTAATTAAACTATATTTGTATCAATTATTATTTGAAAAAGAGATACTCTTCGCAAAACTTTCAAGATTTAAAATATTTTGGTTTTGGAATGCAACTCAAAAGAGCGATTGATCAGGCAGTGAAATAACTGTCATGAGAGCGATTATGTTAGTGTAAGTGTGACTGTATTTTCACTTGAGCTCTCCATTTCGAAAAAAGAGCAATCATTGTACTACGTGGGACTTGAAGCAAAATACTTGCAGAGGAATTGTGACAAAGCGAGATATATTCCGGTAAGAAATAAAGACTTATTTTTCCGTTTGCAAAACGGAGTGGAGTAATATATAAGTAATATAAATTCAGCATTTTTAAAAAATTTAGCATTTTATCGTTATGAAAAACATTCTTTTGTACTTATTTTAATGTTATTAAACAAATTTATGAATAATTATGAACATAACTATTCCAGAAATTTGTATTAAAATAATTTCTAGAATTATTTCATAAATTTAATATTTTTTATTTCGCAGAAAAATGGTAAATGATTCGTTTTCTCTACACGCACGTCAACCTGTCGTATATTTCTAACGAAATTTGTCCTTGTCTCTTTCTCTCTTCTCTCTTTTTTTCTTTTTTTCCGTCCTTCTCTTTTTTCCTCTGAATAAGAGCTATTTTATTTTTATAAAAATAACACTTCTGTACTTATTCTTACACTTATTCAAGCAATTTGTTAAAAGTACAATACGAGAAGACAAATCATTAACTCAATAAATGTAATTCAATTTCAATAATAGGAAAATTATTTTAATCATTCTTTGAAATTATTTTATTTAACTTTCGAGAAAAAAGATTCACAAACAATAAACTTACGCTGAATATTATCGATCTTTAGATATAGTAACATCGATATGAGATAGGAACACATGCACAATCTAATTTTGCAATCGTTAAATCGACATTATGCAACGCAACTGACGAACGTAGGCGCTTCTCCGAAGAACTGTTCACCTATAAATGAAAATAAAGTGACGTAGAAACGGTGCAGTGATGTAGAAGCGCGTCAAATTTCTAGGCCATATTCCTCGAAACAGACGTCATCGCAGTGCTGTTATATCGTGCCAGTTATTGCAAAAAGCGTTTTTCTGGGAGTTTATATTTGGAAATATAAGAAAGAATGAAATCTTTCAATAGCGTAGCTAGAATTATTATACCGTTATACAATGTCGGAAATGTATTTTTATTAATATTAATCAATTATTATTTTTTTATAATTTAAATATTAGAAAAAGATTTTCTTAATACAAAGAATACAATATGAATTATTACGTTGCTAGATCTTCCCAATTATTCATATTTATAATAAATGTCTGAATAAACGTTCCCGAAAAACATATTTTCAGGACTTATCAGTTTTCAAAATTACATACTTTGTAATTAATCGTGATATTAAATTTTATTAAAAGTTTGTTTAAAATTGTCTATGAAATACAGTTTTGTTATTTATTTATTTCTAAAACATTTGGCTCGAAAATAAGCGAAGCTATTTGCGTATATTTACGTGTGTATGTGCGTACGATTAAATGCGACGACAAAGCGTCGGTGGATTCTTCGAATCTATGCCCATCCATGTTGTTTATCTCGGAAAATCTGCATAATGCGGTCAAAAGATCGCTTCGCGGAACTTATTCACGAGGAGCGCGTCCTACGTCTTTCCGCCGTGTTACTCAAGATAACGAGGTCGGTCACGTATAATCAAGAATTGTGAGTGTGTAATTATTGATAAAAATTAGCAAAATTAGCATGCGTTGTACAAAAGAATCTTTTAATTGTCTTTTCGTGCCTGAATTCATAGATGATTCTTATTTGCATCTATTGACTAATTACATGATGCAACATTTTTTTTACTTATTTTATTACTTCTTATATAGAATATTGCATGATATATAATTATTAGTGACAACTGTATTTTAGATCATTTTTTTTATTTAGTAATTAATTTCTTTTCAGAATTTAAAAGTTAGTAGATATTTTCATATTCAGTAATATTTTCTTATCTATAATATTTTCTTATCAGTAAGTTTACTCAATTGGTATCTAAAATGGGCTAAGAAGTATATAAGTATAGAGAATTTAATCTACAAGGAAAATTAGAAAAGTAAAGAACATTTGTCGAATAAGCATATTTAAGGAAAGAAATACAAGAAAAAATAACTTTTATTTTTAACATAATCACCACTGTGTTCAACATAATTAATTCAGCAGCGAATAAGCTGGTGTATTCTTTCTGAAACTATATAAGTCGCACTTTTCACGCATTTAGTATTCTTTCCTATCTCTATATCAGTGAAATATTTGTCTTTCAAGATCTTTGAAAAACTGAAAGTTTTCAAGAAAACGTGATTGCCTGAAATAACATTGACTTTGTTATATTTCAGATTGGACCATAATTGTGTTATGTCGACTGCGGTGATCCAATTACAAATATACGACAATTTACGATGCTGACAATATGCCCGACGTGTCGCCACCGTTTTCTTCAGCCGAGACACTTTCAAGAATCGAGCGAGCAAGATAGGTGGAAAGAAGCGAAAAAAGAGGATGAGAAAGAAAAGATCGCTAATACAGTCCATTCGACGACATCAACTTGTTATGTCGGTGGTCTCCTAGTTCCGCGCGAATATACTAATGGAGATAGCTGTTTTGTAAACGCACCGACAATCATCCATGGATCGACTGTTGAACCGTTTCAATCAGCTGTAGCTCACTGCGATTCTAATATTGGAATTGCCGGTTCCGAAACAGTGGATCTCTCCTGCGATCCTCAGTCATCGAGGAAACAGGATGACTATTCGCTTTCAAGATCGTGGAAAGATCAATTGAACAATCAGGCTTCTTTGATTATGGCAGTAGAGAATGTCGCCTACGAGACATCTTCCGAGCAACATATCGTGACTACGTGCAAATTGGCTGGCGGTAGCGTTACGATTACCGCACCCAATATACAGTGGAGCAACAGTTTAATCCAGAGTACGGAAGATGGAATTCGAGTACAACCTCCGCATGTTGAGATTCAGCCAAAGCTTACCGGTGGCGGTTGTCTTATACAGAAAAGTGTATCCACCGAAACCGAGCAATTGTCAACATCTAAAGACACAGAGAATTCAGCGCTCATAGATAATAATGCTCATCAGATGCTTATTGTGTCGCCAAGCGGCTGTTCAGAATTACCTGGGAACAAATGGATATACTCGCCTAGAACGAAAACAGAAGAAAACAGTGAAACAACGAGTCCGGAGTTAAAGCAGCAGCAGATGCCAAACACGATTAGAACAAACAAATGTTGCGACTGTATGGTTCAGCAGAAATTCTGTCAGTGTTATCAACGGTCATCCGATGCGTCTCTCGTAGACAATCACGATTCATTGTTGCTGAAGCCCGTCGGCAGTGGCGTGCAAATTCGACTTAACGCCACTGTGCAACTACCTGCGAACTTGGGTCAATGCACGGTAAATATCACAGCGACAACGGCGCCGTGCAGTCCAGTTACGAAGCCGACGACAAAGCCGCGCACTAGGAATAACTTCAATGGAGGTGGCATCGTACAACCGGAGGAAGCAGATTGCGCGACGAGAAATCGGATTATCGCAATCAAAGATAGCAATAGTAACGAGTGGAAGAACGAACCTCCTATGTCCTGGTTAATGCCTTGTCCCTGGAGCTTGGGCACAGACCTGCTAAACAAAGACGTAAATAGATTACGCGAAGTAAGGAAACTGTTGCAGATTTGTGGTTGGTATCACGAGGGTGTCACTTGGCAGCAAAGTGAAGATCTTTTGAAGAACGCACCTGTCGGTCGGTGGCTGATGAGAGACAGTTCGGATAGTAAATACATTTTTGCGGTATCTATACAAACGGCCAGAGGGCCTACTTCCGTCAGAGTGCACTATTTTTTCGGACAATTTCGACTTGATGCAGAACCAAGATTGACATTAGCAATGCCGCTCTTTAGTTGTCCTATTAGTATGTTGGAACACTACGTCGAGTACTCAAAAATCGAGCATAGAAGAGAAGTATGGGTTGACTACAATGGTCAACTGTATAGTCATATTTATTTGACCAAACCTCTCGTCAAAGAAGTTAGAACATTATCGCATCTGGCTAGGCTCGCCGTGAACCGAAACAAGCTACCCACCAAACATTTGCCACTCTTAATCAGAGACTATCTTGCGGAGTATCCGTATACGCTTTGAGTGTACAGTCACGGCACACAAATTCTATCTTCCGATATCTATAAATTAGATTTTATTTTTCTACATATGGTACGGACTTTTTCCACAGTTTATTTTTCGATGATTGGCGCCGGACTTTATCTTCAATCGCGTTGATCATAGAGATTATGTAAGAAGGAAGAGAAATTGCGAATGTAATTATATAAATCAATTTCTCGTATTAATGACTTGTGTTCTTATCGTCTGTTTCATGTTAAATGTGTTTCGTTACACATGTGTTTTATTTCTTAAAATCAAATATGATAATATCTTATATGATATATTATAAAATTGCGTCTACTTGTATGTATTTTTTAATACGTATTATATGTATTATTTTAATATGTATTGTATGTATTATTTTAATATACTAATTATGTAAATGGAACAAATTTTTATTTATCGTACACAGAAGAAAAATCTAGCATCAATCCGTCGTATTTAGTATCAAAATAAAAACATGAATTAAAGATACGAGATTAATCTTTGATGTTAAATAGAAATTATATCAGGCCATAAAGAATTAAAGTATTGTTGTATTGTTAAAAAATCGATGTATTATATTGAAAACAATTAATGTTTATTTCGATTATTAATTAATGTTTTTTATTCAAAAATTTTTCAAAAGAAACACGTTCGGGACTTTAATTGACAACACTGCTTTTTATACCAAATCAATGGCGGCTGATCATGTGATCGAAAAAAGAAAAGATTAAAGGTGACGTGTAAATATACTGGTTATATTATGATGCTATATTAAAGAGAAGGCTTATAAAAAAGATGATAAAATTTGCCTGCCATTTTTTTTTTTGGTCATTCCGCGCTTTGAGAGCCACCTTTCCCGGCGAATTCCAGCATATAAGTATATATATGTAGTTCAATGGTTTACAGATAAAATCTGGAATGTAGCATGACGTGTCTTGTCAGCATGTATTGAACGCATGCGCAATGCCGCCTTACGTGGCATCGGCAGCGATTGTAATTGCATCGACATACGTTATCTTGTACGTTTTCGCGTAAACATTTTCGGCGATATTAAGTTTTGTTATGACTCAAATACATATTGCGATATAATGTAAGTATACTGTATATTTTATAATTATATATAAATCTTCTACTTTTGTATGTAATAGTTTCTGAATTTGAAATGTCATGTACGCTTTTACTGTTCTTTCTGTCATTAATATTTTATATCTTAATATACTTGTGTTTTATTTAAATAAAAACTTGTATATCTTGATAGCGAATTATCTATATTTTATATATATTTTATTCATATTTTATCCAAAAATTGACACTTTTTTATACAACTTATATAGGTTAACTTTCGTTCTCTGAAACATTTTTAAATTTCTTTTATTTATTTATATTCTTTATATGTGCCATTACATGTTATACTACCGGTTGCAAATTACAATAATTTATGTATATTGAAATTGTTGAACTTTTTTTGATTGTTTTTTCAATACTACTTTTATATAAGACATGAGTGTGATAACTTTAGTACATTCTTACAATATGTTTATAATTTTTGATTGCTTTTGTAATAAATATTGTTGTAATAGATGCAGCACATTCAGGAAATAGGTAGGCAACATCCGTATGCCACACCTGTACCTCCAATGAACAATCAGCAAAACTTTTCAAGACCATCAATTGTGGATCAGCAGAACTTGCCAGGCCCGCACCCTCACCTGTTGCCTACGCAATCTATAGATCATTCTCATGCGACGAGTCCTCCAATGACAGATATTCCTGGTTCTCAAATGCCTCCATATTTATCTGCAGGCCCTCATGGACATGGGCAGTCTTCTGTAGGTTATCAGTCACAAGTGACTAATCTTCCGAATACTAGTTTACCTCAGTCTGGAATAGGATCATACAACTCGGCACCACCATTACCATCACAGGCTGTAGCGAGTCCCCCAGGCCCAGGTTTATCGCAATTTGAATCGAGACAATTTGCTCCTCCTCTTTCTACGATGGTGCAATCTATAGTGAATCCTTCAGGGCCTAACTTTTCTCAAGCTCGACAAAAACCATATCCGCAAACGGTACCTCCAATGCCAGGTCAAACCATAACGAGTCCCACAGGACCAGGCTTATCACAGCCTGGGCAAAGGCAATATAGCTCTGGACCTCCACTGCCAGGGCAAAACTTATCCAGTCCTTTAGGAATGAATCGTGCAGCACCTGGTGTTACTCCAAGCTATCAACAACCAGTGTATCAACAATCAGGATATCATAATCAAATGGTATGATATATATTATATATTAATTTTATATTATGAACAATATGATGAAGTTTTTTGTTTAAAAATTAACTAAAAACTATTATTATGTATCACAATATATTGTTTTCTTTTATCAGGACATGTATAACACTCAAAGAAGTTCATATCAAAACAGTGCGTCTAATGCTACAGGATATCAACCAGGATTGCAACCTCAACAAGCTAGACGACTTGATCCAGAGCAAATGCCAAGTCCAGTATGAATTTTATTGTTATCATTTTCATTTATTTACCATTATTATCGCATATTACTCCAAAATAAGTGAAATTAAACTATATGCTCGATACATAGATTCAAGTAATGCAAGATGATCAAAATACAAGAGGCGGAGTATTTGTAACAAATCAGAGAGGTCTGGTACCACCACTGGTAACGACAAATTTCATAACTCAGGATCACGGAAATGCATCTCCCAGATATATGAGATCTACTATGTATACTGTTCCCACTACTGCTGATATTATAAAGCAGGTATATCGTAGTTAATATATAGTATATCGTAAAGTTAATAAAACTTATTATACATTTAGCTCTTTCACATTATGATGCATGCATATCTTTTATAGACCAATATTCCCTTTGGACTTGTGATAAGCCCAATGGCTCGTATCATGCAAGGAGAATGCGAACCACCGATTGTAGATATGGGTGAAGTCGGGCCGGTACGTTGTGTACGTTGTAAAGCATACATGTGTCCATTTATGCAATTTGTTGATGCTGGTCGAAGATTCCAGTGCATGTTTTGTAAAGCGACAACAGAAGGTAACAATTAAAAATTAACGTTTCTATACAGATTGTCTGCAAATTTTTTTTTGTATATTATACATAATGTTTTTTATATTTCTATATTGTTCATGTTTAGTTCCGAGTGAGTACTTTCAACATTTAGACCATACAGGTCAACGTTTGGATCGCTACGAGAGGCCTGAATTAATGCTGGGTACATTCGAATATATAGCCACGAAGGATTATTGTAGGGTAATATAAATTAATACAGATTTAATAATTTCCATAATTTGTCTGATAAAATTACTTTTGACACATTATATGAAATAATTTTAAATTAAATTTTAAATTAAATATTGCACTTAAAGTATGATAGATAAGTTAAGAAGTAAAGTAAGAGTTGAGATGATTTATTTAAAACTTACAATTATAAATTTATATACTAATTTTTATATGTTTATTTTTTCCATAGGACAACATTTTCCCAAAATCACCAGCCATTGTGTTCGTAATTGATGTGTCGTATAATACAGTTAAATCTGGTTTAGTAAATTTGCTATGTACAAAAATGAAGTCTATTATAAAGAACTTACCAATTGATGCCGGACAAACCAAAAGTAACATGAAAATTGGGTTTATTACCTATAATAATACTGTACATTTCTATAACATCAATTCTTGTCTCGCTCAACCACAAATGATGGTTGTTGGAGATATTCAAGATGTATTTATGCCACTTTTGGATGGATTTTTATGCGACATTGAGGAGAGCGAAACAGTTATTGACAGTCTTATGACACAAATTCCTCAAATGTTTGCGGACACTCGAGAAACAGAAACAATTCTTGCTCCTGCTATACAAGCTGGATTAGAAGCATTAAAGGTAGTTGAATAAAACATGATTGTGTGCATATAATCTGGAAAGAAACTGAATCTGAAAAAGAAAACTATAGAAAGCGTTCTCATCGTCTTATGTATAATTTCAGGCGTCCGAACGTTCTGGTAAATTATTGGTATTTCATTCGTCATTACCAATCGCTGAAGCGCCTGGGAAATTGAAAAATCGTGATGATCGTAAAGTACTTGGAACAGATAAAGAAAAAACGGTATTAGGTATGCGACTTTATTAGTTTTGATTACACTTTGTATTTTACAATTGCAATTTGTATGAAAAAATAATTTTGTGTTTTTCATAGTGCCACAAAACAATGTCTATAATAATTTGGGTCAAGAATGTGTGGGTGCAGGTTGCAGCGTAGATCTGTTTATCTTTAATAATTCCTATGTAGATATAGCAACAATTGGTCAAATTTGTCGTCTTACTGGAGGAGAAGTTTATAAATATACTTACTTTCAGGTGAGTTATGCCGTATTGTAATAGAAATATAGGAATAATTAACATTAAAGCTTAAAGTATTTCTTATCTTTATAAGGTGAATTGTGACTGAAGAATATAATCTTCTAATGTATATATTGCAGGCTGAAATCGATGGTGAAAGATTAATTTCAGATGTTATTAATAATATTAGTAGACCGATCGCTTTTGACGCTGTTATGCGAGTACGTACATCTACGGGTGTTAGAGCAACTGATTTTTATGGGCACTATTTTATGTCCAATACAACTGATATGGAATTAGCCAGTATAGATTGCGATAAGGTACTGTTGCATCATATTTTTTTATGTGCAATTTATATTACGCTTACAGAATTACATTCCTAGAGTGTCTAGACACAAAGCAAAGAGTTATATATTAGTGTTTATATGCTTTAATTTTATTTTACTTAATTAGCTTAATTTAATTTAATAAGGCTATTGGAATAGAAGTTAAGCACGATGACAAATTGACGGATGACGAAGGTGTCTATATTCAAGTAGCTTTGTTATATACTTCTTGCGGTGGTATAAGAAGATTGCGAATTATAAATCTAAGTCTGAAAACATCGTCGCAAATGGTCGAATTATATCGTGCGTGCGACTTGGATGCTATTATAAATTACTTCTCGAAGCAAAGTAAGATATTTCATTAGCGATTTATTACGAATAATATTTGTTCAAATAATAACATGTAATTGTACATTTAGATGTTTTCAAATTATTGGAATCTACTCCAAAAACGGTGAAGGATAATTTGATTGCAAGATGCGCGAATATGTTGGCTATATATCGAAAACACTGTGCAACACCATCCAGTGCTGGACAATTGATATTACCAGAATGTATGAAATTACTTCCGCTTTACATCAACTGTTTACTGAAAAGTGATGCACTATCAGGAGGTAAACACACGACACACACACATGTGCGCACGCACAAATTATATCTATAAAATTATTTGTAATGACTCTGGTTTTTTGTTTCTTTTTTTAGGAGCTGATATGACTATTGATGATAGATCTTACGTCATGCAAGCGGTTGCAACTATGCCTATTTTCATATCTATTGCATATACTTATCCTAGATTATTTCCCTTGCACGACATCGATCCTCAAGATACGGAATTGCCTCCGATGTTACGCTGTTCTATCGATAAATTTACGGATGATGGTGCTTATTTGCTCGGTAAATATCAAAATGAGACATCTTTCTACCAAAACCATTAAAGTTATTTAAGTTAATGTAAGATTAATGTAAGAAGGATGTACGGTTAAGATATAATTATAAAACTGTAAAAATTTCAAGATTTCTATCAGTTATTACTTATTACGCTTCGACAGACATGAAGAATTATATCAGTATTCACGGATTTTGTCTTGTTTGCAGAGAACACCATCCATATATTCTTATGGTTGGGTATGGCACTTTCTTCCCAATGGGTGCAGAGTGTTTTTGGCGTATCTTCGGTGGTCCAAGTCGATACAGATCGCACTGTACTGCCAGTATTAGACACTCCTTTGAATAACAGGATCACAAATATTATCAATCGTATACGTGGCGAAAGACATCGTTGTATGAGAGTAAGTTTCACATAATGCATGCATTGCATAAATACATTGTCCTAAAATAATCTTGTTTCTCTGTTATTTTAGTTAACAATAGTGAGACAACGTGAAAAACTAGAGATGGTGTTGCGTCATTTCTTAGTTGAAGACAGAGGAAATGATGGAAGCCCTAGCTACGTCGATTTCCTATGCCATATGCACAAGGAAATAAGAACACTACTTAGTCAATAAATAATTTTTTAAGTAATCAACTATTTTGTATTCTAACTCTAGCTCTTTCTGTCGATGATTTATTATCATGTTATTTTGAATGAATTCAATTAAAGCTTTGTATTCAATCATTGTACTTTTATGCGCGCGTCTGCATGCGTATTGAAAAAAATGAAACGTGAACATTATCTACGTAAATAGGATAGATGTGGAAAAAATACAAATGTATTCTTCAACAAATGTAAAATTATTTTCTTCTGAAGGAGAAGTTAAGTGGTGATTGAATTAATCAATTGATCAAATAATTATATTTAAAAAGAATGCAGAAGTTACGTTTATTTATATATTTTATGTATCTAGATATAAAAAAAATTTCGTCGAAAAATGAATTTTTTTACAACAGCACCATCTAAAATCTATAATATAATAAATCTTTGATAATTAAGTTTTTAAGTTTAATAGTTGTACAATAAGGAGAAATTAATTTAAAACTTGGCGACGGATACATATGTATTTATTACTAACTTTGGGCTTGGTCTAGACATGTATACAGAATTTGGCGGGCAGTGGATTTGAAAGAACACGACTAATCATTCCGACTGGTACCAATATATGTGAAAAATAGACACACATCTAATTCGTACAGGAAATATATGGATAACTATAAATATAATTGTATTATTACTTTACATTTTAATTAGTTTGTTAAGTAATTCGTTATGTTATTACCATATGCTGAGTTAATAAAATATATATTATATGAATCATATAAACTTATATAACAATTAATATTTGTGTTAATCTTATTGATAATATCAGAAATCTATATTAATACATGTATTTATATTACTTCAAGATCAAATTACATCTGTATTTGTATACAAAAAGTTGAATTTCTTTTTAATCTAAGTAAAATGGATATAAAAAGGTAACAAAAAATGTATTTTTATTGTAATAGACAAGATGAATATAATTTGTGATAAAATATTGAGTTTAGTTGTTGAAATAATATTATAGAAAAAATTTAAAATTTTAATTTATAAAATGAAATAGTTATGTCATGTTTATAAATCTATCCTAACGATTTTGTTTATGTTTCATCATAAAAAACAACGAATTATACGTTTGATAGCACAATGAACCATTAATATGCAAAATTTTGTATATAAAGTGATCGGTAATCTTGAAAATCAAATTTTACAAAAACACACTCGCACAATATACACATGCTTGAATAAGACATATTCCTGTATGACTTTTTGCATTAGTCATGCTCGAATTAACAATTCTAAGGAATTTTAATTCTTAATATTAAAATATTAGGATATAATGTTGATAAAAACGCAACATTGTACAAGCTGTCCCTGAAATAAAAAATAGACAAATTAAAGAAGCGTATTTTTTAAACGATTTATCCTAATATTTTGCTTGCTAAAAAATGTACTCAAATATTGCAGTTTAATTGATACAAGTTTTTACTTTCACTTCTTGGCTATATATATATGTTCGTGATGTAATCATACGTGCCAATACTAAAATAAGACAGGTTGTATTGCCATTTCAGTTCAGTGCCACTGCTATCATCACGCAAGTCCGAGTCATTCATGATCTCGAGAGATTTTTTGTAACAACAATATTTGTCTCACTTTATCGAAGAAAAGAAGGTAAATACATATATTATGGAAATTTTATAGACATATAAATAATAGACATCTAAAAAAAAAGAAAAGATATATGAAAATGTATTCCATATTTATATAATTAAATATATTTTATTAAAAAACATTTTAACATTTTATTAAATAGCATATACTTCTTTTATAGAAATGGACGAATTTAATTGTTTTTACGATAAATTAAAGTTTGACGAAGCTTGTACAAATGTAATATCCGATGATAGCATTTTTAATGCTTGGCTTTATTCGCTCTCTACAGATTGCTTATCGGTAAGCACAATCATAATACTTTGTATTATCTCTGTACAATCGTGACGCTTTGTATTATTTTGTATAATCTTTAATTATCAGATTTTAAAAAAAACTGTAATATAAAGAAAAAAAGAAAGTAAGCAGCACTTATAAACGAATTGTTACATATTTTAAATAAAATTTTTAGGCAGTTTAAGATATAATTTCTTTATATATTATGATCAGTATATTTCTGTTACATTTTCTTAGTGTCCCTATAAACGAATAGCACCAATTTCAACAAATGTCAATTTTAGTTTAAAATTTAATACGATTAAAACATTAAAATGGAGAATATTAAACAATAATGGCAATGATGAATATATTTCTGCCAAAAATACAAGGTAAATTTATTATATAATATTACTGTTCAACACCTTCCTCACTCACACGTGCGCGAGCATGAATATTCAAAACGATAGTATCTACATTATTTATTAGTGAAATGTTTTGTTTGAATCTATTTAGAATTTTATTTTATAGCGGTATTGTGTGCGAACTGTTGCCGAATCTAGGACAATACGGTTTATACGAACTGGCAATACAAAATAAAACTTGTAGTTTTAGAACTTTGAAAAATCCAACGTATCCATATTCAGGTATATGTTTCAATATTCTCGAAGGTTTTGTAAATATTTCTTGAGATAAACACATATCTTACGCCAGCGGTTTCACCGTTTCACTCATTTACTGAGTTTGATATAGTGGCGATAAAAGAAAAACAAGATATCAATAATATTCGCCAGAGAATTACTGTAGATCCTTTATCGTTTTTGCAATTTTGCAATAATAATTGAAATATTAATCAACCCTTTCGGTATTAAAAGTGACTATAATAACCCACCGCTGAGTGCTTAAATCTTGTTGTTAAACTCTTTTCTGTTCAGTTTACCGCGCTCTACCCGTACACAAGCGTTGGCCTTAACATTATGAAACACTCTGTATAATAAGCAGAAAATTTATGTAATCTTATAAATTATTTGTAAAAAATATCAAAATGCATTCTTTACAGAACTTTTTATTGTTTTGGGAATAATTGTACTTATCTTATTTGGCATATCCACTGGAAGATCTTTATGGTACATATTTAAAAAAAGATGCGTGAAAAGCGCTGGAATTTCAGCGGAAGAATTAAATAAAGGACTAAAAAAACGTCGCATACAAGCTATCGATACATTCAGGGGGTACATGTTATTAAAAATTATATAAAACATATAAAATTTGAATTTAAAATTTAATATTAGGAATACAAGAAAACAATCGTTGACACAGGGCCAGTACTCTTTTCATGATTTTTGTTAACGGTGGCTCCGGTAGTTACACTGTATTAGAACATACAACTTGGAATGGAATGTTGCCGGGAGATTTAGTATTTCCTTGTTTTATGTGGATTATGGGAGTTTGCATTCCTATAGCCTTGTCGGCGCAGTATAAGCGTGGGCTTTCAAAATTTCAAATCAGCTGTTCTATCTTAAAGGTGTGCGTCGTAAAAATAACAAGACAACAATTAACAAATCATCAATATAAATTTCATATATGACATACTTATATTGATACATTATAATATATTTTTGCAGAGAAGCTTTCTTCTATTTTTCATAGGCGTTGCATTAAACACGATAGGAACAAACGTGCAACTGGAAAATATACGCATATTTGGAGTTCTTCAACGATTCGGGATTACTTATTTAGTTGTTGGATTAATATATCTTTGTTTTATACGCCAACAGCCAAAAGCTGTTCAGGTATGAAGAATACAACTTGTTTTTTAGGCCTTATAATAAATGCAAAGGTGTGACTTGTAGAATTTATCACGAAATTGGATAGTGCGTGAAACGCAGGATATATTAAACATTTTGCCATGTTGGTGCGCAATGCTAATTCTAATAATCATACATTGCGCTTTAACATTTGGTCTTCCGATTCCCGGATGCCCCACGTACGTAAATTGACTTTGATTTTGAATTTAAAATATTTAAGAACATTTTGTCTATTATTGTTAATAAATTATAAATTTATCTTTACAGTGGGTATCTTGGGCCAGGCGGAAGACACGAAGACAGTAAATATTTTAACTGTGCCGGGGGTGCGGCTGGATACATCGATAAAAGTATATTGACTTTGAATCATATTTATCAAAGACCAACCATTGATCTCGTTTATGGTTCTGGGCCTTTTGATCCCGAAGGCATTTTGGGTAACTTTGATTACATATATCGTTATAGTTACATGTTATTATAAAGATATTCAATTTTTTTATGTGTAGTAAACAAGTAATAGCTGAATCCCTAAATTTAAATTCATACTAATTGTAAGTATTTTTAAAATTGCATTTACTAGACATTGTATGTTTTTCCAGGATGTTTTATGGCGATATTTCAAGTATTTTAGGTGTACATACTGGTGTAATTCTGATGATATATAAAGATTGGAAAGAACGTGTCACCCGATGGCTTTTATGGGGCAGCATTGTATGGTTGTTTGGGATGCGCTTTTCATTTTACCAACGTTATACCAGTCAATAAAAACTTGTGGTAAAGTATTAATAAAATCTGTTTTCATTACTCGTCCAGATATTAATTTACGCAGATATTTTAACACAGAATTATTATTATTAATTATTATTTAATATTTTATATATCTACTTTTTCTTAAATATATTTTAAATTGACAAATATAAATAAAATTTTTAAAAAATATAAATCGGTATATGTACATATATGTGTAATTACGCAGGTCTTTGTCATTTGTGCTCGTTTCCACCGCGTATGCTCTAGCTTTTCTTTCTGGATTTTACTTGTTAATTGATGTTACTAAAGTTTGGCAGGGTGGCCCCTTCAGAATACCCGGTAAGCATAGAAAGTAATTAAAATCAATATCATATTTAATTCTATTTAGATATAACATTATAAAATTAAGCTTTATATCAGCAGCAAGTCTAGCATAGTAAGATTCATGTACAATTAACGGGACAGATGCAAATGTGTTTAAATTTTTAGTATTTTGCATACTTTGTTTCTTTCTACATACAGATATTTTTAATCGCAAGCCATGCCGCTACTATTTTAATATCTGCAATGCATAAATTTGTTTTAATATTGTGCAAATATGAATTTAGGAATGAATGCGCTGGTATTATACGTGGGTCACAGCATATGTCAAATCTTTCCATTCCATTGGAGGATCGGCGCGATGGATATTCGTGCTTTGTGCTTAATTGAATCGATCTGGGTTGTAATTCTTTGGGCAATTATAGCATACATTATGCATCATAAACGAATATACATCACACTTTGAATTACATCTATTTATAGCTTTTCAGATAGCAAAATATCTCTATAATTATAATTTTAGAATAAATCAATTTCAACTTTATAAAGATTTTATTTTACAATTAGATGTAGCACAATAACAAATGCAGGTAACAGAATTAACAGATAATGTATGCATACACATATATTCTCGGATAATGATTAATATTTTTGACAAGAGTGTTATTAGATTACATCTTTTATAACAAATTATTTAACTTAATAAACAAACCACATCTCTGCTCAAAGTATACTACTCCACAAAAAATAGAGAACACCTTTCAGACGCATGTCTGAACATCTCGACACAATGTGACCGACTGACTGTGAGTGTGCGGCGTACGCGCCATTAATACACATTTCAAGAACCGTAAAAATAAAAATTTTTTTAAACCGATTAAAAGCATGTGAAAGTAAAAACTTCAAGTTTTAAAATGCTTTTTTTAATTTTTTGTCAGAAAGGATTTTTCACAAAGTTTCAGTGATTTAAAAATTGCTCGATTTTGAGCGTCTGTGTTCTTTATTTTTTGTGGAGTAGCGTTGTACAATATAACACAAAGTACAAAATATAATATGTGTAATTGTGACATGTCGATGAGACGACCAGCGTTGTAATAAAAAGCTATTTAATCCTCAAATACGTTCTTAAGAAATTGGTTAAAGAGTCAGGAAAAGTTATTGCTCATTTACAGATAAATAAAGTTTTAAAAGCACGTTTAAATTAATTATATGAAAAGCTTACACGTTATCACACATAAATGTACAGTGTTTCTACAATCATTAAACAACGATTAAAAATGAAATTACCAACTTGTTCATTCAATCGAGATATCTACAAGAGATAATATCATTTAAGACACTGAAACTAAAAATTCAAACATGTGTTTAAAATTTTTAACAAAATATCCGAATATTTCCCTTACAATTTACAGTCTTCTCTTTGAAAAGAGTCTTTGGTTAATTTTTTTTCACTGGATGATTGTTAAGCTAAACATAGATAAGCGCTATGGATATTGTATAAATAAAATAAAAAAAGCACACTAATTCGATTTTGCCTAAAGAGAATTCCACTCCGTCCTTTCTCAGTAATCAGTTGCATCTGGATCTGAAAAATGAGAAATTAAATTTTTTTAAATTCTATATAATAAACGTGTAAAAACAAAATTTAAAAAAAATTATATATCTACAGAATATATTTATTTAAAAAAATGTTTTTAATCTAAATGAATTATGTATGACATCAATATTTATCAAACTTTGTTTTCTTATTTTTATATATACAGAGTAACCCATTCTGTCATGGATTTATCTCTGAAAGTAAATATAGTACATATAGGAATTAAATTGTTTCTAAAGGGACATCACTGAATGCGATTGTTCTAAGGACGGAGGCGTTTCAAAAATATCGAAAACAGTTTGGTCTTTTTCAAATAAACCTATATATTTTTCTAATCGATTCTTCTCATAGTATTCTGCATATGAAAGTATTACTGTAAGGTATTTACAAAAGAAATAGTTAAAGAGATATGTATTTTAAATTTTTTATAACGTATTTTTATGTAACATTTATTATTAAGTTGAATTAATTGAAATCTAATATAAATAAATATTACTTGAAAAATGATCTTATTGTTGGAAGGGGACGCACATTGTCTTGTTAGCGAATGCGGCACTCATCTCCAACAAAAAGATTAAGATATGAAATGCACGTTTTATCTGAAATTATTACAAATCTTAATAAATTAAAAAACTTTTAATCGATAATTCCTCGATAATCTATATTGATGCAATAAATACTGCATTTCGAGAACTTTTTATATAATCCACATATACGCGCGTATATTCATTCATTTAATATTAATCAACTATAATATATTATTATATATTTTATCTAAGTTTTATTACACAAAAGCGTCAAATAATTTCTCTTATTATTCGTTTATCCTTTATATAGTTTGGAATTATTAATAAATCCATTTGTATTTCTTAATCAGTATTAGTCAATATGCACAAAGCAATCAAGCATCGATCTCTATTGAATAATCAGATTTTTAGCAAAATACAAAAAAGAAGAGGAAAAAAAAAGAAAATTGAAAGAAGGAGAAAAGATAGAAGAAGAAGAAGAAGACTATACTGGCCTGCAAAATATAGTTTTCCGTAATATTTAGTGTGCTGAATCTAAATCCAATTTTAAAAAACTTTTTTTTCTAAAAATTCTAGGATAATATTCATCTTTTAACGCTGAATTTCGATTTAACACACAAAAACCTGCGGAAAATTACTCTTTTTTTCTTTCCTAAACTAAACACAGATTCATGCAGGGCAATGTTATATGCAATATAATCGAGTTAGTGATACAAAAGAAACAAAAAGGAAAAAAAATAGAGATCTAATAGATGACAAAAACGGAAGAAAAGAAAGAGGGAAACGTAAAGAAGAAATAAAAAAAAAATGATACACGAATATATGGAAACGATATGTACCGATAGAAAAAAAAATCATGTAGCTCGTAGAACACTTCGGGCATACTTCAGCCCTGTCTTGCGAAGAGAATCGAGAGAAAATTATGTCCATGGATAGTGGAGTGGTAGCTCGCGGCGGCAAACACACGGCCTCATTCTGCCCTGGGCCATCAGCAATAGTTGGTTTTTCAATAAGAGTTCGCATAGGATGTTGGGATAGGAAGATTCGCCGGCGGCGACGGCGACGGATTTTTAATCTTGTTCATTTTTCGTATCGTAGACAAAGTTTGTGGCACATTCTTCGTACTCTTAATTCTCGGACACAGTACATTCGCTTTGTAAGCCCAAGAAGGCATCTTGCTGTCAAGAATCTTGAAAGCTAAAGAAGGCACGACATCATGCTTATGCGCATCAGGCAAGTTTGGGTTCTTCCAAAATCGGAAATATGGATCTTCTTTCGAAGGGATCTGTTCCGACTGATTTGCCGAGGGGTCCATTTTAATGTTCGATAAACCGATGATATTTCCATTTATTGTACTGTAAAATTTTCCCAAAGATTGCTCGTGAATGGGCGAATATTCGGGAGAAGTTAAGCCACTGGAATGGTTGGAGCAACAGCTATCATCGCAGTTAAAAGCGTCCGTGTTAAGCGGTAAGCTGAGATACTTCTTTCTGAAAGAGGAATCTGTCTTAGATGGAACAGAATCATCATTCAGAAGCCGAAAGAGTCGCGAGTGTGTCTGTGTTCGTTGATACTTTTTCAAATGTTTCGAAGAAGTACACTCCGAGTCTGTGTCTACTTCAGATATTATGCGACTTATATCGGAAGTGACTCCACTATCCTCGTCATCGGTGTTTTCGCGAGAGTCTTGGACACTGAGCTTCGCTTGGCAACACAGTTCCGTATCGTCATTGTTATTGACGATTGTATAGTTTTCTTGCTCCATTTTATCTGTATCTACAAGCTGAATTTGAACTTGAGGTTCCGAGATGAAATCGTTTTGCGTCTCACAGTATTCGAAAGTGGCAACTTTTGGCTCATTGTCAGCGATTGTTTTATCGGAATAAATGTTTTCAAAATTATTACAAATAAATTCTGCTTGAACATTGTCGCGAATTTCACTATTTAGTAAAACATCTTGCGTTACCGTCACAGATTGAGAAGCGGTATGATCAACATCTCTCGACGCTGGTTCTGTACAATTGATCTCGTCGTGTTCTGTTTTTGTAACTGTCAATTCCATCGAGTTTTGTTTTTCGCAACTAGTTTCGCTAATTCTCATTCGATCCTTCTTTAAAGTGAAATCTACTTGCGGTATTACGGACTCGATATTTACTGCTTTCTCATTTGTGCTTGTCGTCGCGCACGTCGCATCTGAAATGTCTCTTTTCATCGTGAAATCGACGCTGGTGTCATTGCCGATGTGAAAATTGACGGAAACATCCTCCTCCTTGTTGTCTTTCACTGAGTCTTTAGCACTGCAGGATTTTTCTGCATTTATTTTGCTATTACCGATTATCACAGTTGTAATATCCTCATTGTCCTCGGAGACGAAAAACTTGAATTTCAGAGGCAAACTCACGCTGACCATCGTGGTCTCAGCGTCGTCGGAAGAATCATCGGATGCTTTGGAAAAAGTTTCATTTCGTTCGTCGATATTCCTTTTATTTTCACAAGAAATACTCTCGGAATCTGGTCGCTCCGTATCGTTATGAATAATTCCCAACTGATAAGAAACGGTATCGTCAATTACCGGGCACTCTTGATCGCGATACTTGATATTTAATTCACAATTGGAATTGGCAGTATCTTGGTTTTCATTGGGACAAGAATTGAAATCACTTCGGTCATCAGTACGATCCTCGTCGTCACTATATCTCTTCGTCGCGACACCTGTGATATCCTGCTCAAATGTCAGGCATGGATTTCGATTGTCTGAATAATGAAAATAATTTTCTTTAGAATACACTTTTTCACTTTGGACACTACTTTCGGAAACATTTCGCAAATGTTCACTATTATAGGTCAAACATTCCAAAGTAGTAGCGTTGGAAGAACTCTTGTCGGTTGATGCAATGCGCGGCAGTTCTCTCTTTAACTTTTCGTAAGGATTTAGATTTGTGGAGTAAGCTACGTACGAGTCCGAATCGCTATCGGATGACGTATTATTGGAGATAGTACCGTTATTACGGTTACATTTTTTTTTCTGACAAGAATCTGAGAGATCTTCATTATCGGAAGTAGAATCGCTAAAGTCACTGGAATCGTTCGAATTGCTACAAGTACTTGAATCACTAGTATCTATATACGTGTAATTAGGTATGTTGATACGTAGACCGAATGTTTTTTCCGGCATTTTGATATTATTCGAGATTGTGGTGTTGTCCGAACTATCCAATGTGCCATTTTTTTTATCAACTATATTCATCGCCGTAATAATACAATTTTTGTTGTTGTTGCAATTTTTATCGGCATTCCTGAGATTGTATGTCTCATTCAATTGTGCATCCAAATGATTAATTTCATCGGGCAAGACGGTATTTCTTGTCTCATTATCCGAATCGTTTTCTACAAGATTTTTATCGTTTGGAGCAAGAGATGAATCAGTGGTGGTGAAACGACAACCAACATAATTACAACTGTTTGCATCAACGTGTGATTGTTCGACACCATTGTAATTAGTTTGAGGATAAACCATCGCTGCGTAACCGCACTGGCTTGTAAAGTTTTCCAGAGGCATAACTTTTATCTGTGCATTTTCCGCAAAGTTGTTATCATAGACTGGATAAAAAGATGCATATTCATTGTGCGCACTTCCGTTCGGTTGTAAATAAAAAGGAAAAGAATGTTTGTTCATTTTAGTCTCGAGTTCATTGGGTGGAATATTGTAATGTATAGGATAACAGCCCGACCAACCCTCGGGATACCAGAAGGAAACTGGTCGAGAAAGGATGAATATACCTTGCTGATTGCCCGGCAAGTAATTCTCTGTTTGGCAGGTGTAATCTGCTTGATGATTTTCTTGCGTGGCTACAACAAACAGCACAATGCATTCAGAGAAAGTTAAATCCCTCACGCACATCGTATCGTGCATCAAGACAGCCGTGCGCGTTATTTTTATCTTTCAGACTGAGATTTTCTGCCCTTAATCTCGCATATCTCGTACGTTTTGTACATTATTCGCGAAGCGACTTTGTAAGCGGAAAATTGTTCATATTGAAAGTATGTCGACGAGACTGGAATTGATTTTACTTTTCTCTCTTTTTCCCCTTATTCTATTACGGATACTTAGCCGATTTTGTCGATAGAGTGAACATAATGGCACGAAATATACATCTGTAAGCGAAATTATCGATCAGCTAAGGGTATGAGAAAAAAAAATTTATCCTGTGTTCAAAGGAAAACATTAAAAATTTTGGCGAACCGATCAAATTTGATGACGAACATTTTTGATGATATCTGTATATCTTAATTGTACTTAAACATATGTATATATAATAATGCTTAAAATGTGTGTACACACAGTGTGTCTGAAAAATAATGAGATTAATTTTTCTTAATTTTTTATATAAGCTATTTGCTAATTATCGCAATTAATGGCGTTTTGAAGCTTTATGTGTTATGCCGCAGTTTGTTCCATTGCCTAAATACTGATATATATGTATATATATTTTAAAGAAACAAATAAATTATAAATGTAGAAAAAAGAATATAGAGCAAAGAATAACAATGAATAAAATTGCTTAGAAACATTAAAAAGATGTAAATATATGTATAAAATATACAAATTTATTTCGGTGAAAAATATGTGATAATGGATGTAAAAAGAAATACTTTTTAATGTAAATATTATTTGTTTTGACATTGTTTTTAATTAGAAATAAAATAATTATAACTAAGTACATGCAAATAACCACTTTGCATTATTGTGAATGCTGGCGGTAATAAACACGAAATCATTAATATGTAACATGCAACATTCTCGTTAATTTCTGTAAATCACTTGCATTGTATAAATTAGCTATGTATATATATGTTAGAGTTCTATATATTATTAATGTAAAAAAATATAATAATTAAAAATACAATAAAAAAAGAAAAATATAAGATAAACCCATTGAATTTGCTTTTTATATATTCTCCTTTTAACTTTTTCTTGTGGCCTTTTCTTCTCCTGCTTTTTCTTTCTTTCTCTCTCTTTCTCTTTTTGATAGTAGAAAATACCAATAGAAAAATGTTCAATAAATAATTAATATTGTATAAAACTTCACTTTTGTTCATATATTTTTATATCTATACTACATACTAAACGTTAAATTTATATACACTAAATGTTAACATACATACACATTAGCATATGTATATGTATACGCATATATACGCGAAATGTTTCCAAATTCTCAAAAATAAAAATATTGCAGCAGACAAAAACTAAATAACAATAGTGCTTTTTATTTCACTCAACAGTTTTTTAAAAACAGTTTAAATTTTAGTCAATGATGAACTTTGATTAGTCATTTGTTTGTGAATCGTGCGTATGATTTTTTTGGCAACTATAATGTGCTTAGTCTATTTATATGTACTTGTTTTATTTATAAATACAGTTGAGTCAAACAAATAACTTTTTAGCTGAAATTCATAACTAATCAAACTTTACACTTTTATATTTAAAAAATTATTGCTTGGAAAAAATAGCTGGCTTAATCATTACTTATGATTAATTTGTCGCAAACTTTTATACTGCAGTATTTTTATTTTCGAATATGGATGCATAAGTATATATTTTGTATTTAAAAATCTAATCTAAATAAAGTAGCAGCGACAAAAATATTATTATTCCTGTGAACACAGGATCCGGGAATGTTCGAGCGATACCACATATATTACTTCAATAAAATATCTATTCGAATATAAAGCGCTTATTACAAAGTATTAATATACTCAAATAAATAAGCTTTTATAATTAATTTATAAATGAAAAATGTTTGTGTCGTATGAAAATTATGAGTATTAATACTTATACGTACGAGGTATTACACATAAGAGGATTATAAAATAAATAAAGTAATAGAAAATGTTTCTAAGAAATTGAAATCTCAAATCTTTTGTATATAAAAAAATACAAACGGAAAAGAATCTTTCCAGAGATCCGTAGCTTTTTAAAAAATGTTTGATCTAATAGCTTTGCAAAAATTAGTTTCGGTTTAGTAGGTATACTTACTAATACTTTCTGGTGCTGTCATCGCTTGTAATATCCTGAAGGATCGCGAAGGAATTGCACTACCCATATATTTCTTCGGTTCTTGTACCTGTTGTTCACTAGGTGGTAAGTTTGCCTGTGTTTCTTCTGCACAGAACCGAGGATTCAAATTGATTAGATATTTAATTATTTTAACTTTATGTTTAATAATAAAGTAAATCAAAATTTCTTGCTGAATTTGCTTACCAAATACTTTTGAATTTCTATTTTGCTTTTTATTTGCATTTTGTACGTTACGAGGCGCTGTAACATACACACAATACAAGAATGTAATTTTTGCATTCAATCAATCTGCACATTTAATTGATTTAAACAAAAAATAAAGATTACAATACACAATTCTATACTTGATAAAATTTATATTAATTGATAATATATAATAATATAATTTTTATGTAAAGCATTTTTACCTGCGCAAGTAAGTGAAGTATCCCCTGAATCCGTCATATTTTGTAAGAAACGGAAAGCTCGAGAGGGTATTGCTGCACCACGATATCTTGGATCTTCCTCTTGATGCAGATAAGCCTCATGATCGACTGTAAAAACAAATTTGACATTTGTAGTAGTTTAGATTTCCCGATCACTGTTTAAAATTTAAAAAATTGAATCAGTTTCCAAGTTTTATATTAATAGGTGACACACAAAAATCAGAATAACAGAAATATTATATTTTACCTTGCTCTTTAAATTTATTCATGAGTAATCTCTCATCTTCACTTAACTCCATTCTACGTATTTGTTCTGCACCCACATTGTTGGGTGTATCCGTGTCCGTGATTTTTTGAAGAACACGGAATGATTTCGATTGGATTGGACCGGGCTCGTGCTGTTGATTCGCACCGGGGTTCCATTGTTGCGCACTGTTGCAATAATTTTACTTGTAGCCAATAATTATAATAACGTTGCAAATATTTTTATGCGTTGAAGATTTACTTGTCATATCCATAATAACTATAATATTGCACAAATTGGTAGCGTTGATGTGTGACGAAAATGATGGAACATTTTTGGAAATAAAAGCATCCGGAGCAAGTTATCTATTTGCACAATTAGACGAGATTAAATTTAATTGTTTTTTTTTTTAGAAAAATTATTTTTTGCAATCAAGCATTTCCTAATAGTTAAAAAAGAGATTAATTAACTCAACTTACACTCTTGTAATCTTTCCAGTCGTATTATTTCCGCTATTAGACGGAATCGTTTTTTCGTCGCTACCTTCCACCACAAGTGGAATAATATAAGTCGTTCCAGCTAGTTGTTCTGGCCGAGACAAAGCTGCAACATGAGGTTGGAACTGTTCCTGATCTTGCGAACGATTTTGCATCTGATTCTCCAATACATGCTGCGAAGGCATCTGACCCCATCGCTGTTGATGATGCGTAGTTGGAGATTGTTTAAATTGATGATGGCCTGATTGGCATTTTGCGTCAAATACTGATGGTCTATCCTCAATCTAAAGGAAAATAAAATATTAAATTAGATGGATAAATATTAAAGGAAATTAAAATATTCAATATTAAATGATAAATAAATTTGAAATCCAAAATTAATCTTGAAATAATTAAAATAGCCCTGGTGTATCTTATTTGAAAGTAAACGTTGCAATCAACTTACACGAATGGGTATGACATGTTCGTGCTGATGTGACTGCGCGATTGGATTAATTTGTTGGGATGTTACAGAATCAATTTTTTGCCTTTGCTGCTGCAATTGTTGAGACGATTGTTGTGGTTTTGATTGTTGAGACGGACGCGGTGAAGTCAAATATTGTTCTTGCTCTTGCTTTTGTTTTGTCGGCGAATATTGCGAAGGCGATTGCTGAACTTGAGTGTAAACTGTCGTCGGAAAAGCCGCACTTTCCGACGATGGGCCACTAGCCGCTTTATTAACACTTGAACGTTTTACCCATTCTGGCAATTCCTCTTGAGGCTTGCTCTTATTTTGCAGCCAAGGAGTAGGCGCCTTAGCTAAAGTAACTTGCGTCGGGGTATTCGGACTTTCAGGAGTGTTTGGCTGATTCAACGTTGTTGTAATTGGCACTGCTTTTGTATCCACTTTTATGATATTCTTCGATGGTTCAACTTGTCTGTCCGTAGCTATGAGACAAATAGTAGCAAAGTTTATTTATTTTAATAAATAAGAGTTCGAACTATTCAAACAACATCGAACATGCATTCGAATCTTTTATCAGAACTCTAGAAAAAAAGATAGAAACAAGTAATTACCATTCGATGATGGTTTATTAATCGGAGACGGCTGTGACAGCTTATTAATATGAGATTGAATTGGCACATTGGTAGGAAAAACAGGTACCGCGACCTGTGGTTGCACCAAGAAATTCGCTACGGTAGAAGCAGCAGGTGGCTGCGACGGCTTCGGTTCGGTAGCGAGTTTCGGTGATCCCTCTATGCCTTCGTCGTTGGCGTTTTTTGCTACTCTTCTTGCCATTCGTGGACTACGAATTTGAGAAAGATCTAATTTGCCACCCATACCTGGAGTATAGGTAAAAGGTTTCTTATCCTTCGTCAGCATCGCATTCTGTATAGCTGCTGGCGGCTCGTAAGCATCGTTACCAATTGGTTGCGATCTCTTCGCTGCTGCATTCTACATGCCGCAAATTAAAAAAAAAAAACTATATTATTATGATAATTTGGACAAAATTACGTCAATCATACGTCTCTAATTATACAACTCTGACTCGCAAAAATAAAAGTAAACTTCAAAAATTAATATTAATTTTGATAATAAGCCATCACCTGGTCGCGAACAATTTACCGATGCCTTATCACTGCTATGCTTTACACTTTTATAACTTTGTTTATTTTACCTCAACAGTATTTATTCTCATAGCTGGCAATTGACCAGACACAGGAGGCGGAGGCGGCGGTGGTGGAGGCGGACCTGAAAATATATGTATGTATATGTATATAGATTTTAAACAATATTGATATTACGAAAAACCGATGTGTAATTTGAAATTTGACTAGTGTTTTGCGCTAATGATTTTGTTACTTATTACTGTTCTGTTTATTTAAATTTATTTGAAAGAGATGATTATCATTTGTGTAGATAATTACATACAGCGCATTTTTAGTTCTAATACAAAGAATTAATATTATTTAGGGTTTTTTCGTCAGAAAAAAATTTAATGCATACCTGCAATCATAACGTCCGGATTCCTGTAAGCAGAAATTAAACAATTTATTATTTTGCATCATGCAATTATTTGTTTCTTGACTAAATAATTAATAAACATTGCATTATTTTGGGATACAAATAAATGTGAGTATGCATATACATATCCTTAAATCTAATAATAAAATATAATTTTACAGTGATAATACATGTAATAATTTTAGTTTGTTTTTTTCTCGAATAGTATAATATCAAATAACATCAACGATTTATCTTTTTTAATTAGAGAGAGTACAGTTTATTCTAAAAACCACTTTCTACTTTACAATATATTTGGATAAAATAAACATTGATTTCGCGCGCTCTGATAAAAATATGCTCAGAAAATATCTTATCTATGGAATGTGCAATTACAATATTTTAAAAGTGAGTCATCTTGCTCATATTTATACTTCGCGCACGTATTATATTTACATTTTACACATATGTACAACATACACATGAATAATGTAATACATAATTTCACAAAAGTCTTAATTCATAATTTAAATGTAAAATACAGAACATAAAATGTGTTAATTTTATTAATAATTATTAAAAAATTGTAAATTTGTATATCAATTTTTTAATTGGAACACAGCTAAGATAGAAACATTAAAACAACTTTTAAAGACGACCTTGTTAAAAACTACTTGGTACTTATACGTATATACGAGTAATTTAATTTTTAATCACATGTAATAATCTAACCAAAAATGAGAACGTAACAGAAACAGACGAGAAGAGAGAGGAGAAAAAGAAGGAGAGAGAGATGAAAAAATAAGAAATGTTAATAATAGAGTTTTGGAGAGGAATCTAATACCGCGATCCCGAAGCGCTGGTGTTTTCATCTTGGCACAACCAATGATTATTCCACATAGCTCTACCACGATAGATTCACATACATATGAGCATTGTTGAAAAAGACAAAATGGTCTCGAAGAAAATTTGCCAGCTTTTCATATTATTTCTGCATAAATAAACCACATTACCCACGCTGTGTCGTCGTTCTCGTTCTCGCTTATGGAATGCTAAATAATAATTGGTTGCATATAAACATTTATTTCGAATTTTCTATTTTAATTATAATAAATTAATTTGTAAAATTTTGTTACCGCTATAAATTAAAATTTTTTGAAAAATTAATTATAATAGCGTTTTCAAGTGAATGGATTTTGATCAATCCAAGATTGATTAATGACATAAATGCATCGTTTTCGCCGATAAAAGACTTAAATTCATAATAAAATAGTAATTAATTGATCCGGGATTAAAATCCGTTCACTCGAAAACGCTATTAGAAAAGCTAAAGATATCTTCAGAAAGACACCAAGGTCTTTACGTAAGTACATTTTTCATTTTTCTTTTCTGCGTCGCCTTATCGCAGACTATGCAAAGTCTCGTTCATGAGCGTAACTTCGAGTTTCTTGGAGAAGCTCGTTCATGACGAATCGAATCGGTTGTGCTGTGACGCTCGGAACCCAGCCAACGAATCGCAGCAAGTAGAAATGTATTTAGGTAGATATGTCGAGCGAGAGTAATTTTATCTTGGACTGACTTGCGCACTAGAGTTTCGTATAAAATGCTTCCAATTATTTTATTTTTAGAATTTCCAACGCTGCGGAACGCGCGGCAAATGCGCGCAATAAAAAAACCAATAGCTAGATTATATCACAGCATATTATAATTTCCACCATAAAAGAAATTAAAAATAACAAGAGCTTTCCAAGTCTATTTGAGATCTAGGAATATTGGTTATTGTAATTAAAACACTATTACTAGAGTAAAATAAAATTAATGCTACGGCTAATATATTTAAAAAGCGCCATCCAATTTAATCTTCTCCATTTAAAAGATATTTTTTATTGGACTGCGCACACTAAATTGTATACTAAGCATTTATTTTGACTAAACATCACAAAAATGTGCTGACTCGAGGAGAAGTTTGAAATTGAATCTGTTCATCGAACAAACATTGCTCACTTTGACGATAAAATATATATCAAGAGCTCTCTCTGGAACACGACAAGACCAATTTGGCCTTGCAATACCCGATTCAGCGCACGATAGTCGAAAAACGAGTTTTACTTCTCTTTTTTCCACCAGTTCTCTCTCTTTCTCTGTCTCTCCCTCTGCCTCTCCCTTTTATTCTCCCTCTCTTTGATAAAATACTAAATATATAATAATTTGAAATTCAGAGATAATGTAATCATAATTATGTTATGGTAGCTATCGTCATAATACTTTAAAATAATTAAATAATTTATTATCTAAAATTTATATAAAAATTCTATCTTATGTATGTATATTAAAAATATTAAAATGAGAGTAATTCAAATCGACGCTTTATGTACTTCGACTGTAAAACCAAGTCTACCGGCAATTTCAAATAATAAATAACATTTATTTTTTGCAAAACTGTATTGTGAGCACTTTTGCTATTTCTAGCGAGTTCAGACATGTGAGAGGAATGCTTGAAGCAACCCACGGTTGCTTTACAACAAATTCGTGATTTGTATAAACTCTTACCCGATAAATGTTGAGGAGCTCATATCCAGCAATTTCGTAATTCGCTGCCTGTTGATTTCGCACGTTGGTTTATGTCACGACCCACTAGTCGATAGAAACCGGTTCTCTTTCCAGACTAACGTTGTTCTCCAAGTTCCAAAAGTTGAAAGAGAAGGCAAATGTTATAAAAGGGACGACCGATGCCGATACCAACGCACGCTCACCGCTACTACACAGACCGTCGTTTCGATTCGCGTTCGGACCTTGTGAGCACTAGTACCACGTAGCTGTGACTCCAACAGTTTTACATCTTTACCGATTTCATCGCCGAGTCGCGCCACTCGCCGTCGTTCACCACTCGCCGTCCATTGCTGTTCGCCAAAATAGCTCGTGCTTATTTTAACATTTCGATATATACGAAACCACGTATCTTGTATTACTCACAATATTACCAGCTATATGTCGAATACTTAATCAGCAATTTGATATGCATACACAAAGATTATATTTTAAATTATTTAAAAGCAGTTACACATGATATGAACGCAAGTTTAAATAAAATACAGTTCTCAAAATTTTATATATACCGCTTTGCAAAATTTCTATCTTATCTTATTTTGCATAAATTGATTTTTACTGTTACGACTTTTATCGCTTTTTTTTTTAAATACAGACTGCATAAAAATTGCTTTGTTGTATTCTAAGCATAGGATATTCAGATAGAAAGAAAACAACATTTAGACTACTAAAAATTATTTTGTATTGTGAGATGTTAATTAGAGATAGAATGAAAGAACAGGATTTTTGCCAATTGAAAGAAAATTGACAATTGTTATGAATAAATCTCACGGACATCATCAGTTCTGTGCTTGCGACTATCGTTTGTAGATTCTATTAAATGTGATACAGACATAATGTGTATATGTATATTAAAAACGTTTTTTTTTTATTTTATAGTAAAAGTTTTTTAAAATCCTTATTGCATTTATATCTTTATCTTCTGAAGAACCTTCGTACTATAAACTAAATAACAAAGATATAACGCTAATGTTTTTAATAAGTCTGCTGAAATATCTCGTACCTAGAGATATATTGCTAAATGTCTAAATCTCTTGAGAACTTGAGGATAAAAAGCAACTAGATATATAACGATAAGAAGCAGCGATAAAAGTGCAAACAAATGTTTAAATTAACGCTGATCGTGGCTAGAAGCCACAACTTCGTCAAACGCCGCCTCATGTTCCGAAATAGTGAACATATACGCTGGAAGAGTCAATCCAAGAACTTTGTCGTATTTGGACCTTGTCTCCGATGTATAATCATATGGTTCAGTCTCTTTGGTCTCCTCTGTTACATTCGGTTTCTCGTCAGGATAATCATTGTCCGGCTTCTCCAACCTGACGTAAGAATTTCCACTAGCAGATGCACTGGGTTCTACCGCAGAATCCACCGTTTTCGAATTTGAGACGATTTGCGAAGTGTGTGCGGTGGGATCGACTTGAAATTCCTTTACCTCGCGAAATGCGAGTTGATCCTTGTCGCCCGGTTCTCGCCCGGTGATAAACACACATTCTTCTTTTTGGAAGCCATCTTCATCAATGCATTGATAGCAAGTCATCTTATCGCGCATAATCTTTTTGCATTTTGATCGATCCTGTTTTTGGAAATTCTGCATAAACTCCTCGATTTGTGCCTTTTTCTTTACTGTGTCCAAATATCCAGTGTCCACCGCTTTCTTCCCTTCTACGTCGTCCTCGGACTTTGTTTCATCCGCCGTTGAAGCTTCATAAATTTGTCCGGGAGTATACTCGTCGTAGGAGCTTGTTGCAGTCTCAAGACTTTCCGACGATTGTTCGCTTTCTTGCGGCACTTGTTGTGACTTATCATTTTTCTGTGGATTGCCGAATGAGCTGGATTTGCTGTAAGAAAAGAGCTTATCACTGGGATGATAAGAGTATGAACACTGTTCGAAATCGTTGCCCGTTTTTGGATCCTTGCATATCGTGCATGTCATCGAGTCTTTCTGAACTTTTTTACAATGTTCCTCATTGATATTTTCGGACTGATGCTCCGAAACAGATTTCGAAGATGGTACCGCTTGGTCTCCGTAATATTTTGGCTCGTCATCTTTATTTGTTGGTAATTGATAATCACTTAAGCCTTTGAAATAATCGCTGCTGTAGTCAGATAAATCCCGTGACGCGCTTTCGGGATCACTCGCAACTTGAGTTTCGGCTGAAACTCTGTCGGATCTCCGTGGATAAGTGGAAGATTTTATTCTACCTGTATATAACGAAATTATATTAGTGTAAGATTCTAATAACAAAAAAAAAAAAAACCAACAGAAAATAGCTATGAGAACGAAATAACTTTTGAATCTCAAGCCTTTTTCTGTTGGTTTTTTCATATGCTATTCGAAATTAAAGTCATTTTAGTAATTAAGGTCTAATGTAACATATGCTTACCCAAATAATCATCAGTAGAATCTGAACTTTGTGGATGATCAGAATCCTTGGATTCCTCCGATGTTTGAGTCTTCTGGTTTGAATCCCTTGTAGAATGTGAGGGCTTATCTGGAAATCCAAAGCTCTTTGATCTGCTGTATTTATACAGCTTGTCACTAGGTTGATAATTGTAGGTACATTTCTCGTAAGTGCCACCATTCTTGGAATCCTTGCATACTGTGCAGATCTTGGAATCCTTTTTTATCTGCTTGCAATCTGCTTGCGAAGGTGCATCTTGTACTTCGTCTCGTTCGTTCGCCGTTGAAGTTCTTTCAGGATAATCTTCGCTATAATAATATCTGGGTGATTCCTCCGTGGCGGTAGAATTTCGATCTTTTTTTTGTCGATTGGATGCTGCGAAATCGGAAGGCTCGGAATAAGAAGTTGATTCGGGATACTCGACGCTATCGTTTCTTTGCTGTTCAGGCTTATTGCGGTAAGAATCGGATTTGTCATAGGAGTATGCTTCCTCACGTGGTTGCTTCACATACGAGCACTGCTCGTACTTGCTGTTAGTTTTAGCATTCTGACATACCATGCACACCATAGAATTTTTTATAATCTTGTCGCATTTCTCTCCTTTGCTCTCATGCGCAACCGGTGCATCGTACGTAGCGTCAGTAAAATATTTATCGGTAAACCGATAAGGATCGCGCTTCAACTTTTCATAATCAATTTTGCCTTTCTCCAAGTTAGACCTGTGATAAATATAATCAAAATAAAGTCTATTAATGTAATAATTGCAGTCGCGTATTTATATATTATTGACTGTAATTTATAAAATTTGAGATGATATGATATATCATCGCTAAATTTTTATATCAAGTACAACATGTCATTATTAGAAAATGACATAATGATATATTGCTTGTAAACAGTACAATTTGCAGATTTAGCAATATTATTTTTAGCAAATAAAATTGATATCTTTTTGCTGTCCGTATAATAACTAAGATATTTTGATACGATAGCATAAAATTTGCTAACACAGTAAATTTTTTTCCACGTATAATATCATTTATAAAAATTATTTGTTTTTATAAGAAAACTGTAAATTAATGGTAATTTCTATCAAATTTCAATTTAATTAAAAAAAATATATTTTGTGCAAAAATTAAATTAATGATTCGTACATAGCAGATTGAAACTTTTTATCCACTGCATGATTAAAGTGCGTCAATTTTTAACAGATTTTTAATAAGTAATTTTTATATGTCTAAAAAAACTTTAACATCACTACCTTCGATATCTGAAACTAGTAGGCACGGACAGAAAACGTTCCACCTTTGTACTAGCGGATGCCCTCTCTTCTGGATGACTCTTATATAAACAGCGTTCGTACGTAGACCTAGTTATGGGATCTTTGCACTTGTAACAAGTCGTGACGCCTTTCCGTAAACCACTATCTTTTCCGAACGATTTTATCTTAATCTCTTGACAGTGCGCAGTTTCCGTTGAATCTGCCAGCAACTCTTTGCGCTTTATTAAATCCTTGTTAGGAAACGCGTAAAATGGCATCACCTTTTTCAAGTTTTTTTTTTCAATCGATTCTTTCTTGATGCTGTCAATCGGGGAACGCTTAAATAAGCTTCCGAAATGATCTCTGGATAGATCTCGATCTTTGTTTGGTTCATAAGAATCATAGTAATAAGGTGCTATTTCAGAAGAAGCGCCCTCGTAAATGTTATATTGATTGTTCGAAGGACTTTGCGATATATCAGTCAGGTAGCTCAAAGCTTTCATACGCTCGTATTCATAATTTGCATTTACGTAACACATAAGTAGAGTTGATAAAGACAGATATATCTGCAAATATATAACAAAATATTTTATTTAAATCGTGAAAATAATAAGAACAGTGAAAACAATTCAATTTAGCAAATAACGATTTTTGGCATATTTTTCTTAAATTTTCTCAAAATTGTGATATGATTTTTACTTAATGCTTTTTTTTATATAAGTTTTTCATTCTAATAATCGTTTCTCTATCACTTCACTGACCTTGCAACAAGCCATTTCCGGAGTTCATCGATCGCTTTCTATGGAATTTGTGTAAATGGACTTATACTTCCAATTTCAACAGAGAATACCCACAATCCGCATCACTCTCTCATCGAATAATCGCGGTCTTTGTGCGAAATGCTTTTATATAGACTTGATAAACGATCGATATTCCCCACCTAGCATCAATCTCTATTCTTTAGAAAAAGGCAGAAAAATTTAAAGAGTCACTAAGCGTGACACATGCTCCAATCGGCGTGATCGAGACAATCGGCCGATTACTTAAACTACTTTTGCTTTCATTTACGTAACTCAGCGAGAGCTTGCCGGAGTTACGATTCGATGAAAACTAGTAAAAATAATGAGATTATAGAACATGTACAATTACATCAATAAAGGAAGAAAAGGAGATCGATAACTTTTACTAACAACAATCTATAATCGTAATCGTATGCTTTAATGCATTTATATTATATCATATAAATTCCGACGATAAATAAATTATAGATGCGTTTTGTTTTGTGTCAATTTATTAACCATATCCATGACTGCTGATAATTGAATGATTATTTATCAAAAGAGGACTCGACTGTTAATTAGAAACGCAAAAAATATAGCATGCAGGCATCACATAACTATTTTAGGCGAACAAAATTTGAAATAAATAGTAAAAAAGTATTAGAAACAATATCGATCAAATAAATACCAGTGTTTTTACCCTATTTACGGCTTGAGAAGCAAAACTACACAATGTGAAAGTATTCGAAGATCAATGACCGCGCATGTCAATGTATTGTATTTGCGCTATAACGCGCGCAATCAATAATTTATCGAAATCTATTGTATGTGTACATATATATAAGAATCTCAGACATCCTAATTTTACCGAAATAGTCCCAGTTTATTGAGTTTTACAAAATTATATCTTCAACTTCTGATAAAGTTTCAAGACGTTAAACATCGTGATCTTTTTAATTTCTAAAAAATGCGAACTTTTTTGATAGTAAATAATTTTTAGAGTGTCAATATGCCAACATATACTATATATAATATAATATAATTTCATAGAGTAACTACACGTATAATAAAAGAAATAATTCTAAAATAGATACAATTAAATCAGTTCCAATATTTAAAATTTGTTTTTAAAAGTATATTGTTTTCAAAATTTTTAATAAATGTTGACAGAAATATTTTTAAGTATACTTTTAAATTTGTGTGGAAAAGAAGGAGAACGAGATATCCCAGTGTATTGTTTTGAAAACAAAGAATCCTTCGTACATATTTATGTGAAATTTATTAATACATTTTTATAATAACACATAAAACCTTAGAAGAAGAAACATATTGTTAAATGCTTTTGTAAATATGTATAACGTTATATTTAATTAAAAACATTGCCTAAGACAATATTATACGATTACTGATGCAACGATCTATCAGTATTTAACTACCTTAATGTAACAAAACATATCGTGTATTCATTAATGTAAGTGCAACATTTTTGTAGAGATATAAAATTACATAAACACAATTATATTGAACAATAAAAAGCAAATATAATCATCAATCGTTTAAATTCAATTCTGCATCCATGCAGATAGTGTTAATATATAATGTTAATCCAATATTATAATAACAACAATTTGTACAAACTGTCGTAACATTCTTTCAGACATTAACTCAATATTGTAATTCAATTGACTTAAAAACCTAAATAAATAAATAAATAAGTTCGTATAATTATAATTTCGTACTTAAAAAAGAAATCAAAGATATCAAGAATTAAGAATAAACTGTAAAACAAACAGATTTATAGATTTAACAGATTGTCGTTGAGAAGTGTGACTTAATCTTTAAAAGAGAAATGTCGTGGATAAACAGAAATATGAGAAACACGAGGAGTATGATTAAGTTGCTTTCCGAAAATTGCGTCGGTAGGCGCAGGTTTCATTTGAAGCTTTGATGCGATTTTCTGCATAATGATCTTATCTTTCTCGCTATCTTTAATCATTCCTTTGTCCTGTTTTCCTTTCTGAGAAAGGTTGCGCTTACGATAATAAAGAATCTCGCCGGCTAGAGTAATCATTGCTAAAGCAAGTCCAAACAATGTCGCAATAAATACACCTCCTGCAAAAAGAAATAACTGGTTATTAAATGCGGATTAATTGCAAACACTTTTAGTATTCCAAAAAATACTAATACAATTTTTACGTAAATTTGATTGTTTTTTTTCTAAAAATTATTTTTGATATTAAAAGACATTTTTATTTTCTAATTTTTAAGAGACTCACAATGTGGGAAAAATGTAAAAAGGTTGATACAAACCTAAACTCTCTAATGTAATTCCTTCATTGTCGTCAGAATTTGGACATTGTGCTTTCAACGTTTGATTCCAATACTTAGCTGCTAACGTCTCAAAATATCTGTCTTTTTGTAAATCGAGAATCCTAGAAATGTTATTACTTATATTAGATATTTGTCGTATTTTAATCGCATTGTAGTAATAATATTACATTTATGTGCCGTTTGTATCACTTAATCCATTCCTTCTCAACGTAATTATCAGCAGCGATACATATATATATACATAAAAAATGTTTTGGGACACATTATTTTACAATTGTATTGTTATATTAAAAGTAAAGTTTATTCACTATTCCAAAAAAATAAAATTTGAATTCAGCACATTCAAAATTATGAAAAACTTTTTTCTTTTTGCAAACAAATAGATTAATGTAAAACAGTGTAATCAAAAATATCTTATCAGTTGAATGGATTAAGTGCATATGACAAAAAAAGAAAAAACTTGATCAAAGACTTTCTGCTTATTTCTTCCTGCAAATGACTGCCTTGTTGCACGGCAATGGCATATGGTTGTTCGGCAAACACTTCACCCACTTCTGTCAAATTGCAGTTTTTCGTCACTTCGTACTTTATCTCTGAAGAGTCATGAATAAACGCAAACTCGGCATTTTCGCTCTCTATCACCTGAAAAATTTCGACGCATTTGTATCAAATGTTCATTGTTTTGATTCACACTAGAATTTAAGAAAATTAACAGCGTTCTAAGTTTTCTTTCGCCTTTTTGCTTTATTCTTTTTTTTCTACCTTCTTAAAACCTTCTTCAGTAGTTTTTACAGGACCAACTTGAGTGATAGCCTGCAAAATATGACCATACTGTTCCTTTATTGGATAATCCCAGACACGATATTCGACTTGATCACTAGTACTATTTAATGTAATTTCTTTCCATACTCTGTAAACAAATAATGTGCATAATCTTACTCGTAATATTAATTAACAGAATATTCAATAGAAGAATAATGATTTTATTTTTTACACACGTGTAAAGTTTATCCTCGGCATTTTTCATATTTATGAAATACTGATGAGCACTGGAATTAGCCAGAACAGTATAATTTATGCGTGATTGTCTCGCCAACTGCTCCAACGATTGCACGGGTGACTATGTCATAAAATACATACGAATATCAATGTGTGAAAAATTGCATGCTACAACATATCATTTGTTTATCAATACTAGAAAATTTCAAGTAAATGAGTAGTTCGAACAAGTAAATCTCGATATTGAATATCAAATAATTCAAACCCTTCGAGATAAAGTTCGTTGAATATATTCCAACAATTCGAACTGTTCGAATATATAATATATTCAACATATATATTTAATACAAACTTATCTCATTTTTACTCGTTGTGATTCATTATACACCATTTGTCTACCTAATTTCTTTGTAGACAATCGCGTTTTGAATACTTTCTTGTACGCGTTATATTTCGTTTTAAACATTTTATAAATAAACTTTCAAAATGTGCGGTAATGAAAAACCTTAATATTAATATTTGCGTAAAATTAGGCAAAAGCAAAAAGCTGTTTATTTTTTATTTGCAATATACATTATTATTTCAATGCACTTAAATTAAAAGTTAATAAGAGAGTAGATACCTGCATTCTTTCCACGGTAAGAAAGGCAGCCAAGTTTGCAGTAAATGTAGCAAGCATCAGTACAACAAATAGCCAATAAGCTGCAACCAAAGTTCTGCTTGACAATGCTTTCGGAGCTTCGCCACCACCCTGTGGTGTAAAAGATGTTAATGCGAACCAAAAGCTTTCCTTCAATGTAAATTCTCTGAAAAGCAATATTTGTCTGTTAGAGACGGCATTTAAAAAACTAATATAGTGGTTAAGAGTTAAATTATTACTACGCTAATTATAAAATAAATATAACAAACGATAAGCGATAAAGCTATAGAAAGATACGTACCGACACGGATAAGGATAGAGTCGTTTATTATTCCTCGCACTGTATGGTGAATATTTATCCAGTATCCAAATCATAATTCCGGTCAAAGTTAAAGCCCCCACGATGCTAAGCCAGACTTCGAGTCTTAGTACTGTCATGAATTTGAATAAAGATGTTTTACGAACTGGCTTCCTCATTACTGGAAAATAAAAACTAATATAAATCATTCGGATAGTATTCAGCTAACATATCTAACTAAAGCATCGCAAGCTAAAGTCTGCAACTCATTGTGTCAGATCAGATTTATGTGTGTATATATACTACAAAAAAAAAAAAAAAAAAAGGCAGAAAAAATAGAATAAGAAGCATGCCAAAAATGATGTCATTGTAAGATAAAAACTACTAAAGAGAAAATAGATTTTTTTAGCATACGTACAAAGTAATTGCAATAGTGTAAAGAAAAATAATTGCATACCGATGAGAATACCGGATTGTTCGAAATACGGTGCAACAAAATCGATGACTTCTTCACGTTCCGATGTCATCGTTAATGCCGCCACAACAATATCAGTTTCCTATACAATAATTAGAAAAACAAATATAGTATATTTGCTATAGTAAAAAGTGTCATTGCATATTTTAATTTGCCAAATATTTTTTGCATTACTCTATCAACTACTTAGCCAATGAAAATATAATATTAATAATTATTGTCTCTTTAAATCCATTTGTATATTTAGAAAATAAAACCTACTCCTTTAGCTAGATCGCCTATTAGACCGTTCCATTCACCATTGGGTAATTTTCTGCCAAATTCTTCATCTTCAGGAATAACAAGATCATAATCAAACTGCATCTCTTCAGACAATTTTTTTACGAAATCAATACAGTAACCTTCCCAGATTTCCTTTCCTTCCTCATTCCTACGCATTTCTTGATTTGTCACTGGGTCTTTTTTAAGAACTGTCCAAGGTACTGCCTATGTCAAATTACATGATATGAAATCAAGTTTCGTATAAATTCATGTTTATTGCAACATTATTATCACTAGTAATGCACTAATAAAAATAATCTATGCTTTTAGAAATATAAAAATATTTTATGTAGATAAAAAATTAATTCAATGGAACTGATAAGTCAAATCTATTAATTAAATTAATAAATAATTGTACAATTATATATTCAGCAATTGATTTGTCGATTCTTCATTCAATGGTACAGAATAAAACAGAGAACTTTAGTGAAATGTGACTCTTACCGGTGCCGTTCCAATCCGGAAGAATCGCCTCGCTGGTTCTATTTTCTGCCCGTCTGCTTCTTTAATTTTTGTACGTCTCGTCCAAGTTGCGAGCGCATCAAGGGAACCACGACTGACTGTTTGTAGCTCAATTTCTGCCTTGTAAGTGATCATTGCCTTCTCTGACCAATATTCGAAAGTATCATTACTATCCAGTCTCTAAGATATAAAAGAGTAAACGCTTAACTTAAATGCACCAAGTGACAATTTTATTTTAAACAAAAATATTTTTTAATATTTTCACACTTAAGCAAACTTTATTCTTTTTTATCAGAATTAATTGGAACGATAATTACTGTCATCAGAATTTTGTTGAATGTTTCCGCTGTAGCGTTCAAACTTGAAGTGGAATTAACGGGTTTATCACATTCACCTGTCTTTGGCCTTACATTTACACCCGCTCTTTGAACGTCGCTCATCAAGCTTACAATTAAGCCGACTAAACGTTTGAAGTAGTAAGGGAATATCTAACATAACATGACTTTTAATTAATTTTCTTCTTTATAGATAACAATCACTTATATTATAAAAATATATCTTATTCCTGAAATAAAGACTTTCAAGTAAAATATCTTTGTAAAATCCATAAATCTCAATCACAGAATTAATCAACGTTTCTCATATTTCATAAACAGTACATTTTTTTAAAACTTAAAATAATTTTTTAATTTATAAAACTAACTGACCTTAAAATTTGCAGGACAATTGCAGGATGCTTCGCCTATTAAACGGCAACAAATATCAGTTTTCATAGTGAGAATGGTATATGAAACATTTAAGTTAAAATCACCGGTGATAAATCGAAAGTCACGATAGTTATTGTCTGTAAATACTAAATTCCAAATACCCTCTCTTTTAACCAGACCTCCCTCTATAGCCTAAAAAAGTCGTTGATATATTTATAAATAATCGTTTTAAAGACATAAAATAGAAATAAATAAACTGCATGTACATACACATATGAATTGAAATGCTAGGCAAACAATTTCTCAAACCTGATATAAATATATCGCTCACCGTTTTAAACAGTTCTTCCATTTTCGGTGTATTAGCATAGATAACATAATAAGACGGTGACGGCCGCATACTTCGTATTTTCGACACGGTTCTTTCTGTCAATTCGTCAATGACTACTAATCTAATTATTGAATTCCCAATAAGATAATAAAGACTTTGATTTAGTTCTAAAATTATTATTACATTATTAATTAGTTATAATATGAAATCCATATTTTTATTCTTTGTATGAAAGTGATGAAATATATACATACTATCAACACACAACTTATAATGACCAATCACTATTAATTTTTATGTACCTCTTTCATCTTCAAAGATCAAACCAACATCTGTAGCATTTTTCATAATTAAAAGATCGTCAATAGCTTGGACATATGGATTTATACTGCAGTCGCCACGTTTGTATATTATGCCTCTTTCATCAGCAATATTTCGTAATTTATCCCAACCGGTCCACGTCATGTCTAATATAATGCTTATTCCTTTATATAGAATGGCACATACTATCGAGAAAAATAAAAAAAGTGTCTTTGCGGATTTTATGACTTTTATTATTGCAAAAGCTTTTAAAATTTTATTTTTTAATTAAGAATATTTAAGTATAAAGAAGTAGTTTCGTATCTTTATACGGAGTGTTTTAAGAGGAAAAGTCGATACTTTGGGAGGTCACAGCATAGGTCATTCTAAGGAAAAAATTCACACAAATGTGTTTTATTCCGAATAATTTCCGAGCTGTTAAAATAAATTTTCGAAAATTGTATCATTCGCATTAATGCAATTTTGCAACTCGTTTGAGAAGATAAATTTTATTTTCAATTCGCGTTCAAACTTGTTTAAGCCGGAAACTTTTGGAATTTACTACGTAGCTTGTAAAAAATAGTTCTCAAAACTTTATATACAAATATGTAAAAATACCTTTTTCAAAACTCGCATCTACATTCTCGCGATTTACTGTAACGGTGGAAACCTGAACGGTGATCATATCGTTAGCAAAATTCCGTTCTGCTTCTGGAACCGCATCATTTAATATACCCAAGATATACGAATCAGCTTCCTCTATTACAACCACTTAAAAGCAGAAAAAAAATATCAATATTATTAACTATATGTCAGGATATCAATGCTGTTATTGTGCTTTCTTGTATGTATTAAATTCTGTTTTAAGAGGTCAATATTTTATGCATAACAGATCTATCTTTACACAAATTCCATTACTAAAAATAATTAATTTTACATAAATATTATATATTTGAATTTCGTATTTGAAGAGACGCTGAATTTTAGAATTTTGAATCGTGAATTTAATATGGCGATTAGAAAATCAGACAATAAATTTTATAAAATGTTTTTAAATTTTTTATTATTTGCAATTTTAATTTTTATTAAATTTTGGCGTTGTAAGGATCTTCAATTTGAAAATTAAAATGTAAATTTTGTAATTCAAGAATAAAAAAATCTAAAAATTATGGAATAGATTTTAGTTTAGCAGACGATGCGACACAATATTGACTCATCGTACTAATATTTACAAAAAGGTAATATTGTTTAGACACTTGTTTTTGTGAATGAATAAACTTTGTACTTACGTAAATTCATTGGTGTTTGACAGATCACAAATGGCAAAAAGGCAGCGAAAATCAATATGGGTAACGTTTTCGTCCTGGTTGACATAGCGAAGTCGATTAAGGTCGCACCGATAAACGAATGATTCTTGTGTCTTGTTTCGGGTAGCAGGTGCTAGGACAATATGAAGTATGGACAGCATAGCGCAATGAAGCGACGATGGTCACGCCTGCGCCGATGTCGGGGACACAACGATTGTTTATGAATATTATATCTCGAAACCTATCGAATATCATGAATCCCTTTACCTGGCTGTGTGGTGCGACTATCGGCCATCGGAGCATCGATTTATTGTGCGGTTTCTTAAAGTCGCGTGTACAACTCTATGCCGAAAGAATTGTACGTCAAAGAATGGAAACGACAGATTTGAAGATGCTATTTGCATATTTTCTACGAATTGCTGCGTTATCTTATAACAATTCAATTAAAAAAAGCTGATTATTCAATTGTTTTTTATAAAAATCTTAAATATAGTTACTCTTCAAAAATTATTTTAGCGTAACAACTATGTTATTGTTAGTACATTCGCGCTGTCATTGTCAATCTAGCAACAATACTATGGCGATCTTATGCATCGTCATTGCGTCGTAATTTATAAACATTATAATATTTGACATTATAATTGTTGACTCGGGTGGATTTTAAGAATTGTTATGATAATGTATCTTGTCACAATAAAAAATAACATTATTTATTATGATGCATCATCAAAGCATAATATGTGCAAACATGGACAGGTTGTACCTACCTGCGTCCCATTAACTGCCCATAGCTCCAAGTTCTTAACAACCGTTAAATAATAAAGCAACGATATTAAGCTTGTGTAAGATGCTACTATGACAAAATGATCGATACGCATATTATTGATTCGCTGTATAATACATATGTCACACATTACATTACTGCAGGCAATCGCAAATTACTCGTTGAAAACTCCAACCTTTTAATCGATAATAAGCTACGTCACACCGACATCCTAGAAGATAGTGCACGAAAGATACGCAATTCCTATACTAAAATAAAAATATGCATTCAAATAATTTTTTTTAGATTAACTGTATATTTTAATAAATGTAAAATAATGTTCAATCAATTCAACTGTTACAAGGAAAAGTATAAAGTAAACGGGACTTTTTGAAAAGATCTAATTCCTTAAATGTTCATTTATTTTTATTTACTTGCTATTTATTTGCTTCAAGCTATCAGCTTCATCATTGTAACTATCATTTTATAGCTTTTACAAAGTGATTATACGTTGCTAAAAGCCTATAATACAAAATTTTTACGCGTCTACACTGTGGATCTGTTTGCGGTTCAAATCGCAATAAACTGTCGATAAAATATTCGCAATCACGATTCGAGGTTGATTAATTTCCACGCTTGAGAAAATAGTGACTCTATGATGTGCGGTCACAAGGAATAATGACATCTTAAATCAAGATCGCATCGATAGGTTCGCAGATGTTTAGACGACCGTAGCGCACGGACCACGAACCACCGAACAGGTGCAAGTGCGAAATGCTTCAACAGTTCTTGTGTTATTTTTAGACTATTTCAAAGTTAAAACGATGTTTTCCTTAAAGGAGGATTGTGATCAACAACTGATAAAAAACTAATTTTATATATGTCATAATTGATTATATATTTTTATATTAACGCTTGCTTTTTTTGAAGAAAAAAAAATGTAGAAATATAATGCACAAGCAATTTGAATTTATATAATATTCTGGAAAAATAATTAATCTAATCAATATCGTAGATAATAATTTAAAAGTCGAAAAGGGCTATAGAGATATCTACTATCAGTTTTTTCTTGCCAACTACATATTGATGATGCATTTCTATTTGCATTTTTTCTAATAATATTTTAATAATTATTCATCAGACTATTTCTAATATATATATATATATATATTATAATATATAATATATAATAGAACACATCTGCATTACTTATTATAATTTTTATTACTGTTTATTTCGTCCGGTTATATTTTCGTCCCGTAAGTTTTACGCATCATTGGTTTCCACTTTTTGCAGTCCTTCAGAGCGTGGTCGATCAGAATTGTAGTCTTCAAAACGTTTAAATCAATATTTGCAATTATTGTGAGACACAACATCTTTGCCATAAGCAGTACAAATCGATTCGCATGCTTTGGCGAAATTTCTTTTTTTGGCACTCATACTGAATGTAATATCAAATATATACTTATATAATAAGTATATATAAAATCAAATATATACCATTATATAAATATATAATTATATAACTTATAGTTCATCTTGTTCACAATTAATTTGTGAAGTTATGTTTATCGTTTGCTTATATCATATAACATTTCGAAAATCTTAATGTCAATATTTCAAAATCATAAAAGAACGGTAACATATTTCAATATTGAATAATTTCTCTAAAGCGATAAAAAACAAGACTAAAACTATTACATAGAGTTTATAAATAAAATCCTTGATAGAAATGCACATGATCGATATAATAGATTTATTTTTCATGTATTTGCACATTTAAAGCTAATAGTATTGAAATTATTATAAAATATTTTTATATTGTGCTATTTTAATTTTCGAAATTTTATTTACGTGAAAAGTAACTTTACACTTTGCAAATTTGATTGTGCAAGAATACATTGCGTCATCTGTTCATATCGAGTCATAAAAAACGAAATCAACAAAGCGTGTATGTATGTCAAAAATGAAAGAGAACGAATGAATGAATAAATGAGTGAATGTAAGTGTGCACAGTATGTGTGAATGCACGAAAAAATGTACAAATAATTGCGGCTCGAATATCATAGATCATGTGTATTTTTGTTACATAATTTAATTAGTTATGTGCCGCGGCTCTTATAATGAAGTTTAATTGGAATAGTTTAAAAATACTGCTCCAATTATCTTAAAATACATATACGTAGATACGATCAGACAAGAATAAACGCAGCGTCGATCTCATTCATACATTAATTTATTCAGTTAAAGATATTTTATTTGCATTTCCACATTTATATGTTTGTTTGTAGCACTATTATAATATTTATTTGCTCCGAATAATAATTATATTTTTATAATTCTTTTGAAATTTGATTAAATTTGTGTATAACTAGATGTTAGATAGTAAACTAGATGTAATAAAATAATCATTCAGTAATTTTTGAACATTGTATGATCGAAGCAGTGCAAAGTGAAATGTAAAGAATAATGTAACTATCGTGTATTCTATAACTGGACACGAATTTTTGTTAATTTATATAAAATATAAATACAAACGGCTGTTAGCAGCTATACCTATTTGGCCGATGCTTACAACAAGATTCGACATGCATTATCCGAATTTAATTCACAATTTTAAACTGTTCCTCTTTTAAAATTCTTATTTTGTGTTATTTTAACGCGACCGCAGTGAGCTCAGATCCATAAATTTGCTAAGCCCAAATAACTGTGCGGTTCAATCATCCTTGCGGAATACCGGACATGAGTGTCGATCAGTGTCGGTAGCGGCATATAGCGGCGTATAGCGGCAATTGATAAGTTGCTGCGATTAGTTTACGTGGCAAACCCACACGAGACAATCGTCATTCATCGCTCGCCGCTCGTGCTCTCCTCTCGTAAAACGTAAAAGTGTAAAGCAACATAGACAGGCGTGTTCTAATACGAATTTTACTATGACCATAGATCATAGAAGTTCGCCGTCATGAACAGACGCCTTAAGCTAGATGGACACACGCGGACCAATCGCATAGCCGCCTCATGAATGGCGAACGGAAGATGAGATCACGTGCCAGTTGGGAAGCATAGTAACTAAAGTTGGTACAAGTGTCAGTGGAATATCGCTCGACCAATCGAGGCGTAGCGTTCGAGTTGTCCGACAACTTCGCCTGTTAGCTCGTGTAACGCAGAGCTTGAGCAGTCGTCGATCGACTGTTCCTTCGTTAGTCGGTTGTAGTTTGCGTCTGACTGTACGAGTTGAACTGTCGTGTGATTGTCCGCGAGGGCCCGTCTGGGCCCACCTAGACGACGTCAAAATTTCGTTCGCAATAGACACCACAATGACATATTCGACTACGTCGTCGACAACGAGTGTTCCTGGAACAAACGCAGCAACGATTACGACCGAAGCGAGAATCACGACGACGTTAGAACAGCACACTCGTTTACCACGATAGCGCGTTGCTGCTGGAGTGTCGAATCAACACGACGACGACTTTCTTTTGTGACTCTCGATACGAATGTATCGTCTCGCACCTTCCAAACGAAATACATTAGATATATATATATGTGCGTGTGTGTTTATACGTGTATATATGCCCGAGTTCCAGAAAGCGTGCAGAAGAGGAATACGAGCAAAACGGCGACACACGTGAGGAAGGAGAACACGCGACCGTGGGAGGAACAAGACGTGGATACCTGAACTGGTTGCACACACATATCTCCGCGGCACAGAGGGAAAGCGAGGTGAGAGAGAAAAAAGAAGAACGGTTCGCGTTCAGGCGGGCGCCATTCGGAAGTAATAGTGTCAAAGTATCGCCGTCCGCAAATTTTTTTTCAGCGAGCTACAGACTGCTAATAAAGTGCGTGCATCTCGAACGTCAGTGGGACAAGTGAGTGCGTGTGCCATCGTCAACGTGTGTCAGTGTGCAGTGAAAGAGAAAGAGAGAGCTGTCGCGCGGGCGTTTACTCGATTCGTGCCGTCTCTGTCCAACCAGTCAATTCGCGAGGCACTACGGCGTGCTTCCTTTTCGCTCTTGCAGCGTAATCGCGACCGCTCGTTCCGCCTGTTCGCTGGAAAAGTTTTCACTACTGCGACACGCGTACACCACGCATATACGTGTGCGACATATACGCGACGTAACGCACGACAGACGGCTGGTTACTGCTGCTGTACGTGCCGAAACGAATTGTATCGAAAAATCGTGAAAAAATTCTCATATAATGGAGAGTACCGCGTGTGTCGTAGACTGAAGCGATCGGCTACGAATCTTTCCGTGTGTATCTTTACGGAGAAGGTGGAGGAGGAGGTGGAGCAGGAAGGAGGAGGAGGAAGGAGGAGGAAGAAGAGGCGGCGGAAGACGACGAACACGAGAGAAAAAGAGAGAAAGAGAGAGAGAGATTAGGTTAGGCTAAACTCGCATTACCGCACCACCCTCCGCTCTCCTTGCTGCGGCATCAAGGCGCTCCATCTCGCTTCGCGCATACCCGTTTCCATCTGACTTGTACGCATCTGAGGAACGAAGACGGTGTGACGGAAAGAGAGAGAGAGAGAGAGAGAGAGAGAGAAAAGGAATCGAGAAGAAGGTAGACAGTACGCGTTTGAGGAATCCAAGGAAAAGCGGGAGAAAAACACAAATGCCGATCACCGGTGAAGTTTTACTCACCGAGTCCCATCACGTATCCTCCACTGCCACTGGCATGTTACGTTTCATCGACAGACTTTCAGGTTAGTATGACGACACAATTATTGCACGAGTACACATCCGAATCCGCGCGAATTTTTGTCAGCGAGGCGCGTAGTCTGCATCGCGACAGTTTGACGCATCAAACATTTCCGCTCGGGACCAAATCAGACGGAGAGACAAGATGAGACGGGACACGCACACATACACACAGTGACTTTCTTTTCGCTTCTACCGCCGCAACGTTCTAATGGGTTTTTTTTTATTTTCAATGAAAATAAAATCGAAAAAACTGTAAAATTTACTAAACAAACCAACGTATGTTTAATACATAATTTGCTTTAAAATATAACGCTAATTGCGAGACGTTGTAACGTCTCGCAGCCCTTTGGAGATTAAAAATACTTTAATTACTTTTAACAATTATCAATGTTAGTTCGAAAGGCACTAAGAAATGCGTTGTGTTATATTTTTGTGAATTCACGGGGTGGACTAAAGGTACAACACGAGTCTATGGTGCGCTGTTAAATGTAAACGGACGTACCGAGCCACGTAGACAGAATAAAAAGGACAAAACTAAATGACGACGCTGTTAGAGTTTGCGCGAGACGGTATATGTCTAGCGATTATTTATTTTTTCCTTCGACCTTCGTTACTCCTTGGATATCCGCGATGCATATCCATTTTTGTATTCTGTTATAATCGATTCGGGCAGTGATAACAAAACGATACTTCTATCACGTGAAGCGACTCACACATAAATGAAAACAAATGTTTAATTTATGTAGAAATCAATGAAATATATCGGTTTGACAAGAATCGCTACTGCGCTTTCGTCCGATTTTTTTCTCGGAAAAAAGAATGCACAAAGCTAAATTCTTTGATATGATCTATTAGAAAGAAGAATATAGATCAAATTAGTAGAAACAAAAACTTCCTGTTATTGATTTATTTTCCGTTTATTACTAAAAAATATTGTGATGTACTTCCAATTGTCGAAACTAGGAGAAAATACTCATAAAACAAACATCCAAAGTTAACTTTGCCGTCGTAGCAATTTTACACTCATTTATAAGTTATGGTACAATGAAACTATTATTACATTTATAGAACTGTCTTATTTACTCTATACATAATGTATGTATTTTTTATTTATGGCACTTGATAAATCAATGAATCGACGAATTTTCAATTTACATTATGTGTGCTTTTGAATGAATGAAATTACGATACATTCATGACGATCATTGACAAAATCGAATCACTCAAATTTGTTGATTTTAGGTAGTTGAATAAATTCAATAATTGGTAGATCGCATAATGTTACATGTCGATATTTCATATCGAAATTAACATTTTCGTTGTACCGCTGTTTGAAGTGCGTGAGTGAATCACCTAAATACGAATTGAATATAACTCGAATTACAATCCGTGTAGATACATACAATAGCCAAAATACAAACCGATTGTAAACAATAAAGTAAATATTACACGAGAAAGAGAGAAAGTATGCATAACATTCATACGGCAATTTATTGATAATTCTAGATTATATCGCACATACTTTCAGTTTAGTTCAGTTTAAACTGGGTTAATTGTCTTATTAAAACTCTCAAAGAGCTTGTGATCTGCAAATTTAAAATTTAATAACTAAAGTTTTCAAAATGTGTATTTAAAAGTCGGAATTTTTGCTTTTACTAATGTTCTTTATTGTTAACTCTTAAATATATTCAAATAGAGAATAATACAATAAAAAAAGAAAAACAGATGTAAGCAAACTAGACGCGCATGTGAATAATCGTCTAAAATTTTACACAAAGCAGTCTGAAGCTTTTTTTAATAGTGTATGAATTTATCACGCATGATTCATGCCGATGTTAATTTACTGGAGTATTACGCGACAAATTGCTTGAGAAAATCTATTAACAGATTATTTAAATGCACATGTACCTTTTAGACTTCATTAAGAAGAATAAAGGAGAATATTCTTGAGAAACATGCTCCATTTGTTCGTGAGAATAAGATCGATATAAGTATTAAGATGCGAAATCAAAGATTAACACCGGTATAATTTCTAATATTCTGTGCATATCACAAAAAGGCTTTTACATCGCATTTTTATTGCCACGAATAATACATGGATTAATTTGTGTGTCTGTGACAATGGAATTTCGAATTCAGCGAAATAATATAGCTCTTAATTTCCGTGCGAAAGCACAAAATTAATCGCGAATTCAAAGTTTAGCAGTTTGGTGTTTAGCGATCACTGAGCAAAAACTAATTTTATTTTTATTAAAATGGATAATTTATTATTATCTTTCGATCATTTATAAAATATTTACAGTTGTCGAACAAACAACATAAAAATTAAGTTTTATCAATGAACGTAAAATTTAAAAAAATGTATAAATATGAAAAATAAGTAAAAAAAGTTTTTGGATATTGTTTGAAATAAATAAGCTACGTTTGTACAGCCCCCGCTGCTTCCACCTTGTAAAGAAACAAAACGAATAGCCAAAAAAAAGTTATTTATGAACTTTCACATCTTGAAAATTTCAAGTTCGTCACATTAAACAGAAATTTAATAGTTTTTGTGGAGGGATTGAATGTACATTGACTCAGTCTTGTCATCGTTTAAAAATAAGAATACGAATCGATTTTAGCGATAGAAATAGAAGCAAGTACATGTCCCAGTGGTCGGATATGTCTCAATCTTTGACCATATATTGAAAGACAGCTTAATAATAAATCTTATTTATTCGAAAGTGACCAGTGGGCATTATTTTATTTCGTTAGCTGGATTAATGAACTGTCGGATATAGATATTTGACTCGCGCGTAGCGGCGCATAATGAGCCGCTTGACGTGCATAGACGTGCCAATAGGTGGCAAAGGGGCGCGCAGGAGGGTGCCGATGCAGTTTTGGGATAATATGACGAAGATCGGGAAGCACAAGACGATACGAGGGCAAGAGCTTGGGGCAGACATAGAAAAGCCAGGTGTTTCGTAGTGTAGCATAGGATGGGTACACCCCCCTGTCTGCCTCTTTATTCCCTCCTTAAGAGACCAACCGTTCGGCTTGGGCCGGCTCGGCTCGTTTCGCCCCCTCTCTGTCGTCTATCCATCAATTCTACTTACAGCTTACCGCTCACCGCTTTACCGTCACGGATATTTCGTTTTATTCAAACCTTTATTTGCCCACCATATTTTTACTTTTCGTTGTGCATGACAAATGCAAGTTTTAGCAAGTTTGAGCTCAAGAACAAACGTTTTGAGGGTTGGAATTTGAGTTATTTATCGTTTTATACCGAAAGACTCTGGTCTTTTGTTATTTTTCTCTTTTATTTGGTCACGTTTCTGCGAGTAATGATTTTTTTTTCACATTTTCTTACGCCACCATACTGTGCGGTCTCTTCACGTATTCAACTGCGCTAAAAAATTCCAACATTCTTCGGGTTTCCATATCCATTTCGATTTTACCGAGAATCGATATTTGACGTAGCACTTGTATTTCTAATAAACGCTTCGAAACTTTGAACGCTGGAAACGTGATTCATATAATATAGAAGTTTCAATACTTCTTACACGTGATTAAAAGCTTGAAAAAAAATACAGTCACATAGAATCTTGCGACTTTTGTACGCGCGGAATCAATAAAAACATCAAATTTTAATAATCGAGGGAGTTCCATCGTGTTTAGATATTCATACATCACGACTGTTAGTAGAAATCCCAAAATACATTTTTGCTGATTAATTTGCTTGCTATATAAGTTATTGTTATAATATTTCAAACGCTTAGAAATGCTAAACTATCAAAAACAGTTGCTGAGTCACAAATAAGACATTCGAAGTTCACGCGTTCCGAATTTTGGTTTATTAAAGTTTAATACATTTAATAATTGTGCGATTATTGCGTGGATATGCTAAGAAAACTTGTAAAAATTTCTAAGTACTATTTACTCTCGACTCGACTATTTGTAAATATTATTTTTGTCTGCGGTTAAAATCTATCGTACCGACGATCAGAATAATGGATTCGTTTTTTAATGTAAAACAGCTTTCGTGTTGCAGGAAACGGCAGATAATCGATAATTATTATAATCACACAACTATAATCAAAGATTACTATAACCTAATGATTGTTACTACTGGTCAACAGTTTACAAAGAAACGTGCAGATGTATTATTATCTCGAGAAAATTCTTATTAATAAAGATACAATGCCATGCGTTAGAGAACGTTGCATGTTCCGAAAAAGTCGAAGCAATTTTAATATAGACAATTTGAAAGAAGAGATATACAAAATAAAAATAAAATTGTTAAAATAAAATTCTAGACATTTTTCGTAGATTACTATACAGAATTTTAATAATTTAGCATTTCTAAAAGTACGAAAATTCAAGAAGAAAACGATTATGGCACAAAATTGACAATTTTACTTTATTTTATTTATTTGATTATACTGCAATTGTCACTGTTTGCATCATCTGTTTTGTGGAAAATAGCTGAAATGGAAAGCATGGACTATATTATCGAAACATTCTACTTTTGCTTATACCGCAGCTGCCTGTCGCAGCTATTGTAGCAGACCGACCCAAGTCTCATCCAATAATGCTCCCGTTCATCAATTTTGATCCCTGTGGTTCTTTCCATTTCATCGGAGCAATTACCGTCCGTGTGATAAGTGATTGAAATACTTAAAAAAGAATGTTACTTTTCATAACTTGCCATTATTATTAGCAGTACTTTGAAATTACGATGGTGCAGTCAGCCAATTTTCAACGATTTACTAATTCTATTAACGCATGGCGAATTTGATCCAAATAGTAAGCCAGAACGTTAAAAAATAATTTGCTTATCGAACAAGAATGGTAGTAAAATACTCCCACGAAAAAATTTGAAGATAAATCTATATATTTTATTTCTCTCGAATATCTTCCTAAAATGATACAATATTGGTAGCGTAGCGGTAAAATTGCAGAATTACGAGTTACGTCATGCGTCGGGAGATAGTCGGGCGCAAGCCACACACCATACACTTTGTAGCGTATAAATGACAGGACAGGCGATGCCGTCGCATACGCGGAACATTTTCGCAGACCGATCAGTTTTTGTGACGAGAAGTGATCGAGAAGCGCACGTGTTTTACCGCCTGCACGCGCGCGGCATGCACGACAAAAAAACCATAATCGCGCACAGGAGGAACCATCTGCGGTTTCGAAAAGCAAGATGCGGACCATGTGCCGGCTGCCAACGATACTCAGCCTGCATAGCCGATCGCGTCAACTTGACTGCTCCGGATCCGCCTATATTATATATTACATTGACGAAAAATCCGTAAAAAAAAAGACAAAAGAAACGTTATTACGGCAAAGTTGCGATAAGACTTGGAAATAATGTTTCTGTTGAAAATGAAGCGAATACGGAACGATCAATTACGAATCCGATTTAAATTGGTTTTACTTCATCTTCTTTTCTATAGATTAATACAGTCTGATAAATCGATAACTTATCAAATTGAGATTTTGTAGAGCACGATGAACAAACAAGATAAAGCAACTAAGCTCGATGTAAGTCTCAAAGTCTTATCCGACTTCTGTATCGCACACTTTCAGCTTTCATGCCTTTCATTCAGTTTTAATACCGTATGGCAGCGCGCAAAAAAATTTGCGTGAGAATACAGTGAAATCCGGAAGTAATTACGCGCAGTAACCGGCTTTTGACGCAATCGTGCGAGCATGAATAATATTATATCGCTTACAGTTTCCACTAATACGTCACTCATTTGCGATTAGATTTTTTTCATTCCGTTATGTTTCTCAATTACGACAAATACACGTGAGAAAATAATATTGTAACGTGATAACACGCCAAAATTGAAAAATATGCCACGCACTATACGCGCCTTTGTCAGTCGCATCGCCAATTAGGTACGATAGGTCTCCTGTCCAATAAGGCTAAAACTGTACGCATGCGATGCTTGCGAAATATATAGAATTTCCTTAGAGGAAAAACAACTTTCTTAATCATCTCGGCGACCATTTCCACGAATTACATGCGACAAGGTGTGTGCTCACCTCGTGCAAAAACTTGTACGTTCCTGCGACTGTGCATTTTCGTATAACATTCGCAATTCGTCATTGCTTTTCACAGACGAGATTTTGGTCGAAGAAAAATATCGAAGAGTGTACTAATTAATTTTAAATTTTGCTAATTGCTACATTTGCTATTTTAAATTCCACAATGTTTACATCCCAGGTAGATTCGAATTTCACATCGCGAAAACTCCCGAAAATGCAATCTTTACGTAAATTTAATTTTATAGAAATCATTTTGGGTGATAAAATATTTTGATTTCTCAATACTCAATATTATTGTCACATTGCAATATTGCGACATATTCCGCTGATATTTCAGTGATAGAAGCGAGCGCATGCTAGAGCCGACGGCGGGGCGACCAGGACGTGGTCGCCTCGCGAGTGAGCGTTGCGAAAAAGCAGGTAATGACGTTGAAGTGCATTCGGCAGCTGCTCGCTATGAATACCGACATGAATACCCGCGGTGGACGAGGTGGACATGTGTGATCCGTCTTTAGGCTCATGACCCCGCCTATGAGTGCCTCCGAGCTCTATCGAGTGGAAAAGATACGTCCTGTTCTAGTCCGGCGTTATATTATCGAGAGCGCGTTGCTTTTTTATTCGTATCATCGATCGGTTCCCGACCCTTCCACTCTTCTCGATATCCGTCTCAATTTCTCTTTTGTAAAAAGAGAGCAGGGAAAAGAGAGAGAGAGAGAGAGAGAGAACGAGTTGGATGGTCTTCGAGAACTTTTGCAATCAAAAGTATGATCTTTTCCGTATCCTTCTTTTCAAGATTACGGATTTTTGGAAAACGTGTGTGTATTTGTCTAACGTAGAAATGAAAGAAACAAGAGAGAAAGATTATTATAAGCGGTTTTCTCGCGTGAACGATCATTGATTGCCATAATTTAATAAAGCACATGTGAAGAGCGATAATCAATTAATAATTATAGATTACGTCGATGATTTCTGTTGATGGAGTTGGTAGATCCAAAATCGAGCTGCGTATTCACGTGCTTTTCATCTTCTTTTTTGAAAATTACTCATGGAAATACATCCACTTAGTGCCCGGTAAAAATTTGATCGCAAAATTCGAGTTCCTGATTGATTAAAATATAAAATTTCATCAGAGTTTATAAAATATAAAGCGCGTGAAAGAAGAACATTTGTATCTTTTTTTGTTCTCTCCATGTCGACATATTCAAACTTATGAATTTCCGTGTTTAGACGAGCCACCGCAGCTGGTAGCGGACCGGTCTCGCCGGTATTCGGGACCCTTCTCTATCCGGAAAATGTCCGCTCCCCTCTTCTCCCCGTCCGCCGGTAGCTGCAGCTTTCAAAGGGCACGTGACTAGACACGCCTAAGATTTCTCGCATATATATAATGTCCTTAAGGGTCGCTATCCGGTGATACACACGGTACAACTCGCGCGCGGTACGCAACGATACACACAACGGCGCCCTGTCGCGATTTACAGACATTCGGAATTTTTGTCATGCTTTAAGCGCGGTTGCCACACGCGATTCTGTAATCGAAAATCGTGATCGACGGTGAATAGGGGAGATGATATCAATCATGCTTATTTATGCGAAATTTATGCGAAATCAAATTATTCCAATTATCAGTATCGTAAAAATTTGTATGCGACTTTCCTCGAAGAAACTTGGCTTATAACGAGGAATATCGTATTCGCGGAACATTGAATTTATTAATATTTGTCGTATTATATCTCTTTTGTTCGCATCATTAAATTTAGATTTCAGTATTTCACACAAAGAGCTGTAATATTTAAGATAAATTTTTCAAAGAGAACAACCGCTCGTTAAAATGGTCGATTACTCCTCAAGGTAGCTAGCGTATTTGTAAGAGCGGACGTTGCGCTAAGCGTGCAATTAGAAAATAGCCTAAATTCAAAGCGATTCATGAATTAAGGGTTATTTCGCCGGGTAGAAAACGACGAGAAACTCAAACTTAAACTTGAGATGTGACACGACCAGCAGGGAAATGGCCAATTATGAGGCGGAATGTAGGTTGTACTTAAAGTAATCTCTATACTGGCTAAAACTGCGCTCCGCTCTTCATCGCCGTCACTTACTTTCCTGGAGAATTGCACAAAGTTGGTCTTCTGTACCACTGAACGTATAGCACGAAATATAATAGCATCGTTATGTTTGATAAATCAAAGGACATTGCCATACTCCTCATTGAATATCGGTTTCATTGTTATCCGATTGTTCGGCAACCTCAGAATTGCTGAAAGAAAATACACGGCTTTGTTATTTATGAGATAGTGAATTAATTTTTTCTCAGCGAAATAATCGAGCAAAAAATAATTATTTAAGACTTGTTAAATCGCAAAATTCAATATTTTAACAATTGACTTACGAACTCACGACTTACGAAATGTTAATATATCGAAATGATATTAATTATTTCTATTAATATGTCATTTTCATATATTTATTTAGCGTGAAAGATTAATCGTCTGAGTTGCCGAAAACTCGAAAGAAGGTGACATCGCAATGATACTTTTAACGTGTATTCAAACATTTTTCGTGCATTCATAATTCATTTACAACATATTTAGGACATCTTTCCGTCGCTTTCTTAGTTCGGCATTGGGCTTTGAAAGGAAATGTAAAAAGTGTCTCGATACGGTGACTAGTTGCAATTGAATATTTGAACGGCAATTGACGTCACACTTGACGTAGGATTTCGCACTCATGCATATCACAAATAACGCGTCGTACGCTTGGAAAATCATTTCGATAGTTTCCTTCTAATGACAAGTTGGTTCGGTATCTATTATTTACACAATCCGTATCGTTCGTCATAAATTAAAGTCGGATGATGAATCATGATAGAAACACGGCGCGCGATTCTCGATAAGATTCTTCAAGAAAAGGTGTGTTACATTTGCGCGGCGCATCTGATCGCTTCGCTTGATCGTAATATTATCCATATTGTAAAGCACACATTATATTCGAAATTTTTACAATGCAACAACGATTATTGCGTACTTGTTAGAAGTCTTTAGCGGATTTGGAAAATTATTCTGATGCAGACAACGCGCGCGCACTAGATTTGATTAAACACAGTATTCACCACGTTTACGTTTAACAAAATGAAAGAATATGCGACGGCAAGCGCTTGAATCGAAAATAGCCGAGTGAAAATTTTCTCCTACTTTCGACTTCCTTATTTATAGAATTTAGAGAATTGCAACAAGTTTAATTGAGATATGAATAAAGTTTCCACTTTGCGTCTCTAAGTAAACAGTAAACGAACGGTATCCGTATAAGATTCAACGATTTTAGAAACGTAGGCTGGACGGAAAAAAGTAGTTGAAAATAGTTTATGTTAAATATTTGAAAATGGAAAAGAAGGAGGAAAATAGGAGAAAAGTTTTGATCGAAGCGAGTGCGTCCTATATTGAAAATTGAATCCGGGCCTCCCGCGGTATAGCAGCAGCCGTTCTATCCTGCTGCCATCCGTCCGTCTAGTGGGGTGGGCCCGGTGCTTCGCTTCGCTAGATCCCGAAGTCTTCACCCGAGATAAAACACACTATAAACGGCCGCCTGGACGGGTATCTGGTTTCAGGGAAGCGGCGGCACGTGCGCCGGAGTCCTGGCCCAGATGGTGGAGCCCGTGCTGCCGAGGAAACGCAAGGAGACCAAGTTAACGATACGAGATACAAGGTGGGAGGGATAGGAGCCGAAGAGATTTGTCCGCCAGTGGCGAAAGTCTGCTGTGACGATAGTAACATTATCAATCGTCACTATCACTCGCCGACACCTCACTTCCACCATCTTCATCACCACAGTCATCGTCATTCATCGTTTCGACAATATCATTATCGGAGGGATACCAATGACGAGAATGACAATGACGGCGAGTGCGAGGACGACGATAATGACGGTATCGGCGACGGCGACGGTGATGGCGACGGCGATGGCAATGACGCCAGCAACGACAAAAACAATAAAGATAATGAGACGTGTCTCGAACGTTTCCATTCTCGTCTTCATCAGCGATTCTACGATCGGCGGCGATACTGCAGAAGCGACATTAACGCTCAAGTCGACGTCGACCATGTCGAGGTCCATCGAACCGAGACGACGGCCGTCCATCCTTTCGTACGAACCTCGCCTATCGCAACCGCGACTACTACAGCCACTACCATCGCTAACCCCTCTGTCATCACTGCCATGGCGAAAGGATGCAAAATTCCGCCTTACCTCGCGACGTTACTGCTTCTTTCCTACACTCTCTTCGGCATAGCAGGTTGGTCATACATTGTTTTTCCTCTCTACAAACTTTTAAGTATATAGACTTGTAATTAACTTGTTCAACAAAAGATACGTTTCAACAACATTGTTCGGTGATGCGATATTTTATACAACATGGTTCAATTTATATAGTTTAATTTAGCTTGTTTCGTAAAATTCGTAAAATTTCTTTCTTCAAAACTTTGCATTTTCTACTTGAATTTTAAAAGTGGTGAGTTTGATTCAGTTTTGTTTAAAGATAAATAACTCGTAGATACGAAGTACTATTGTAAAATTTAAAAATCGATAAATGTGACCATAAGCTGGGTTCCTTCAAAAAGGGTTATGTATATTTACCAAATGTACTAAATTATATTTAAACCCTTTAATTTCATTTAAGCCACACGTTACAATTTCACGGTCGTTGTCTGTTTACCAGGAGCAATAATAAAAAGAAAGAAAAGAAAAGAAACATACCCGTGGAAATAGCGTGTACTTAAAACGAAGGACTGCCATCAAGGATAAATTCTTGTTTCGCATTACACGGCGAATCAGTCGCTCGTGTTGCGTTCTTTCCCATTTATTACGCTCATTGCGCTACAATCTTACAATCTGTCGTTCTCGTTCTCTTTCTCTTTCTTTTTTTTTCCTTTACGACGCAAAGGCGCTACCATGCACCGAATGCTTTCGTGCCAAGTAAAACCCTCGTCCTCGCGACAAAGCGTTCATTTTATACGCGACTTACGCCAGACGCGATGCGAGCAAGTATGTGTAATATAATAATACTTGCGCGCGTCACGTTGCACCTGGTCCCGACGTAAACCGTCGAGATAATCGACGTAGAATATCGTTATCCGTTTTTTTCCTCTTCCTCACGCCTCTACTCACTTTGCGCATTACAATTACAAAGATCGTTCCGCTAACATTCGCATATATGTCATATATGAGTATAAAATGTGCTTATTTTATCGCACGCGTCTGCAAATACATCTCTGTCGAAAAAACAACAGTCAAAATTGCGCGTGATTGGCATGTATAATACTTGTAAATTTATCAATGTAATAAAAGTTCTTCTGTTTCGTAACGATTAATAGCGGACGCTCTGGCTCTTTCACATACTCGTTATTTTGGAGTTGCTTATACGTTGTTACAAGTTTTTCGCAAATATAAATATTTAGATACTTGAACCTGCTGTTAAAACTTGCAGTTTTATTGGAAATAATAAAAATGGAAAAAATAAACTATTGCATAAAAGCCTGATCAAACACTGCCGCTTGCCAGATAGATTAGAACATACACGTGTGCGCGTGTGCACACGGGCGCAGAGCATCGTCAGGGTGTGTAGAAAACGGCAGATTGTAAAATTACAACAGGTGACAGACAGCAGCCACGCGCGGGACAGATGCAACCTTTACCACCTCTGCCGTCCTTAGCAGCTTTATAGTCTCGCGCCTGCGAGATGCACGCACTTTCTCGCCTTCTCACCCTCTCTCGTTTTCTCTCTCTCTCTCTCTCCTCTTCTCGCTCGCTTAGGGTGGCCACCGCCGTATGCGTGGGTTGTTTGGAGAAAAAGCGAGGGTGTGAGTAGCGGAACGAAGAAGAAGCACGTCTATTCATTGTGCTCAACAAGCCTGGAAAAGCCGACAAAATTCCTAAAGCGCCTATTCATCCTATCATTCGCTTACTTTCTCGTGTCAATAATGGGGGGAGGAAATGTTCACATAGGATCATTAGTCGAGGTGGTCGTTGTATCTCTGGAGATTATCCACGTGTAAAAAGACAAAATATATAAGCATTTGGAAATTAATTGGAAAATTTGGCTCGACGCAAGACTGATAATAACAGTAGAATTGTTGACTAAAATGCTATTTTTATTTTCGAAGCGGATGAACCGGATGAAAATGACCTATCTTGTCTTTTATAAAACATGTATCCGTTTCCATAAATATATTACGCAAAAACAAAAACAATGTACTAGGTGCGCAACTAAGTTTCCGGGTTTCACACATGAATGGCGCTAACGATACATGTAGTCGATATACATGTCTAAAGTTGTGTTTTTTTATTAACTTGGACATCTGTCAACAATAACCAGTCATAATACCAACACATATTGCAACGCAAAAATATTTTTTCTAACAATAAAGATGTCGAGTTTTGTGCCAAATAAACAGCATTTGCGGGAAGCTTTGCTTTTCTGCTTCAACTTGAAAGAAAATGCAGCTGAAGCACGCCGTTTGCTTGAGAAAGCCTACGGCGAACATGCACAATCGAAAACTACTTGTGAAGATTGGTTTAAACGCTTTAGAAATGGCGATTTCGACACTGAGGACAAGGAGCGCTCCGGAAGACCAAAAACATTTGAGGACGCCGATCTGCAAGCGTTATTGGATGATAACTGATACGCAAACACAAGACAACAACAACTGAATAAATTTGAACCATGCATTGCTCGAAAAACGGCCAGAATGGGACACGAGACACGAACGAGTGATATTGCAGCACGACAACGTTCCGTGCCATCGCACTTCCATCGTCCAGGACACCATCAAAACGCTGAAATGGGATCTGCTACCGCACCCGCTGTATTCACCAGACCTGGCCCCTTCCAATTATCACTTGTTCCGGTCGATGGCACATGGCTTAGCTGGGCTACACTTGGCCAATTTCGAAGAAGTGCAAAACTGATTGGATAAATGGTTTCGATGCAAAGACGCGTCGTTTTATCGTCGCGGTATTCATGTATTGCCAGAGAGATGGCAAAAATGTGTAGCTAGCGAGGGACGATACTTTGAATAAACCGTTTTTTGTATTTCTCTTGAAATTTTCCATTTTGCATTGATAAAAAAAAACCCGGAAACTTAATTGCGCACCTAGTATATACATTGTTAATAATATACGAAAGTCTAATGATTGTTTTATATCTGCCAACAGACGCCTGCTCATCGCGTTCGACGCCAAAAGCAAGACCGCCGACGACGACGGATCGACCGAACATCACATTCCACATGTATACATGTCCGCCGGATTACGCAGAATGGTATTGCTTGAACGGTGCCACGTGTTTCACCGTTAAAATTGTCGACTCTCTCCTATACAATTGTTTGTAAGTATGAAATTTTTCTCGCCGCGGAGACACGTTAAATTCCACCTGTGGAATTTTCGCAGCGAAAACTCCCGCAGACTGCAATATATTGTAGTCGGAATATTTGAAAGCGTCAATATATGCGAAAGCGCGTACAGGGTCAGGTATTGTGAATCAATCCGTCGGTTGCTCCTTACTGTGCCAACACGTTATGGCTGCGAACAATCGCAGTGGACGAAAAAGCCACCAAGGGAGACGGAACTGTTCGCGTCACTTTAATCTTTGACTACGGGACTTTGTCACGTACGTCGAAATTCCTGTTGGTTTGTGTTCAGCCGACACTCCCTACTGCTTACCGTACTTTTTCGGGTTACTCTATTGATTCGTCTTTTTCCTTTGTCCTTTTTATTTTTTTATTTTGAAAATAAATATTTTTTTGTATACGGATTCGTACTTATAGTTGACGTTAGAAGTAAATTTCAATATCGCGAAAGAAAGTCTATATCGGATTAACATTGAAATAACATCAAAGAGCGGAGCGCACCGTGCTCGTTCAACCTTATTATTTCCCACGGTATTTTTGCTGCCTGGATCAAGTCACCTCCAGCCTCCTGCTTTTAGTGTCTAACTAAAATTAATTTAATAGTCACATTTTGTCGCAACAATTTAAATGTATACAGCAAATTTTACTAAGTACAGTCGAATTTTTCGTTCAAGATACATGTGAATTGTAAATTATAAACGTCGGTGCCAAGATTTATAATTGTCTAATAGAGCAATTTGCTGCTAATAAATAGAAATAGAAATTTGAAAAGTGAAAGAAATTTTGTGCAAAAATCAAAATCAAAACTAGTATCGTGAAAGATATCGAAAACTGAACGAAAATTCTAAATTGAAAGCAATAATTATCAGTTTTTACCTTCTTCAAATCAAATTACTGAAAAGGGAAAAGAAAACGTTTATTTATTCTATTCTATTATTTCTTTTGTTTGCGCTTTTATAACGATATTCTAAACTAGATTAACAAAAAAAAATACATATTTCGAGATAGAGACAATATTTTAAGATGGAAAGTAATAATTTAAATAGTCGCTTCTATTATTTAATGCTTGAATTTAAAAAGTCGACTTTTTTGTGTATATAGAATTGCTACATAATGATTTAAATAATAAACATTGCCATATTAGACAATCAACACTTGTACGAAACACAAATATGAGTTCAACAATACATATTTCATTTAAATATCGATTAATGAAGGCTTAATGAAGGTGATAATTTTGCTTCACAGATGCGCCAATGGATATATCGGGCAGAGATGCGAATTTAAAGATTTGGATGGTTCCTATTTACGTAAGTAGACTTAGCCGTCTTTGAAATATTCGCAAATTAATGATACAAAGTAAAAATGACGCTTTTTTTTGACAGCCTCGCGGCAACGAGTAATGCTGGAGACGGCCAGCATCGCCGGCGGTGCCACAATAGCAGTATTTCTCGTCGTTATCATTTGTATAGCGGCTTACATCCATTGTAAGCGAAAGCAGAAGGAATTGCGGTCGAGGTAATTGATAGTCTATTATTATCGTCATTATTTTATTCATAGCACGAATTTCGACGCATCCTGCCGATATTATGTGCCGGTATTATCGCAACTTTGACTTTTCGCGAGGAAGCTCGCGATTCGTTATCAGTACTTATTCTTTACTTACGACAAAATATTACATTCGACTGTTTTTCGTTACAGCAGTACCTGCGCTGACACGGTGGATGGTCCTGGCCGAGATCCGGAGTTAAGGCCGTTTAGCAACCGCAATCGGTCTCTTATGATTTTCATGGCCAAAAATCCTCCCAATAGCTCGGTGAGAAAAAACAATTGAAATAGTTTCTTTCTAGATTACAGTTTGGTGATTTGTAACCGATAAAGTAACAATAGAGTTTTATATCGTTCGGAATTGTATTTTCTCAGGCGATGGCGATAGAGCAGACGAGAATGCCCGGCTGGAATTCTCCAGAAGCGGAATCAATGAGGATGGCGTCTATCAGTGAAAACAAACATTCGAGTCAATAGCTCGTTATGTGATTCACGCCGTTCACATGCGACATCCTCTATGACGAGAATTCGTAATTGGCAACAGATATACGAAAGGATCGTCGAATAAACTGCTCTCGTAACTGGAGATAGTTCCAAGATACCTCGAGACAGCAACAGCCTTTGGTAGCTTTTAGTAACGAACTTGTTGGCAATATCCAACTATTTCATACGACGTGTGAATCATCTTAACGCGGTGCTGAGACAACGAAGCGAGTTGAGTATGTTAACAATTTTTTCAACTAATAACACGCACCGACATGTCATGATGATGTCAGCTCCTTTCGATCGTTACATTATATTATTATATCGAGACATTCCCGAATTGTCGCACTCGAGTCCTTTCTCTTACTCTTTTGATCGAAAGGAGAAATTTGTCGATTATTATCGCCTATACTTTCTAACGAGCATCTTAACGAATTACCGCATCCGCGAAATGGTAAAGATGAAAAAATCCTCGTGTGAAAAATATGATGTTCGAAAACATTTCCGTAGATTCTTTTTCGAGGGAGACACATTCGCAACCATCGAATGTTGTTTCCATGCGGACGCAAGCATCGCGTCTCATTGTCATCACTTACAAAAAAAAAAAAAACACATGCAAAAGCAGTGCCTTTCTACTCTCGTTCGTAAGAAAGCAGGAGGTGTGCAGGAAGTAGCTACAGTATGCCTGATTAAGAAAGATCAAATGAAATGTTTGCCTGTCTTATTTAAATGCTAAAATCCGCGACGAGCGTTGTTCTATGTCAAGTAGCTAACCGTGTTACGAGCGCAGGACGCTGATACACGCTAATAACAAAATCCTCTCGCAAAGCACAAAATTAATAACCGAAATGCGCTAACAGTAAACGAGATAAAATCTTTGATGCTTGGTACGTACTGTCTGTACTGTCAATCCGAACGTTTGTTACTCGTGAAAGACTGATACGATTCTTCTCCGGGTAATAATATATATATATATATATATATCACAAAAAGAAATGCGTTCTATACCTCGCGTTCACTATAGAAGATTGATACAACTTTTACTAGCTTGCACTATATTCTTGTTAGATTCTTCCAAAGAGTTTTCGTAAACATGATTGGTCGTGCCATTAGTATCAAAGAATTATTGAACATATGTGTCTTATACGTAAAGATCTCTAAGATTTAAACCTAAATTAAACCTGACGTCTTATCAGAAAGCAATAGTTCTGTAAGCACATATGAAGCACGTTTTACTGCTTAAAATGCCATCTTTCTGTAATCGGTTAGAAAATTTATTGACGTCAGATCGCCATCCGGTGTTGTACTGTTATGTATTGACAAAATATTTTCTCAAAACACAGTTTATTCGTAACAAAATATTGTTTATTAAATCTTAGGCACACAATGACGTACTTAAAGTGAATAAATCTTCATTTCCATATCTGTAACCAAGTGCTAAAAATGAAAAGTAGAATACTCCATTAGAAAGTAGAATAGCAAATATGCTAAAATGATCAATTCAATGACTTTGTGAGCACAGTTGATAATCTGCTAATTTTATAATAGAAAAATTATAATTTACTCTAATTCTGCTTTACATGGAAGAAAGTTGGAAATTTATGACACTTTTGTCTCACTTGTCTCGTTTCATGGAAAAAACGAGACTGCTGAATGACATATATCATTCTGCAAACTGTTAATCCTAATTAATTTATCATTTCTAATTAATATTTATCTTATACATACATACACACTTGAAATAAGAAAGTTATAACGTACCCGAGTTGTTAAATTATTTGGCAAAACCGAGGAAAATGCTCTTCTATTGCCTTATCCTAATTCTAACTTATAATATATTAATCATGCATTGTTCCTATTGCTCGTCATTTATTTATTTTTTTATTAATTATAGATTGGCAAAAGCTTAAATTATTTTCAATTCTATGCACAAATGTAAGGACTGAAAGTGTATTTATGATTTTCCGTCCAATATTTCATTTCATGCACACTTTTTCAATTTTCAAATTACAGTTATTTAATTTACGATTTATTCAGCATTAAAAATGCTATGTTAACAACGTGATAAAATGGGATTAATATGTGTATTTGGAGACATCATGTGGCACGAGGCTGGGCCTCTGTCATTTCGTCTTAGTTTCTTGTAAATAGTAAATAAATTCTTCTATGTTAAAACAATTCAAGATTGTCGACAAAATCGACTAAAAAAAGAAAAATAGCAACACTTTCGTCGCACTATGTCACACTACGTTGCTCTATCGTCCTCCGGTACCTCGTAATATCATGCGATGCGATGCGCTTCAAAAAGATATCCGAAATACATATTTTTATAATTGCATAATTTGCGCGTTGAAAACACACTTTATGATGACAAAAGGTACTGAGCTTACTGAACGACGATTCAATGCTAATTTGTATATTTGTAGATATTCTCTAGTAAAAGAAAACTTTCCAAATGCTTCATTTTATCTTTTCCATATTAGTCACCCACCTGTCGCTCGTTGCTTCAAAATACATTTTATAATATTAGTAATAAATAACTTTCTCTATTCAAATTATTCGAAAATTCCTGCTTAGTGTAGAGAGGGGGAGGGGGAGGGGGAAGGTGAGAGAGAGAGAGAGAGAGAGAGAGAGCGCTTGGAACATAAGAAATGAGAGCATGTGGCCTAAACGTTTACAAAATACAAATAGTATCTTATAATTTATAATGTCCTCATTAACGGAGTGTATTCTAATTTAATTTCCCAATATTTCATATTGTATGTGGTTCCTAATTTATTATTATTATTATTATTATTATTATTATTATTATTATTATTATTATTTTTATTTTTATTAATATAATTAATTATTACAATTATCGGTTACTATTAGAAATTATTATTACATGCGTATCAATAAAACTATTTAATAAGGATTTGTTTGAGAAGAAATGTGAAATGAAGATAAAATACGCAGTGAATGCTGAGAGTGGAAAGCGGGATTGTGTGTGTACTGTATCACACCCACAAACCGAGAATGCGTGTGTTAGAACTATTGGATGACACGAAAGAAAGAAAATAGTATTTGTTTTTAGTTTGAGAATGTTTGATCCTCTAATTCTGGACAAATTTACTATATAATAAGATTCTCGCTATATAGCGCGTCGATATCTCGGAACTAGTATAGCCAATGTATGCATATATAGCTAATTAGTAAAATTGCAAATGTCCTGTATTTGCATATGTACATTTCCTACCGCTTCCAGTATGATAATATTAGTTATTGCAATTTTTTCAATCAACACAAATTATATACATATGTATGTATAAAAGCTAATTTAACTACATGAGACGTAGGCCACGAGAAGATAGTCTCGACTTTCTCAAGAGATAGGGGAAATGTACGTCTCATTATTATATTAAGGATCTTTTGTTGCGTACACAATTAAACGTCTTCTAATACAGCGGTCCTCTAATACAGAGCTAAACATGTTGATTATTTATGTGTTGTTCATGGACGAAAATGAACTTTGCAGTATTCGATTATGTAAATAGAGTTAAAGATCTCGGCGATGCCCAGGGAAAATAATTTATGTTAAGATCCTCGCATTTATATATTCAAGCGAATGATTTTCTGCTAATAAAACTATCATATCGCAAAAGCAGATTTCTGAAATGTGCACAAAACTATTCACGACATGAAAATTATTTTTTTCTCAAAATGTATTTATAGCACAAACAACAAATAGTATACTTTCAAATATGTCTTATTTCTAAAATTATGAGATATGTTGTATTGGTGCGTATATATGTTAATACACGCACAACTTTGATATGTTTTACTGATTTACTCCAATAAATTATGTGATAGTTTTATCAGTGGAAAGTTATTCGCATCTAAACATTTTTGATATCATAATTAAAAATAGTCTTAGTAAATATCGAAGAGTCTGAGACGTTGTTTCTTTCGTGTCATTCAATGGTCAATTTGTATGTTTTCTAATCTAATGCTTTTTCCTGACTCGGTCAAATTAGCGTATTAAACGAAAGCCTTATTATGATTTATATCGTATAAATTATCGTCATCAGTCATATAGAGCATTATGATAACCAGCTTGAAAAGAATACACTTAATGTGACTGATTAAATGTATCAATGATGGCATTTTAGTACATCAGACAGCGTCGCGTATTATATTCCGCGCGAAGAAGACGAATATAAAATGACACGAAAAAAAATTGTCACCCAAAAATGATATAAATGCCATTCTTTTCGCACTATCGTCGCGCGACAACTATCTTACAATATAGTTCAGACGGATAACATTATTTAAATTATATCATGCTGAGTATATTATGAAAATAGAAAAATAATGCTACTAAACTATGTCACGATTCCTTATGGTCAAAACAAAGGATACATATTTGCCGGTTAAAGTTATTAAATATTTTTAATACTTTAAATTCAGATGTAACATTCTCTCTCTCTTATTCCTAAGACCACGACTTCAAAGTCATAAACATCTAATGAATATATTTAAAAACTTGTAGTACCTTTTTCTGTATCATCATTCGTGAAATTTACTTTTTGCTAAAAATTCATATTTACAATGAAGAATACAAAGCGTACAAAATCACTAGAAATACCGAATAACGTATTATTTATATTTTCCGGAATATTAGCACATTTAATCTGCAATAGTAATTTGTAATGTTGCTCGCTAATTAGATTAATTTATATACATTAGTTGTATAATTATTGGTGTTAATACTACTAAAGCAATAACACTTGTCGTCAGTGATTTTATAGCTATTAATTCTTTGTTTTGTTAGATGATATTGTCGATATCATCAATATTGTCGATTTTAGAATTTAGAATTTTATTTAGAACTTTCGTGCGAATTTTTCGAAATTTATTACACGATCTTTATTACACATCATTCCCTCACAGTGAATCTAAAAATGACAATTTTCTTCGTGCAATGTTCAGTTTCATGAGCATTTTTCATGTGCACTTGATGACGGTGGATGGTGGTGGTTATCCCATCCGAGAAATACCAAATCTCCATAGTATGCTGTCCGATGTTAATGTACCAAAGACATCGATAACTGGAAGAAATAGTTGATTAGAGATGAAAAAAAGCGCGCGCGCGCGCGCGCGATAAATACGTAAGGACAGAGAGAAAAACGACAAGAAATTGATCCGAAACGAATTGCTAAACATGGCATTTTAACGAAACAAGAAAAAATATAATTAATCGGCAATGTTGCATCAAAACATTGTTATTATTTTTGTAAAAAATAATGTACATGTATAAATTTAACGTTCTCTGTGAATGAAAGCTTATAATATGTTAAATATTATCTATTACCTATTATTATTATTATATTATTATTATTATTATTATTATTATCTATTATTATTATTATTATTATTGTAATTACTTTTATTATTATCATTATTATATTAAAAATAAAAACTTGTAATCTCTTGTTTCTAAATCTCTAGTATGAATACTGATATTTTACAACTTTCTTTTTTGCTTTATTAATATTTAGTCTAACGTATATCTGACGATATCATATGGAATATTACCTCAAATAACGCTTACAATTAGATATATTACAAACAACTAAAGTAGATACACATTTTCTGTTTATACGCTAGACAAAAAGATCAAGGAATTATTTGCTTTTTTCATCAAAAAAGAAGACAAATTTCAAATAACTTTTATAATTTTATAACAAATAATCGCATTATATCGGCAAAAAGCATTCCGAAGTAGAGATTCAGCGCTTTAAAATACTTTTTTTTCGATACTTGATGCAATTATTTGTTACAAAGTTAAAGTTATGTAAAACTTGCCTTGTGTGTTCTTTCACGAAAAATATAATAGCTTAATTTTTTAGAGTAGTATATATATGCACATGCAATTTTTCATGCTTATTAGTTCCCACTAAAGACGTGCTTTTTCAGAAATGGATATTAAATTGAGACTCACGCTTGAAGTCATATTGATCAAAATCTCATAAATATTTATATGCAATTTTGTTCAGACCAATGTTTCGTTTCGCTACATTTCGAAACGAGATGTGTGCATTGGTGAAATGATTGAATCTACTGCTGCAAGTACAAACTGTTATTTTCACTCTTTTGTCATGCCAAGCTGATATCAATTATTTTTTAACTTTCCATCGTAACAAAGTTTTTTTTTGTTTATGTATTTTATCATTTGGTCTGACAATTTTGGATATATTATGTCTAAGTTTTAAATCTTAAACTAAAGATTGAAATCATATATGATTAACGTTAGGATATATAGAGCAGAAATTTTGAAAAAAAAATAACGAGCAGTGTAAGACAACCGTATAACTTGCTAATATTTATATATTTTTACAAAAAGAGATCTCTTTTCATTTTAAAAATTACAAAAAAACATATTAACATTTTCAGAAGTAATGTACATGAATTTTATAAACATGAAACAAGTTGTGAAGATGTCAATTAGTTTTTGATATGACGTGTAGCAATATACAATATTAAAAGTTACAGTCTACATTAAAATAAATGTAGATTAGTAGTATGTAAAAATTAATAATAAAACAACATAAAAACGAAATCAGACGAGCATTGTGTAAACCAAGTTTGCAATGAGATTAAGGAATTCTGTGACCTAAATACGTGTGACGTTTGTAAATTTCGCTAAAATCAAAGGGACAACAAAACTTGTTGTCCAAAACTTTTTAAACAATAAATATTACATTCATAATGTATTCGTGTGATATCTTGTTTCTCACTGTACTTCAACCTGACTGTTTATAAGATGGACTATAACAATAATTAAAAAGATTCAGATGTTATAATCATTTAACGTAAATAGTGTGTCACTTTTTACTTTGGACACACTTCTTCTGTAAGTATTGTTTCCAAAAGTTTGCATTACGCGCATTTATAAATGCTTCCAATTGTGTGACGGTCGCTGGCCTTAAAGATTTATTCGGTGTCCAGTTTATTACACACTGTGCGACAATATTAAACTTGTGTCTAGAAAGACTGAGCAACGCAGAAATTATGCCTTCTTGTTGATCTTCCGAACCTATTTGGAAATAAATAAAGTTATATTTGCACGTTATACAAATATACTATTTTGCATAATGAAAATTAGTTTTTCATGCGGCATATACAACCTTGGCCGGACTGAATGAGGTCACGGAGCTGTTCGCTGATATCCTGCACAACATGGTCTGTATCTTTCAATGGGAATGCACGCATAAGCTTTCCTTTAAACATATGTGATAATGTCAATGTAAAATACAATATTTTTATGTCAAAAATATAAAATGAACGAAAAATAATCATACCAAGTAGAGAAAACGCGCTATATACACAGGGAAGCTCATGGTTGATGATCATTGGCAATAAATCGGATTGAATAATATTTTGATATGTCCAGGACGGCCCTTCTCTCTTTGCAACAAGTATAATAGCTGTTTCTAAGCCATTGGTTTTTTCAGCTGCAACAAAATGTAATCTGCAATATAATCTACAGAAATGTTACGTAGTCTGTAGAAACATAGTGTGAAAAATATGGATTACCTTTCAAAGCATTCATGAGTTCTTTGATCATATCTTTTTTTGTTTCTTTATTATAAGAATATTTATAAAATGACGATATTAACGACTTTAATGCGGTTAATTTATTGAATTCATTAGCACACTGCGAGCCGATGAGAAAAGCTATGCACTTTGGTAATATTCCTGCAAGGATTCAAAAAATTTTTCAGCATACGTTCGTATTTTCTACTACAAATAACAGCAATTTTGCACAATTTATCGTCACATCTTAATACCTTTATTGGTCTCAGCGTTTGGAAGAACTTCAGGCCAGCATGTTAATATCGTGTATAGAACATTTATCGATTTAAATCCCAAGCAATAAAGAGCGTTGCAGCACATCATGCGTACTCTTTCTCTATCTTTCTTGATTCGTGATAAGATGACGTAAATTCGCGTGAGTGTTTCAACTTGCACCTACACATTTATCGTATAATTTAATTCATTTTGTTATCTCGTTTAACGAATTAAATGAATACAAATACAAACCTTTACTTCATTAGTAAGCTTAAATAGGTTGTACTCGATAGCAGCTTGTACGAAATGAATAATCTTTGGTTTCGACGCGTCTAAATCGATTAATAGCGCTATAATCTTCTGCTCAAACGTCGTCATCAATGGTGCTGGAGGGGTAAATGACTTGTCCAAATCCTCCATATAATTGACATTCTCCAATAAAAATTCCACTATGCATCTGAAATAATAAGAAAAGAAGCATCACTCTTTTCTTCATTCAACTTGAGATACAATGAAAGCAATTCGTAATCGTTCACTGTGTAATAATTTCATTTACATAATTATTTGCCATGTATAATATTCATATCTGTCTAATGTAATGAAAAAAAAAGATATTTTTCGCCTGACGATTATATATTTACGAAATGTTATACTTACTTGGCTATTATACGAGGTCCGCATGTGCTCTTTAATTTCTGCATTACATCACAATATACAGAATCTTCCCAAAGACTGTCCCTAAGTTTTTCCAACTGCTTCTTCACAAACTTATCTAAAACATATATGTATTAGAAATTTCGCTTAATAGTTAATTCGTATTTTCCTGTTTGTTAAATACCTGCTAATTTACAAATGTATGTTATTTTCTTAATCGGCCTCTTGCGAACAATTCGTTTTTTATTATTGATATATTTAGTCAATCGACACATCGGCGTTTGGGGTTCTTCATCATCATTTATATCGACACAACGAACAGGAATAGATTTCATTTTTTTGTCTTGTTCATTTGAGCATGTGTCTTCTATCCGAGTCTCGGTAGCCTGTATTCCTGTCATTCCATTATTAATGCTTAGTTTTTCTCGTGTGCCTATTATATTCTTTGCTTTATCAAGAGATTCTTCCGTATCATTGTCATCTTCAACACAGTCTTCAACAATAATCGCACTGTCGCTTGGCGGCAAATGTTGAATTTTGGAAGTTTTATCAGATATGTCATGATTATGACTTTTACGCATTGCTGCTTCCAATGCAGCCAATCGATTTGACGTTAACACATTCACATTCATATTCTTTGATGTCTCGCGATCGTCGCAATGCTTATCTTGAATTGCATTACAAGAATACAATTCAATGGCCGGAGTTATCACTTCTCTAGGCTCGATTGTCTTTGCTTGCGCATCGATTTCCTCGCAATTGACCGATGTCCCCGTCGTTTCTCTATTTATTGATACATTTTCATCAGTTCCATCTTCAATTGAGACTTCATCACCTTTATTAAATTCCGAGGTTGTAGGTGCATATTCGTTATTCGTAATAGGCAGAGCAAAATTGTCTTGACATTTTTCACTTGTAGGCTTTTGGTCGATGCTGCGTGCTTTAATACATTCGACAGAATTTTTTTCATCACAATTTTTATTTATTTCGTAATCTTTTTCATTTTTGATTAATAAAGTAAGTTTTTGAGTCGGTGTACCTAATTGCTGAATTCTACCATATTTTTGTCGAGATACTTCTGAATTAACTATATTTTTTATCCTATGATGTGTATAATCTGTGTGCTGATTAACACTCAATTGAGGAACTGATGACGTTTTTGGAACATGTGCAATGCGCAACTTTTTTGATGGTTCGGAATACAACTCAATGGCACTTTCCTTAATACTGTCCTTTTGCATATTTATAAATGAAATTGCTCGTGTTCCTAAGTTTCTTTTTAAATTCTTAATCTGTATCGTACGATTGTCAGGCTTATTCTTATTTTCGACCTGTAGTCTTTTTGCTAACTCATTAAGTTCAGAACGATGATTAGGCCCTGATTCAATATTCTCTTGCTTATTTATGTGACTAGTTTGTGTTTTTCTTTTTAAATTTCGAATGTTTTTTAACAAGCGGCTATTCAACTTCTCTTTATTTTGATTCTTTCCTTTCATTTTGCTTTCATCTGCAATTGTATGAATTTTGCTATATGCATGATCAATGGAATGTTCATCACAATTTTTATTATCATCATCAGATGACAAGCATGTCATTTCCATGACAGATTCGTTGACAGATTCTACGTTACTTTTACTTAATAAATTATTGCTTGTGCATATTTCATCATTACTTGAATGTGATTTTCTATCACTATCTTCGGGAGATACCTCTTCTGCTGAATCAGATACAATCTCTCTGTGAGCGACTAGAGCTTTCTCGTACGACTGATCAGTGCTATTAAAAGATACATTAGATGCATTTACATCCAATGTTGGAGTGCTCTTATTTATACATAATATTTGCGAAGATTGTAGAGTATCAGTTTCTTCAGCAACCTCTTCAAGTATATTACTAGTATCTTCTATAGGGGTATCCTCTTCAAGATTTTCACATTGTAATGAAAATGGATTTTTAACATTATATCTAACATTATATTCATTATATTCATCATCCGATCGTTTTCTTTTTCTTAACTGTATCTTCTCTGCACTATAGTTTTCTGATTCGATTTTTCGCTCGTTTTCCCTTTTCTCGTCATAATACTGTGCTACACCTTTACAAATTGTGGAAAGAAGATTTGAATTTAGGAAGGCACCATTATCATGATTGCTAACGCAATGATGACGACAAGAACTAGTTCTCTGTTTTTTCTGTGATCTTCGGAGTTTCTTCATTTTACTTCCCAACAATTTAAGTTTTCTTTGTATTTGTTTAAAAGACGAAGAGTGTTGAGCTAATAAATCAGAGTAATATTTTTTCATACAGTCAATATTTTCGGGTAAAGTAAATTTTGCAGAACTGTAATTAGTGGATATATTGGTTGCAACTGGGACATGCATTGCAATATTTGAACTCTTTAATTCGTTTTCAGAACTTTGTGTCGTTCTAGATGAATGTTTCAATTGAGGTTTTAAATGATTCTCCATGGGATCACTATACTGATTATTACATGGATTCAGAAGTGACGTGGGTAATACTCCAAAGGAAAAAGTGTCTTCACATTTATTTGTAGAGTCCGAATATTCATCTAAAAATTAAAAATGAAAGAGAAATGTAATAATAATGTAAATATTATATTATATAAAAGTATACATATATATAAGCTCATTTCACATTTATAATTTACAAACGCATCAGACAATTACATTATACATTAATTCTGCTTACCAAGTGATAAACAAGACGGCAAGATTTTTTTCGGTGGAGAAAATATATTTTCATTGATTAATTCTGGATATGTGCTCATTGTTCTGCATATTTTTTCAGGAGTTATTGTTGGAGACAAATGAGCTTCGCATTTTGCACAAAATAATGGATACGGATCATCCTTTGTATTGTAAAATTTATCAGTCATAATACTTTTGTCTTGTACTTCGGATTTTGTATTTAATACACTATCACATAATGACACATTGATACCAACATCTGCAGTTGATTTAGTTTCTGCTAACATTAATTCACATTATCAGTATATGATATAATAATATACAACACACATACCTTTGCAATATATATATTCATAAGAAATTGTGTTTAATTCTATACTCACCCGTACTGAATTTAGTTGCATCAGAATTGATAGAAGTGATTTTTTTCTCTTTCTTTTTGGGTATTAGTTTGAACTTTTTTAAATCACATTCCAAACTTTTAATTTTTTCTGCAAAAGAATAAATCTTATTCTTAAAGACAAAAATTCAAAAATTTACCATTATGTTTTTACATCAACTAAATAATATGAGAAATGTATAAAAAACATTTTATTAATTGTTACCTTCAAAACCAGACTTTTGTAGATTATACTCCATAGTTTTACAGCCATGTTCATCTTCCATTTCTTCTATTTTACATTTTAGCTGTTGTATAGTCTGTTTATATGCTGCTATACTTATCTCATATTCATCTACTTTGGATTTTAATTTTTTATTTTCCTCTTCAATATTCATCAAGTTCTATAAAAAATTAATACTATTAACATATGAAACATTTCAGAGAATGTTATGGTTTATCAGTTAACATATTAGGTTTACAAGTTTGCACATAAAAAAAACAATATATGCATATAAATCAATTTGGAGAGAAATTTCTTATCTTTTATAAAATTACTATTAACAAATAATCTAAAGAGACTAATAATAAATTAATCTAGGAATATATTACTTACATTTTTTAATTTCGCTATTTTATCTACGTCAGATTTAGAATTAGACATCATATGCATGGCTTCTATTTTTGTAACTTCCAAATCTTGTTTCAAAGATTGAATTTCTTTGTCTTTTTCAGCGTATTGCTTAATTAAATCACTGAAACAGACAAGCTATTAAACTCTGTTAAAGCATTTACTGTGCAATATTTCAAAATTAGACCTATATCGAATAAAAAGTATAGAATAACACGAAAATACTTACTTTGTCATCTTCATTTTCTGTTTTAACAATAAATATGATGAAGTCTTTTTTATTTTACAATTGTCATTCTGAAATTGTAACATTATTTGCTGATTAAATCTCTGAATTTTCCAGTGATAAAATAATAATCTAGAAGATATACTAAGACGCTAAGATATACTAAAGATACACTATTATTACAGCAGTTGATGTAATCATGTAAAAATAAAGACATATGTGCAAAATATGGAAAGGAAACAAAATCTAATCGCGAACAATAACCACAAGGCTACTATTAATTTTTTCAATACTTAGAATAAAAAAGACGCATCGGGTACTGCTAATATACCGGCATGATATACATACATAAGCCCTGCGATCCCAATGAGTACTTTCCGCATGGTTTATTCATAGATTTTTTTATACAATATTTTTTTTCTCTTTCCATAAAAAAAAGTTTTAAATATCAAAATAATGTTTCTTAAATCCTTTAAAACACAAAACAATCTAGTAACATAACCTAACTTCTGAATATAACCTATATACCCATGCGATTAAAACTTAAAACTCACCGTATATAATACTTACAATCATGTTTTCGACGTTATTTAAACCCTCACTATTAATATCCATTCTTGTTATAATGTCAACATGTAATATTTATTTCGAAAAATTATTAGCACATACACCTTTACTTCAGCAAATATAAATTTTCCCACACCGCCGAGAACCGCATACAACCGCATACATGCGCCCATGTGCACTCGAAACGGTTCATTTTAGCCGGGATTAGGAAACCAAGTTAATAGGAACACAGGATGATAAAAAAGCTTTACTGGGAACAGCGCCATCTCTTGGTTAATTGTTGCGACTTGATGAGTACGTCGATGGTAAGTGTGCCGATCGTAATTATCGACTTTACTTCGACACCTCTTTGCTTTTCATGTAATCCTAATAACAGTTCGCACAGTTCCGACTATTTCGAGGCCCGATTGGAAAGCCGGAATGTCTCTATAATCATTTCTACTGGCATCTCAAGATCCAATCTAATCGCGTCTCCAATATAGTCTCATTCGACCTTGTCTACCGACAAAATGAGCGATGTTTTATTAAAAGCGACAGAATTCTATAGAAATAATTTCTTTCGTAGCTTCTAATAATTAATTTCTTTCAATAATTAATTTTTTCCACTTCTCAACGTATATACTAAGAACAATAAAATGCTCAAAAAATTTTAAAACACTTTGCACATGTTGTGTAAGATTTTTATATGATTTTTAATGATTATTATATAATGTGACAAAAGTCAACAGGAAGTCACTTGTTAATTAAAAATCACAAATATATAATTAGATCGGTTGCAAAATACTTTTCATACATTTTAGCATCTTTCGGCAATATCAAGAATGTCGACACGATTATGATTATAATGATGTCATTTGGCTAAATTTAATTTTTCATTCTTTTGCAATAATATATATATAATAAATTTTATAAAATTAATGAACATGTGGCCGCTTGCGATTTTATTACGCAGAGACTTTATTTGTTCGCGCAAATAAACATGATATTGATCTATTAATAAAACAAGTAAATCATATATACATAATAATACAAATATATTTTTAAAAAAGTTAAATTATTTTTCTATTTGTACCAGAAATTGTTCAAAAGTTGCAATATACTTTTTATTAGGATCGTATTTTTCAAGAAATGCTGCCCAGGTTTTCGGTTTACTGTTTTTCAAGTAATTGCCTATTTTTCTTGCCATTTGTCTCTGCTTCACGTTGCACTTTTCACAAGTTGTAGCTACGGCTTCTGGTAGTATATCTATGCAACAAATTAGAAATTATTTTAGTTTATCATACATGTGAACACATTTGGAACAAATATATTTCGTAGAAGCTGAACGTTGTTTTACTTCAATATGAAATCAATTGTCCTTTTTTTTTCCTTTTCCAGAATGCGATTTTCTTTTTGGCTTTTAAGAAAAATATAATATCTAAAATTATGATATCAAAATAAAATTGTGTGAATTATGCTTTTACGTTTGAGATAATGTCCATCTGCAGTACAAGGGGCTTTATCAAGAACGCAATCCATATATTGATTGAAAAGACGTTCGTTATTAAGAATCACATCCAAATTCACGTTTTCATATGTATCCGGATAAGATTCCATTCCTGTAGCGAGTCCAGATGCTAAGAAACTCAGCAATAATACAAGTGTGAGTCTCATTCTCTTATGATCCTTTTTGTAGTAATCCATATTCTATATAAATTACAATATAAATCCTATATAAATTAAATTAATTTGCTTTCATAAGAAAAGTGCAAATAAATATTAAATAAAATTAATAAAACAGAAATTAATATAAATTAAAACAAATTTCGTTACAATTGATATATGCATATAAAAATATTAAAGCAGACCATGTTGTAATAAAATTGTCTTTTCAAAGTACCGTTTTAGGCGAGGATTATCAGTATTCTTACCTAAAGTTTGAAATTTAGACTATTTAACTTGTATTGGCCACAGTATATGTGGCCAAATTAAATCCAATGTTCTTACACACGGATGTCACAAATTAGCGTTATACGAGCGTACTGAGCTTTGTACGAAAAAGAGAAGCTTTATCATCGAATTTTTACGTTGATATATATTTGTTACCATCACAATTAACTAATTTAATCTGATGGTAGTGTATGTGAAACGTGAATCTTTATATATACAATGTCTCACAATCGTATAATATTTCTGCTGGTTTATTCAAAATTTATAAATAAATGCAATATTATTTGTTTATAATGTCACGTAAAATTTATTTGAAAAAAAAGACGTGACGATTAAAGATGCAGATGTATATAGAATTATAACAATGTGTCGATTGTATGTTGATTATTGCCGTTTATGCTTTACGTTCCTTCTTTTACTTCTTTGTCATTTAACTTCTACGCTCTCTAAATTTATGGCTGTGTTGGTGTTCCATCCACAGCATCTAAGCCACAGTATAACCTATTTCTGACAGTTCAGTATAATTTGATAGTTTGGCAGAGAGCAATAGAAATAATTATCGTGTGTGCAGCTCGAGATAGCGAGACGAAGGCAGGAAATGTTTTAAATGTCATATTTACGAATATAAGACATGGTTTGTGATATAACGTATAAACATCTTATGAAAAGTTAGGCTAGGTTAATGTATGTACACTAACCCTATTAACACAATTTTTTGTTTTTTTTTATTTGTATTTTAGGCAAGGCTACTCATCGGAATGGAACGAATATAAAAAGTAGCAAATTGCTAGCTAATTCAACAATAATCACACGAAATCGACTTGTGGTTTTCAGAAACCTGATTTGAATTATTTAAAAGTATTGAACAGAGTGTGCATATAAATTTATTGTTTTCTATCAATACTATAATTATTTGCATTAAAATAATTGATATAAAAATAATAAAAAATAATTGATATTACGCCAAGATGGAATTGGCAAAAGAGGTTATTAGTGGCCTAGCGGACGTTCAAAATAGCAACACTATATCTGAAGAAACATTTGTGCAATTATTAAACATTATACTATCTCATATTCGTAACAATAATAATGATGCTAAAAGTAAATAAATTTTACTGAATTTATTTCACTATGTGTAAAAATATTCGAGACATTAATATTTATAATTATTTATGCTTGTAGACATTGCTGTTGTATATTCATTCAAATCAGATTTGGTGAAAGCTGCTGTTGCCAATATATCTTGCCTCTTTATAGAAGCTGCTAGATATGATTATGATGAAAAGAGTTTAAAAATTTTTTTACATAATGAGCATATTAAAGGACAAAGAGTAGAAAAATTATGTAATACTTATATGAACAATAAACAAGATATTCAGACTTGGTTGGAATTGATGGGAGACAATGTACCACATATAGTAGATATAGATTGGCGTTTACATCATTGTGTTAAGGTAAATGCTTTATCTTTTGATAATATTTTAATTGTGATGGGATTACTTTATGTAGCATTATTCCAACAATATAAAAATATTTGTTACATAAGTTATATGAAGTATTCTGCTCTTAACTACAGGCTAGCATTTGCCGCTCTATCAGTATACCAGCTTGTAATATTCAAATATGTATAAGGAAATGTAATGACATAAAACGTGTGACATTTACATGTACCATACAACAGCTACAAGAATTAGTATACAAGTTAAAAGATATTGTAAGACATCTCGAGAAAATGTCTAACATATAAATGTCTAATGAGTGATTATGAATCAGCAATTTAGAAATATATTTTCTCCTTGCTTTAGTAGCGGTATGTATATATGAAGGATAGTTTATATGAATAATACATAGTTTGATATATATAGGTGCAACCAGTTATATTTTTGTATTATAATGAAAAAAACTTAAGAATCTTTTAATTCAATGTAGAGTTATTGTATTTTATACATTTATACATGTATATGCATGCACGTATACACATATATAAAAATTGATTAAAAATACAGTATCCTTTGTTGTGCAACTTAATATTTATCCAAAATCTCTATTTTTATTAGACGAAAAAAATATTATGGTTATGTGTAATTACTAATTATTTAATATAGAATTATATTAGTAGTTAATAATTTTTGTCTATTATTATGTTATATTATATATATATATATATATATATATAATTTTTTATAATCATAATATATTTATGTACAAATAAAGTAGCATATTCCCTATTAAGAAAAACTGATCTCTAATTAAAATTTCCTAGCAAAACTTCTCATTTTCTTTTGCTCACACTTTTCCAAATTTATGCATTTCTACTCTTTCATCAGTACCTACAATCATGTAAACAGACAACAGAATATATCTATGCATTATGTATTATTAGGAATAAAGACTGATAGATTAGACAAATAGAGACGAGAAAGAAAATATTAGGAAATTTGAAAAACAGAACATATTTCTAAATATGATGCAAAAAGAGATTGAAACGAGGGAGAGAGAGAGAGAGAGAGAGAAGCATGGGAAGAGAAAGAAAGAGAATGTTACAATTTACGACTACAAGTTTATGAGCACAATTCTGCCTGATTAAAATATTCTTTCCATGTAAGACGATGTAACGCAATGATCACAGTATTTAATCGTTAACTAATAATCTTTTTCTTTTTGACGTAATTAGCATATATTTTATAATTTTTATTGTTCCATATCAATTACTTGATATACGATAAGGCCTCGGACGTTTCACTACTGCTAGCAGTCTTCGAATATTTTCAAAATCACCCTAGAAATTATTCGTTTTGATACTAAATTGGTCCAAAAGTAGGAGTTAATTGTATAAAATAAAATATACCAATAGTGAGCACAATAACCGATGATAATCACACTTTCATTATGTGATTTATAGTTTTCATACCTATACGTTTATTCTACATTCTTGTTCCGCTTTGATAATAAGACCAATATCTTTTTAAACTGCGAGTTCTATTGATATATTTTTCATTTATCATTAAACGAAATTATTAGAATTATTACTTTTTACTAATTACTAATTATTATGTATATCGATATCCAAACTCAACTTTATCTTTATATCTTCTAGCATAGATGACGTTACGTTACAAGTGTAAATTATACAAAAGTACATTATTTCAAAGAAGTATTAATTGAAAGTGAAGACATTAAAATTGACAAAATAAAATTGCTTCTTAGAAACGTTACCGCATTATATAATTGATTTCTTTTAACGAAATAAAGGGTTATTCAAAAATATTCAATGCTGCACATTCTATATAAATTTCATATCAATCTTACATGATATAAAAATGTATAGTTTAAGTTTAGGTAACATTATATTAATTCAATTAATTCACTTATCATCTAACATATCTTTCATACACGTGTGTATGTGCTCATTATCATGAGTATCTTTTTCTACTACGAATAACTGCGTGTGCGCGCACTTTTTCATAACTGTGTTATTTATCAGAAAATCTGTGACTGTGTGGTACTTTTCCAGTTACTTAATACTAACGAATAACTTCCATTTATTTTATATGCGAAGAACGCATATGTTATTAAGATGATATAACGCGTTATACATTATGATATTAACAAATTCAACAGTACATGCAGTGTACTGAGAGATGCAAATCATACAGTAGATTTAAATATATAACTTAAAATTTTTTCCCGAAGTTATCGTTTTCGCCACTCTTATATATAACCCATATCCGCGAAAAATATATGCATCAATATTACAATGCGTAATACATGTGTAACGAAAGATAGATTTTAAGTTTAAGATAGATATGACATAAACGCTGTTTCACTTGAAACATATTACTTTTTCCTGTCTCCATCGAATTTGTGTGTAGATAGTTTAGCATTTTATATTATTATAAGATAAATGTGCCAGAGTGACCGGACATTTGAGAGTTTATTATTATTAACGAAAATATTATTTTTTCCAAATCATATATAAAGAATTAGGCATCAAGAACCAACTGTGGTTGTTAATGCGAAAAAAATAAGTTTCTTAAGTCATTTGGTTAAGAATTATTTTGGATTTTACATTTATAAATATTAAATAATATTTTGTTAATATATACAATTGGTAGTAATATATATATCAATAGAGACATGTCTGGACCGCTGGGATATTTACCTTATTTATTTTTTATTATATTTTTTAACAATTTTATAATATTTACCACTAGCAATCATATGATAAAATGATTTTTATGCAATTTAATCATTATCTGAATGGTAAGTATTATAAAATTGTAACGATGATCAAACTATCGTCAAGCAAAAATCAGTTTGTTATACGATAAAAATAAGATATATTATGTATACTATCGCTCAAAAGTTCTCCGAACTTAATAATTTTTAAATATAACCAGATACTCTAGTAAAAACATCGATCCCTATTTATGAACGTACACTATTTGGATAAATCTTAAAATTAAAATAATAATAAAAGAATATATATCTGTTTAATATTAGAAAATAAAATTCTCTTTGCACAGAAGGAACAATCTAAGATTTGCACAATGATCTGATATAATGTCGAAACAGTGATAGGCAAAAAGTAATCGTCAAGATTAAGAAGTTTAATGTAAATGTATCTGTAAAAAAAGAGATAAATCGATTTAAAAATTGTGATGATGAGCTCTCTGTAAACTTTTTAGCGGTAGTATACATTTATATAGGTATGTATGTATGCATCTATATTAACAGTGAGAGACTCATTGCAGCAATATTAATGTTATATACATGAGAATTTAGATGGTCTCATAATTATCGTCAACATATGTTTATAAAGTAATGTGCTCAACACAATATATAATAACTCATTTAAAATAGAAAATAATTCCATCTTTCGCAATTGCTATTTACAGAAATATACAGATTCCTAACATGCCATGGAACATTTTAACAATGGCCGTAACTGCTTTTTGCTTCTTACACAGTAGATATATTGTAAAAATTAATCGCTCAGCTTTATAATCAACTTGTGACACTTTCCACTACGCGCGGATAGTATAAGCGCAATTTTCAAATATAGAAGTATATGTGGAATATATGCGATTGTGCAGGTGGAAACGACGTTAAAAATTACTGGCAGTAGTATCAGCAAATATCAGATTCTATACCTGAATTCTCGTTCAAGTATAACGACCATATATAAGCTTATCTGCCGCGGTTCATACTACAGATTTAAGAGAGGTTGTGTCGGATTAAATGCAGCGCTTACCAATACGCGTAGTAAGGATTTGCGCGACTCGCATCTAAAAACGATTAATCTTTATATCATACAATTACGTCTCTGCCTTATTTTTTTGCACTTCGGATTTTTTACCCTGTATCTGCTCGTTAGTCTTGCCGAGATCCTCCTTCTTCGAATCGCTCACGGGCGAATTATTGACATTAGTTTGAATGTTGCTCTTCGGATTGCTATTTTCTTCTCTGGACGAGGACCGTTCTACTTGACTGTCTCGTTCGGTTGTCTCTACCGGCATTGCTGTTTCGTTAATATTATCTTCCGTAGATTTCTTACTTACATGCTGTTCCGTTGTAACGTCGCCGTTAATCTTGGTTGCTTGATTCTTTTGCTTCTTATCATGAGGTGAGGTCGCGGTGTTGTCAGCGATATCTGTGTTACATCTCATTTCCGTAAGCTTCGTCTTCGAATTTTCCTCTCTCGATTGCGCAGTCTCCTGCGCCTTTTGCACCTCCGCGTCTTTGCATTGCTTCCGCTCGTTAGTGCCGCTCGACGAGCTCGACGATTTTTCGGATATCTCTGTGCTGGTGATGGTCGCAGAATTGAGCGACATGGAGGAAAAGCTCTGCTTAGAAATCTGCGTTTCCGCAACCATGTTACTCGTGTCCGCCGCGGCGGATGTCTTGACGACGTTGGATCCCGAAGTCAAACTGCCGGTCTTAGACAAGTTAAACGCATTGAGTTCGCGTTGCGGTGATTGCACAGGTACGGGCATGGATACGCTTTTGGACAGCAGCAGTGCGACGCTGTCCACCGTTGATGTAATCGGCGACTGCGAGTCCGCCTTTGCCAAGTTGAACGACATGGACGAAATAGAACTTGGCGATGAGGCTTTAGGCGATTTCGGCGAGGATGAATGGGTGCTGGGTGGTATCCTCTGCACTGTCGGTGGTTGGCTAGACACGGGCGAGTAACCAGTGGTTTGCGGTACGTAACTCGATCGCTGATACAGCTTGTTGATCGAAGGCGGTAGACTACTGTGGAAGGCACTGGGAGGTGGGATACCGATGGGCGATCGTATCAAAGGATTCGGGAATCGGCTAGCATCTGGAAAGGGAGGAGGGAAATGAGAATATATGATCCGAGGATTCGTATTCGGCGTAGGAGATGGTATGAACGGATTAGTCGACAACATATTCACCGGAGAGTTTCTGGGCGAGATGGGAGATCCGGTGTTGCGACATATGTCTCGCGGAAACGGAGTTTGATAATTTCGGGTGTTCGGCGAGTAGGGTGGCGGCGAAACGATCGACGAATTAATCGTCGAGACGATGGGTGATAGCGTCTTGGGATCGATTTTCATCATGTTGAGAGTAACGCTCTTGGTCGCCGATTGTTCCTTCTCCTTCGTATCGTTCGCGACACCGTACATAGGCTTCACACCTGACGCGGGATTGCCCAGGTATCGCGGCATGTTTCTCATTTTAAAAATCTTAGCTGGTTTCGATGGAATCTGTTTGCTCGTACCTTCGGACGCGGAGTTCTGCATCTCCTTTGCTTGATTCTTCACCGCTACATAATTATTTTTCGACAATGTAGGATTCCAAGATTTCGGTGGATCGCGCAGCGTTTTATACCCGATCGGTTGACTGTGCTTCCTCAGGGACGACGCTTTCTGGCTCATGTGAGACGACGTCGGTATGGATGACGTTGATATCGATCCCGCTAGCACACCGGCTGATGTTGACGTTGACAAGGTGGACTTACTCTCCATCGTTGTTGTTGTTGTTGCGTTGCTACTCGGGGTGTACACCGGTACATTCGGAATATTAGGTATATGCTTGATTGTCGTGTCCGAATTAGACGGTGACGGTGCAGAGCACTTCTTCGTGCTTATCTTGAGCAGATCCGGTACATCCGATTTACCACGTGTCTCTATCCTGTTCTTCTCCTTTGAATTTTCGCCTATCTTCGCGCAGATGTCGTTGATCTTTGAGCCAGTTGTGTTAGAGCCGATTTTCGCACAAATTTCATTCAGGTTCGTACCCTTAGCGGTCACTTCCTGCTTGCGCATAGACGCTTGCTTCATCAGAGATATAGGAATCGCATCCGGACACGGAGGCACCGCCGAACACGCCCCCGACGTTGGTTTCGACATTGCCGTCGCCGTAATCGTCGCTGTCGATGTTGTCATTACAGTGCTTACATTTTGACTCACATTGCTATAGTTATTCTTCAACGATACAGGTGTGGAATATGCGCCCGTCGGGGATGTTTGTATGCTAAACTGAGGCATAGAGCATATTTGACTGTTGGACGTTGAAGAGATGATCGGTGGCATGCCCAATGATTTTTGGAGCACGCAGCTGCTGTTGGAATTCTTGAGCGCTGATTTCAAGCTGGTCGAGTTAGTTACTAGATCGTGAAATGTGTAGGAAAACGTTGATGTCGCATGACCAACCGTGGATGTGGAAATATTCGATATGGTAGGTACATTTTCATTCGTCGCGGTTGTACTGTTACTCCGTGTGCATTTCGGACTTGTACTGCTGATCGTTTTCGGAACAGATTCTGCCATTGCTTGTATGGACGAGTTTGTTTTCTGTTCCAACAAATTCAAAGCTTGCTGCACATCGATCTTTGCACTCTGATTATCCTTTTCGTAGAGAGCTTCCTGTCTGCCGGGTCCAGATGAAGATTCCATTACCGAAGCATTCTGAGACGTTACGGCAGACACGATCGATCTTTGCGGATTTGCCGTGGAACATGATACCGATGCTTTACCACTTGTATTTCCGCAATTTGTTCGTGTCTTTACGGCAATTTTTGTATCTTCCGTTGATGATTTTACGTCGGATTTTTTCCCGCACTGCTGAGGAATCGTTCGTTTCTCCTTTGGTGCTTTCTTTGAATAAGTATTATTAATTTGACCTAATTTCGGTTGAAATTGTAATTTTACACTTAACGCGTCAATTTTTGACCCAGTATTTTCCATTTTTGCTTCGTTTTTTGCGCATTCCTTTACCGATTCCCCCGGATTTCCAACTTTAAAATCTGTACTATTATTGTTATTATTTATCGACAATTTTTTCGCACCTACATCCGTTCCCTTCTTATCTTCAGCGATAAGTGCACTCTTCTCCATAAATTGTGTCGCTGATTGACTGATAGTCTTTTGTCCTGATAAAACTGATTTGTCTTCAACATTAGCAATTTGATTAGAATCTTTTACTTCTTGTGTACCTTGTTGCAATTTTGTTGAGACAGCACTATTTCCCGTTTCATTTGTTTGCCTTGTATTTCCATTGTGTTGAGTACTCAACGATATACAATTTTTAATCGATGAATTCTCGGTTGTAGGTTTGACGTCACTCGTAATAAGAAATGCATTGCTCAAGTCAGGAATTGTTGAATTATTCGTCATTTGCGCATCGATAACCAAAGTCGGCTGCAGTATTTCTGCAGAAGATTTAGATATATTACAATTTTCAACTATTAAATCTTCCTTTTTTACTTCTATGGAAGTAAGAGTCTCTTCTACAGCTTTTTCATTTTGCAAATTCTCGATCCCTGTAGCTCTTTTATGTACCGTATTCGATATATCAGTTATGCTCATCACACCAGTTTCCGATATTTTTAACTGTACCTCTTTCCATTCGCGCTTCGATGATTTGTCATCTTTTAAATCTATAGAATCAATGCCAGCATTTGTTAACGATGTTTTGTACGTGGCATTGTCGTCCGACAGTTTCATGCGTTTTGAGGATGATTCAAATATTCTGTAGCTTAAATGTAATGGAACTTTCTGCAATATAATGCGATAGATATAAGATCATTGTAGATAAATATACATGTACACATTACTTTAGAGATTCTTAAATTAATCGAATGCTTACCCTCCTCCAGTGATAAATATACATTACATCCATTAATGTATAACTACTGCATAGTGGTTCCTCTTTGTACATTATGTCAACTCTATGTGCATCACTAAGACCATATTTGGCTCTTATTAATTTCTGTAAATGAAATACAGTAACTGCTGCAGGACATCGTAGATATCGCCTTACAAAAGGCTTTTCGATACTATCCTTAACAGCATTCGTTTCATTTAAATCGATTGTGAGAGGATTAAAGTATTCTAAGGATAAGCTGAGAGATTCATCCGGAGAATATATATGTGATTCTATAGGTTCTCCACGAGCTTCTGGAGATGTCACTTGACTACGTACTTCTGGATGTTTTGCATAAAATTCCCTCCGACATCGCATTTCATCTAAAAAAGTTTTTCTTTTTTAAGTTGTTTCTACATGACATATGACATAAAAATATATCTCTTTTCTGTTTAATAAAACATACTTTGGTAACATCCAGGTACCAATTTATATACAATATCCTGCAATGTATGATCAGGTCGTATATTTAACAATGGCCTACTTTTGTGAACCTGTACTTCACAAATTGGGCAATACTTATTATTCTCCAAATATTTAACAATGCAACTTCTACAAACTGTAAAAAAACATAAAAATCTTATGTTATATCTATTGTATGAATTAACATGTGCAATATTACATATAACATTATAAAAAGATACTGTACAGGAGTGTAAACATTCTATGATAGTAGTGGCGTCGATAAAGTATCCACTACACAATTTGCACGTCAATTGTTCATTAACCTTGGTTAAACACACTCGATATCCACCACTTTGCCCTGACATCCTATAACACAATATACAAAAATTATGTATTATTTTCACATGATCAATTTAATCATATTATTGATTATAAAATGTTATAAATGTTATGATAGAGTCCAGCTGTACAATCAAAAACGTCATCTACGACATATTTGCATAAATATATATTTATAACCGTAAAACGTAGTAACTTTTCGACAATCTACAACAGATAACAAGTACGTAAATCTACATCATCCCATACAAGAGCATAATTAATCTGTTTATTACAGGTTAGTGGATAATCAACATTATGAATTGATTATCAATATGACAATGCTCATAATTGATATTTAATTCATTCTATACACGTCCAAACTAATTAAACAATGTGAAACACTTGCTAAATGCAAACGGTACGATCAGAGCATAACAAAATCACAAATATACATATGTATATTGATTAACAAGATTTACTTGTAATATATTTTCTTCTTCATAATGTTTTTAAAAAAGAGGAACAATATTGAATAACGGTGTGACTAAAAACTGAGAAAACAATAAAGCTATGTGTGTAATACGTTGCTCTGAAACGTTTTATTTCACAAGCACGATTTAAGTTATAATGTTAATTGCTCAGCACTGTTTTATGCGTATGTACGACAAACGTTTTGAATAGACTTACGTGACGAATGAAGCGAAAATTTTCCGTTTTATTTGGTAATCGCCATTTGGCCTCAAAAGTCAAGAAAGTTGGGTCAGATATAAATTGTCACAGATTGCCATCACGGTGCTGTCATAAGACACCAATTTCACATTCTCCGTATGACGATATTTTTCGTAAATGCACAAAAAAATATCAGTAAAGCAATAACGTCAGCCGATTTAATTCGTCTTAATTCTTAAATTCATCTTAAAATACCACCACTAAAAACTGCGCGTACAGCAGCAAAACAAAATGGCGGATAAACAATCATGCATGCAACCACTGAACTATAACAATACTGAAACGCGCCCTAATGTTCGAATAGTTCATCGAAGTTGCGTATAAGTAGTTCAGTGTGGTTTAGGGTATATCCAAACAAATTTGAATAAGCGCATACATAAGAAAATGGACTAATCATGTTTCTAATATAAGGAATGCAGTTCTTTATGTTAGAAAGTCCATTTTCTTATGAATATACTTATATGCCTATGTAAATTTATCTGGATATAACCTTAGCCTCTTTCACTACACACTAGGGAACACAAATGTTATTTAAAAAAGAAAGTTGCACACCTGATTATTAGGGTATGTCCAGACAAACTTGCATAGCGCGTAAGCATATGCATAAGAAATTTAATTGGTCCATTTCCCTATGCATCTTTTTATAAACCAATCCATTTCTTATGCTTATGCGCATATGCAAGTTTATCGGGCTATTGGCTCCTGCACACAGGACGCGGTAACCAATCAACTGACAACTTTTCCATAAGAGCGAAAGATTGATTGGCTACCGCGTTGCCTTGCGTTCGACCTCAAATATTTTTTTATTTATTAAGATATTAATTTATTAAAAATTTACCAAAAGACAAGTCTTATATTTGTTTCTCAATCTTATAAAATTTCAATTATAGACCTTGACTGATCCGATCGCTTCCGAATCAATTTAAATCCGTTTGATCAAAAATACCATAATATACTTTAATGAATATATTAATAAAATTATGCAATCTTATAAATAATAAATGGAAAATATTTCATCTTGGACATGAATTTATAATAAATTGCGATTAATCGCTCTCAGATCGATACAAAATCGGTCAGTCGAAAATTCTATTACAAGATGCAGTCAACACGTGGTCAACACGGTGAAACGTAACCTTCATAGTAGAATCATAATACGGTGCAAAAATAATTATTTTATTTATTATGGAAGCGGAAAGTAACAACTTGCAAGAACAAAATACAAATACCTCTGCAAAACTTGATGGTTCCGAGACGGTAGAACAAAAGTATGAATTTATCTTGTCTTGATTAAATATTTCGTTGTATTTAGGTTATGTGGAATGATATTTTCACTCAATTAATTGGCAAAGATAATGTTAAAAAAATAAATATTAAATTTACGTCAATTAATATATAGACACGGTGTCACTGTTAATTTTTATACATTGATTGATAAATTTAATATTTATCTTATACATGTATATAATTGTGTACGTATGTGTGGGGGTTCATATTTTCAACATTTTGTACATTTTTTACAGAATAATTGCTCTAGCACATGCTAGACCCAAAGGCATTTCAGACAAGGATCTAGCTATTGAAATACCTGATTTACAACCAGCTCAACGAGCTCAAATTATAAATAAGCTTCTGTCACAAGGATACTTTGACCTTTTTAAACAAGCAGGCTCACTATTTTATCGTTTAAAAGATCCAACAAAACTTGCTAAGGGTGCCGATAATGAAGAGAAAGTAGTATATAGAATTATTGAAGAAGCAGGAAATAAAGGAATATGGAATAGAGATATAAGATTTAAATCTAATTTGATGCATGCTCCATTAAAAAAAATTTTGAAAAGCTTGGAAACTAAAAAGTTTATTAAGGTCGTCAAGTCTGTAGCAGCAAGCAAGAAAAAAGTATATATGCTATACAATTTAGAACCAGATGAATCTGTAACGGGTGGTGCATGGTATCAAGATCAAGACTTTGAAACGGAATTTGTTGATGTATTAAATCAGCAATGTTATCGATTTTTGGAGCAAAAAAGAGAAAAAATGAAAAGTTGTAACGCGGGACCGATTGCTGCAAGAAACATGACATTTGCCTCATCTGAAGAAGTATTAAAATTCATTTCAGAATTGGGAATAAGTAAGGTATACAGCTTTTTTTAATGCATTAAAACATACTTTTTCGTTATTTATAGCTTCTTACTAAGAATGACAATATGTTTATAATAGGTGAAATTATTTGTAAATGATATAGAAATGATCTTAAATACTTTGGTTTATGATGGCAAGGTTGAACAGACACTTGCTGGAGATGGAAGTAATTTATACAGAGCAATTCAGCCTTTGCTGAATTCTCCCGGATTGATTAGAACTCCTTGTGGTTTATGTCCAGTAAGATGCTTATAAATTTATTGTATTTTTATTATAATAATCTTTGAAAAAATTTAAACATTTTTTTCTTAAATCCTTTTTTACAGGTGAGGACTCAATGTCGTGATGATGGTCCAGTTACACCTGTTAAATGTCAATACATCAAAGATTGGTTGGAATAAAAATTTCTAAAATTTAAATGTGAATACATATTTAATTCAATCTTTACCAAGGTATTTATACTTATTGCATGGATAATTGTAACTGTTAAGTAAATAGATTTAGAGAATTATTTTACTGTGTCTGGATTTTACAAGTGAGAAATATATGCTTCAACTTCATTTCAATCATACTTGTTTTCTAACTTAACTGAATGAAAATACAATGAATGAAAATATTCACTATTATCAATGGATATCATAGATCAGACTAATTTTAAATTTGTACGAATGGTATAAGAAAAAAATGCACATTTTAATATTTACTTTGTTCTTACAAAATGAGTAGTCTTTATTTATTATGATATAAATAATATATCATATAGATAGCACCTTGTTACTATAAAAATCAAATTTCCAAAATTGATCCGGTACATTAGTGCAGCGAGCAGCTTGCACGTTTTCATCGCTACGTAATTCAGTACCGTCGAGACAAAGACCAGTTTCTACGTGTATTATTCTGCCATCCTATAACGAAAACGAATATATTTTGATCAATCATGATGCAATAACGTTTATTAATATCTAAAGCCAATACAATACCTTTGACAATACCCATTTCTTTCCACCTTTTTCGCTATTACAATCAATCATTTGAACTTGCGCGTATGATTTTGAGCTACTAATATGCAATATTTTTCCACAACTGTCTTCTTTCCGTAATTCGCCAGATTTACTCAATGAAAAAAACTAAATTACATAAGGACAATAAATCTTTAGTAAATTTTTCTTCAAGTGTGATATCAATGTTAATGTCATCGTTAAATTACACACCTGACTTGGATATATCTTGGTATGACAACTATATAAACCTAGATTGTATGGTTTATCTTCTTCATGTTGCAGATTATCCAAACACAATCGTCTGCTGCGTAATCTAATACGACCGTATGCTATCGCATTCTCATCCGGAATGAATTTTTCTGGATAAATATTATCCAAATACCATTTGAAACTTTTACATTTGAGTTTTTTACGCAATTTTAAACGTTCACTTATATCTCCAATGATTTTTGGATTATCCTGCAAGGTGAGGATGAAAAAAATTTTATTTATCTATATAATATACAGATAAGATTAATATACTGCACACATATGTAACATAAGTACAGTTAGAAGGCACAAAGTAATAAATGTCAAATTACATAATTTCGAATTTTACCTTAAACTCACTACGATGAAGTAAAAATAATCTTCTGTATTCATCCATCCACACAAATGCTAAACGAGCAGTATTTATCCCATGGGTATCTTTATCATTTGGAAATTTATATGGATGAAAATTTCGAAATATATGACCAACTCGAGAACAAGGAATGATTTCTAATGTACCACCACATTGCCATATCTATTGGAAAGTATCGATTGACTAACATTTCATTTAAAACATTTCAGATTAGTACAAAAGTCTTGAATCTTGCTTTTAATTAAAAGTTTGTCTTATAAGTTTAATGGAAATGTTTGACTTACTCTGAAAGACATCTCCAAATTTTCACCTCCCCAACCATCCATCTTATCGTCGTAACTACCAATTTTCCAAAAATATTCTCTGTCAATAGCGAACAAACCACCTGCCATAGTAGGAGACCTAGTTGGTGATATCGGAGAGGAACGCGATTCAATCTCATGTTTTTGGATATTTATCCATGTAAAATGACCTGACCATGTAAATCCACCAACTTGAAAGAAAGACGCTTCATTATCGTGAAGATATTCAAATGTTTCCTCAGAAATGTTATCAATTATTGGCATTAATACAGCATTCTTATTATACTTTATTCGTTGTAGTAATGGTTGTAACCTGTAATAATTCCAAATATATATATACATTAGATAAAGTTTCATCCATGTATAAAGTTAATTTAAAAAATTAAATAAAATATACGTAACATTAAATATTAAAACATCAATTTTATATAAAAAATTGAAAAAAAAAAAAGGTTTTAGTCAAATTGATACCAGTCCAAAATACCAGTCTTTGATAACTTCACAATGTGCATCCAGAAAAATAAGAACATCGCCTATAGCATTTCTAGCTCCATAAAGACGAGCACGTATTAATCCTTGTCTGTATGGTAACCTTAGTAATTTCACTTTTGCAGGTAAACGCGTTGAAAGATAATAATCCAATTGTCCCTGAAGTTCTTCTATAAATTGAAAGAATAAAAATATGTATATAACATTAATTACTTAACACACGCATTGCATTTCTATCAATAATATTAAATAATTATATCAATTTCATTGTAATAATTTGTAAAAAATAGTATTTTATAGAAAAAAATATTTTAAAACGATCATTATCGTTGAATGATTATTTTTAGACTTAGCCCAATTGTTTGATATGACAAATGTATATTTTTGCATATTACCAATTAATCACACGTTAATATTGCAATACCTTCTTCACTATGATCGTCGACCAAAATAATTTCTTTTAATAAATGCGGCGGAGAATCCTTTAACACACTGTGTACTGTACGTAATAGAACACTCCATGGTTCATTATAAAAGATAATTATAACACTAGTGCTTGGCAATAATGTATCATATGTAAGATTCACACATCTATAATGTAAAGCCCACATGCATTTATAAACACAAAAGAAAAAAGGATTTTACACACTGTTACAATTGCATGCATAAAAATGTTCTTTTCAAGTATTACATTAAATTCTTACAGTGTGTTGCGTACATCTGGTAATCTTCTAGTTAACGATATTTTATCTGAAAGGACAACATTCAATGCCTTTTTTGCGAGTGCTGCTTCACCTTGAATCTTATCTTTTCCATGCAAATAAGCAGGCTTTCCATTTTCACCAAGCCCAAGTACAACATTATATTCCAATTTCAATATCTGTTGTTCATACCTGAAATATTGTTTTAATTGTAAATACTGTAAAAATAGTAAAACGTAACTACATAAAGTAGTGTTTACACAATTGCCATGCATTTGTATAACTAAATTAGTGCAAACATCTTAGTGCTAAGTATTTATATTGTGAATTTCACATTTACACATCAATAAATTATGCAAAAGGCTTATTAAAACAAGTTTGTCCCAACATGTTTGAATAAATAAAGTTGCTTTAAACTGCTGAAAAATGAATTGCAATTGCACAAAATTGAGTATCAACAAAAAAAAGAGATCAACTCTACCTTTCATTTTGCAACCTCTGTAATGCGATATCGACTTCCTTCTCTTTTTGAGAATTATTGTCATCTTTTGGATATGGAAGATGGTTTTTATAATTTCTAGAGTTGTTATTCGTATAAAATATTCGCCTAGCGATAACCAAAACACCAATTATATATAACACGCAAATTGATAACTTTAACAAAAATTTGCGGCGAATAAGCATTTTTCAAGAATATATCATCGCTGTTGTATGGTAACACCTGTCAGATGTATGTAAATATGCTAATTACTGTGGTTTTTGTCGACGTCAATAGTTAGGTTATGACAGCGATATTTGTCAGGTGCATATGTAGTTATTTGGAAGCTGGTTACGTGTTTCGTTCGAATTGCAGATACATCTGTAACAAATAAATTAAAGTTTACTATGAAAATTAACACATACTTTATATATTTGAAATTATTAAACCATACTTTATATATTTAAGATATCGTATTAATGTGAAACAGATGATGCACATGCTATGATATTTACAATGTGTTATCTTAATATTCCTACTTGTTATAACATTAAAAAGAAAAAAAGAAGAAATAGATTAAAAATCATTATATTAGTAGCTATAATAAGACTGCTCCGACTGGTTATGTATTTAATACATATGTATGTTTATTTTTTTTTATTAAAAATTGCAAAAAAGATAAGCAATGTACGAATAATATTAATACATAACAGCAAAATTTCCTTACTTTTGTTATATTATAAAGAAATGAATAAAAAATTACATACATATATAAAACTTTGTAAAAAAGCGCTTTTTATATTCGATAGGATACACGTTTTTAAAAAGACATTTATAGTATATATACAAATTGCATTTGTATTTAATTCTGTACCATAATAAATTGAAATAAAAATGATGCAATTAACATTTCTGACAGCGCGCACGCACACACACACACACACATGCCCTTTTTATATACAATATATATATTTTTCTTGTGCGTATATATTATTAAAATTTAATATATTTACATAGAAGAGCATTTACAATAATCTAAATGCACACACAAAGCTACTCCGCCAATTATACAATATTAATTTGAGGACATTTCTTATTATCTTAATTTATTGTCTGAGACATATTAAAATGCTTTTATATAAAATATATCATCCCATTGTAATGGACTAAGTCGATTAAGTAAACAGTCCCCTCAACCAATATTAATATCATGCATAAGAAAAAGTAAACAGTAAAATCAAGAAATTATAGGTTAGCATTATGCGTTTCTTCCTTCTTTTTGGGAGAAAAAAACTCTTCGATATCAGAAAAAGATTTGCCCAAAGTTTCTGGTAAAAAGAAATATACAAAAGCTGTACCTATTAAGGACATGAAGCTAAAAAAGAAAAAGATGCCCTCGATACTCATGCTTTTTAAAATATATGGATAGTTTTTTACAACAGCAAACATCATTATATAAGCAAGAGAAACCATAAGACCTCCGCCGATACCACGTACGGATACGGGGAGCAATTCTCCGATTAATGTCCATGGAATACTTATAAATCCAAACGAACTAGTGCAAATATAAGACAATACAAAGAACAGCAGTAACCACTTTTGATCTGCCATAGTTTCTTCTACATTGCCATTTTGATCATACAAAATAGTGAAATGCATATACATTCCAGAAAGAAACATAGAAATAGTCATTCCAATTCCACTCAAGATACAGAGCATTCTTCTGCCATATTTCCTACTACAAAAAACTGTTAGTATACTTATAACAAATCGAATGATACCTAACATAACAAGTGCACTATTTTCATCAAAACCCTTGCCAAATGTTCCACCCATTTCACGAAAAACAGAAATGGCATAAAATATGATGACATAGCAGCCAGATAACTGTTGTAATAGAAAAAGTAAAAAAAGTATCACTATAGGCTTGTAGACATTTGGGGACATAAATTTAATATAATAACTTTTTATAGATGCTGCTATATTTTTTGATACTTCATCATTCACTACATGGTTTGCGTATGTCCCCATAATTCGTGAATATTCTTGCTCATAAATCTAAAAAATGTTTTGTCTGTGATATTCTGAAAAGCGTATAGACATCATAAAACACTGTATCATACTCCACTGTTTGCCTTCTGTTAAGTCGTTTTAGATTGTATTTCATTTTGCGAAATCGTTTCTCATCAAACATGCTATTTCTAAAGCATATGAGCCAGTAGGGGCTTTCAGGTACAAAGAAAAGTGCAAAAAAAATGCAAAATTCTAATGTGAAGAAAATTATAGCCATTTTACGCCAATCTAGCAATACAGCTAGACAACAAGTAATTAAAATACCCAATGAAACAAACACAGAATTAAGACATAGAAGCATCGGTCTGACTTGGGGATGTGTGAGTTCTGATATATAAACCAAATTAACAGTTGTTAATCCTGCTGCAATTCCAGCTACAATTCTAGCCACATAAATAATAATTAAGGATTTGGTAAATATCAGAAAAATCCATGAGATTGCTACGGGAACACAAGATAATAAACAAACCGTTTTGCGTCCAAATCTATCCATTAAAGGGCCAGCAATGAGAGAGCCTACTGGCAATGTTATTGTAACTAGACTTGCTATAAAATAAAAAGTGCAAAATAATAAGTGAACAGAACTACTGATATGTATAAATAAAATTCTACTACTGATAATTATATTGTGTATATATATATATATATATATATATACACTCTTTCTACTAATTATTAAATAACACTGATGTACTCTTTAATCTCAAAAATATTTTTGTCAAAGATAAATCTTATTATTAAACTGACCTATCCAAGATTCTTCATTTTCGGTTACTTTTATATCAGCATTGTCTGATTCCAATCCACTTAACAAAACTGTACTATAAGCCATATTTATACCAGCTTGTATAACTATACAATGAATTACACAGCTTGCAATGATCTGAAAGGTAACATGTCATTATTTATATTTATCATTATCAATCAATTATCTTATAGATATAAATACTTGTAATATATGATGTCTGGAAACATTAAAATACTAAAAGCTTACTTGTGGTATTATATCTCTTATTGTTATTTTTTCTTTTGAGCTTGTAGTGTTAATTGGCTGAAGAACATTACTGTAAAAATATACACATAAATAATAAATAAAATCAAGTCAAACATTCAAATTTGATATTTTTGTCTGCTCATTTCAATTATACATTACAATGCAATAAGATAGCAATATTTTTCTATTTAATCAATTTTTTATGCATTTTGAAACTCGTAAAAAACAAAAAAAATATTACAACTTTTCTGCATTTAAATACACACAATCAAATAACAATATTTAATGCAAATATTCCATATATTTTACCTAACTTCATTGTGGAAATCCTTATCTGTAGTATTGTGCATATTTTCATCAAGAATTTCTTCACTTTTATCCATTTCAAATAACAATTTCCAAATATACTAAAATACTCCTGAAATATAAAAGTATATGATAACTGCTAAACATAGTTTACAATTTTTGCATGCACTGTATAATTTTTTAAATCGGTTTGCTTATAATAATAAGCATACATACACAAATGACACTGTTATATAATTTGGAAAACTTGCATCATGCTATTATGTTAGTGAGAATTAAATTACTAATTATGGTTTCTTAAATAAATCACTCTTGAGAAATTTCTTGAAATTATTGCACTCACATAATAGAATTTATACTAATAACATATTAATTGTAATTATATACATTCATTTCCGAAATATATACGTACTGGATTGCGTTTTCCTACATGGAAATTAAGTGTGCATTATGGCACATTCAGTTGTGCTTGCATGCCTTCCACACCTAATACCAGCTAATACTAGCCTAATATCACTATGAATAAATCTTAAGGAGATTCTGGAGTATATATCTTTATCATTCATTTGGTTACATAAGATAATACATACCATATTATTTATTTCTCTAAAATACATTTAAGTTTATCTTTAATTAATAAAAAATATTCGTCTGTAATATCATTCAGAATATGAATTACATCATCTTCGGACAAAGTATCATACACACTTTCATCTAAAAATTATATATATAAAATTTAGTACAGCTCTCTTAATTTAAGCAATCAAATTATTAGTTAAAAAGGACAAAAATTTGATTTATAACATTAAATATAGATTTTATTCTTACCTGCAATTATTAAATGTCCAAAAAGTTCACATACTGCAGGTTTAAATGCAATTGTATTTTTGATACCAGTGGAGGATTTTCTAGCCCAAATGTAAATGCGTACATCATTATACCATTTGTCATCAGACGTTGATTTTGCTCGTGTAATGTATACATTATGTGCTATTTGACATAATTGTAAATAATTTATTATAAGGAATGATTTAGATACCAAATCTCTAATATTTTTAAAACTAGACAACTTGAGACAGAATCCTTTTGCTGGATAATCCATCAATAAATATACGTCTGATATATAATTGCATATGTTCTGAAACAAAATAAATGTAATATATATTACATTACAAATATTTACAATAAACAGAGTATTTTCCAACATATTGCTTACAATATATTCAAGAAGCATCTCACATTTTAAATAGTACAAATGCCAGTGTAAATGGTTAACAGATGCATAAGCACACAAACTATTAAAAACAACTCGTAATGACCTAAAGTAAAAAAAAGAAAAGATAATATATTTTTTTCTTATTTTACATCTATAGAAGTGTTTTTAGTAGTATACAATCATTACCATGAATTACTTAAAAGACATAATTCTACTGCTTTGTGAAGACTGTATTCTGTTATAACTTGTGGTAAACATTTCATACGTTCTGTAAGGAGTAAACAATGACCTTGTTCCAGAGGACTGGCATTAATTGCAACTACATCGTTTGCATCTCCATTTCCTATATCAAATAATATTTCTTGTTGTAATAGTTTAGTAAAATTAAAACCCATATGTTTAAAAGGTTGAACCATAGATGTGATCAATTCTGGTGTACGTTTACATTGACCTCTGTCTGGATTTAACTGAAATTGTCATTGCATTCTAAATTAAGTAAAAATATTCTTTTCTGTCTAAAATGTCAATTTGAAACACCATTAAGTGTACCTGTGCCAGAAATCTATATTTCCCTTTCAATATTTTACTGCTTCTTATATTTAAAATATATCGGAATGCTTTTATTTCTTCAGCTTGCTTCCACGTTTTCTGCAAGATATTATCAAATGGAGCTTCAGCTTCTTCACATGATTTGACAGTAAAATTTAAATCTTTTGTATCATAAAAGAAGGTAACCTGTTGATGTGAAAACATTGTCTAATCATGTGATATTAATGTTTTCTGTCCCAGTATAACCTATATGTAGCTCAGAAGCGAAAATCAGCGTGTATAAAGTATACGGTTACTCGTCAGAATGGCTCGAAACGACCCATTTTAGCCGGGATTAGAAAACCAAGTCATTGTTCCGATTAGGGATCGGCTGCTTAGCGTATATGTGGCTTTGCGCTTGCGCGGCGACGGGAATGCAGTACCGACACATGTCGTGTGCAGGAATTTACGCGGGACTTTTTAACAGGGAAAGAGATTAGGAAGATAAAAATAAAATAAGACTTTTTTATTATTATAATTAATATTTATAAAATAATTAAATTATATATATATATAATTGTTTTTTG